ATTGTGAAACAAATATGCTTGCAGGAAGAAATGGAGATGGATTGGCCATACGCTGAGGAAACCATCAAGTGACATCACTAGACAAGCCCTCGAGTGGAACCCGAAAGGGAGGCGGCGAGTTGGTCGTCAGTGCAAGGGTGACTTGGAGGAGGTCATGCGAGGAAGAGATGAAAGCATGTGGACAGACCTGGAGCAGGTTGAAAAAGTTGTCAGAAAACCGAAGGCAATGGAGGTGCTCAGCTGAAGCCCTATGTTCCTCTAGGAACTAAAGGATACAATAATAATAATAATATAAATAGACCATTCAACTACTATGACCCAATCCAACAAAACAGGAATCAGAGTGGCATTCAAACCTACAAACTCACTCAGAGATAAGCTCTGAAGGCTAAACGACCCTGTCGGTTGACCAAATAAAACAAAATAATATAACTTACAAAACACCTTGCAATGACTATGAGTTAAGTCAACTACATAGGTCAAACTATAGTAGATCAGGAGTAGTGAGATAATCAGAATATAAGAATTTCACTAAGGTTGGAATGGATTGACCGCACGAACATAAGTAATTTAGAAAAAAACGACTCAGCACTATATTGCACTGCAGGCATTAACACAAACACACTATATAGGTTGGGAGAGGATTAAAATTCTAAAAAGTAATCTATGTAGGTAGAGAGAGAGGTTGAATAATGAATCCTGGTTCATCGAGTCTACACCCAACACAACACATACAATAGAAGTGACTCATCTTTACAAATACCAGAGATATGGCAGATAGTATTACCAGTCAAATCAGAGGATAATAATTATTATTACATTATTACTGTATTTACATTATTATTGTATACAGGAATAATTCCTGTATACATGAAATTAAAATCACCAATATCTACTGATAAAGCAAATGCAGCGCTCACACATGCCTCAAAAGTATGCATCAAAGAAAACCTACGTGGAATTATACAAAAGCTATTCACGATAAGGAAAGATATTAATGAAGTAAAAGAAAAATTGAAAGAAGTAATTGAAAAAAAAAGTATGAAAGCATACTACAAGTTGCACAAAAACGAAAAGAAACCACTTATGAAAAACAAAGGAGAAACAAATCAAAAAATTTAATAAACTCATGATAGCGAAAACTCCGAATGACAGACAAGTAACTAAAGCCAATTGGATTGTAAACTTGTCAGACAGAAAGCTAACAGAAGCAGAGGAAAGTGTACTGATGAAAGGGATGAACTTCAATATCAGCAACAAAAGATTAAAACCTGAAGACATCATACCTGTAATTGAAACAGCACTCGAAGGATATGACAAGCAAAAAGCTGAACTGGTACGAGCACAATGTGCACTTACCTTAAAAAAGCAGAAAAACCAAATATAACGAAGGAGGAACTAAAAGCACTTCAAGACATAAAAGCAGACAAATCCATTGTCATTACTCAAGCAGACAAAGGAAACACAACAGTATTACTTAACAAAACAACATATAATGAAAAGATGAATGAACATCTACAATCTGGACCCTATACCATAATGACTAAATCAGCTGAAACGATCATCAACAAAACAATGAAAGAAACAGCAAATGTAGTTAGACAAATGAAAGAAGTAATTGGTAAGTCAAAATGGTTTGAAATTATGCCAAAATCCTGTAATGTACCTAGGATATATGGTAAGATAAAATTGCATAAAGAGGGATATCCAATAAGACCGATTGTAGACTTCAGAAACACACCAACGTATATGCTATCCAGATTTCTCTCGACAATACTAAGACCGACAAGAGACAACTCAAAAGCTAGAATAGTAGATTCATTTGAATTAGTGAGGCGAATAAAAACCACTAAAATAGAGGAGGAAGAAATACTAGTTAGCTTTGATGTAAACAGTCTTTATACGAAAATACCCATTCAAATGGCCATGATTGCACTGAAAGAGAAACTAAATGAAGATAAAGGCCTGAAAGACAGAACACAGTTATCCGTAGAAGAAATAATAAAAGGGGTAGAATTCTGTCTGACAACAACATATTTCACATTCGAAGGAAAAATATACCAACAAAATGAGGGAGTAGCTATGGGATCGCCTATCTCACCAATTATAGCTGACATATTCATGGATTATTGGGAGGAAAATGCCCTTAAACCATTCAGATCATCACTAAAATGTTGGTGGAGATATGTAGACGACACACTAGTAATAGTGAAAAAAAACGATACTGAGAAACTTTTCTCACAGACACGTCGACTCAATAAAATTCACTATGGAATTAGAGAATGAAATTGGAGAACTGCCCATGTTAGATTGCAAACTACAAAGAATGACAGATGGTAGCATAAAAACAACGATATATAGAAAAGCCACACATTCTGGAAGATTCCTTGATTATTACTCAGCTCATCCACTCTCGGTAAAACGAGGATTAATACAAGGTCTTGCAGATAGAATACGTAGACTTACAACAGCACCAGAGGACCAGCGTAAAGAAATAAAAGTCCTATTCAAAATGCTACTCGAAAACAACTACCCTAGAGAATTTATAAAAGATAATATAAAAAAGAGAAAAAAGAGGTAAAACCGGAGAATAACAAGAATGGAAAAAAACAGTCGCAATACCATATAAAAATGGTACATCAGAGGCAATACAAAGAAACCTCAAAAATATCGGTATTCGAACAACCTTTAAACCGACAAATCTAATCAAAAATAAAATAAATCAACTGAAAGATCCCATAAAAATGATGGATAAAAACAATTTGATTTATAAAATATCTTGTGCTGACTGTCCAACTAAATATGTGGGGCAAACGTCCAGATCACTCAAAATAAGAGTGAATGAACATAAACGCCTAACTAAAGGTCAACCAACAGGGACACAAGCTTACAAAAATCATCGATAGCTGCACATGCATGGGACAAAAACCACAATATCGATTGGAACAAGGTGTGTATTCTAAAAACAAACATGAACAAATGGAAAGAAAAACTCATAACAGAATCGATATTCATTAAAGTCACACCGGATACATGTAACAAGGGTGACTCAGTACAACTATCAACAACTTGGAATATAATTCTAAATGCAAACACATGAATGAGCGTGAAATATAATTCTGAACAGACACAAAACACGAATGAGCAAAAAAATTATAATAATGAACTATATATATGAGTACAAATCATAAATGTGTGAATAAAACAATTCCAACAGTGGTGTGAACACGGGCAGTAATTTTGCTCGAAATATTACCAATAACAAAACTTATCATTGTGTGTAAACTATTAAAATATAATTATACTTTATTTGATCTAATCTGCAATGCTCAAGCTTTTTAGGGATATTGATATCATTCCATTTTGACAGGCTCTCATCAGCTGCAGAGTACCTGAAAATAGAATGGTTATATAAATGATAATAACATAGTCAATATTTGAGTGGTAGTAAAGAAGAGATAAAATTGATGCATCGAAAATGAAAGCATAACAATTTTTTAGTTTAAGTTTTCATCATCGATTTATACGCTTTCAAAGTTGAAAAGGGAGGAGAGGTAAGACAGAAAACAGAAAAAAATTGATTGAGAGAACAGTGTCATGTTGTAGGTTCACATAGCAACTCAAAAAAAGAACAAAATCGGTTACTGTTTATGAGATTAAGATTTGTTCAGTGAGTTGAGATCACTGAATAAGATGACTAATTCAGTTACCAAGGCAGTGAGAGGTTAATCACACTCTCTTTCTGTTTTCAAAAGTCTGGTTTAAATCGTTTGATTGCGATCGCTTTGGCAGATAGTAGTAAATTTGCTGTCCTTTGTCTATTTAATATTTTGAAAGACTTAGAAATCTCTACGAGATGTCCGGTATCAACAATATGTCTGGTGATTGCACTCTGAGAATATTTGCTTCCTTTCAGGCATAGGTTTCTTGGAATATGTTCAGAAAACCGGATAGAAGCCCTTTTTTCTGTCCTTCCAATGTACTTGCTCCCGCAAGTGCACGTGAATTCATCAACGCAGTTGGAGGTGGCATCAGCAGGGTATTTATCCAGTTTTGAGTGGATTAAAGAAGGAGTGGTGCTGTATACTGTTATGAGTTTAGCTGTAGTTGGGAAGCTTCTATTTATTGCACCTTTCAATCTTTTGTCAATCTTTTGTGACACTGCATCTCCTTTGTATGGTAGACAAGTAAACACTTTTTTCTTTTCTACAGTTGGATGCTTTTCTTTCTCATCGTTTTCACTGCTATACTTCTGTATAAATCCCTTAGGGTATCCATTTTCCTTTAAGCATTTCTCGACGAAATCTAATTCTTCTTCGACTTGTTTGGTGAACATATCTTCCTGGCTCTGTCGTACAAAGTCCTCACAAAGCCACATTTATAGCTTATGGGACAAAAGCTGTTATAGTGAAGATATTGTCCAGTCCTGTAGAACACTGTGAGACTTTATCAAAATAAAATTTACCCATAATGGAATTGCGCTCTACCACAGTGCACAAGTTCTATTTTTATATCACTGTATTGGGTAGTTTGATTAGATACTAGTAACTAGTGTGACGTGTCTAGTCCTTTCTTTGGTGCAGACTGAATTCTATCAATCAGGTTCGCGATGTGGCCACCATTCTAGGCAGATTGACGATTGCCTCCAACTATTTAATATCATCAAATCAATGTGCACCGTGATGGCGAGCTACCTAGTGGCATTGTGGCCACATTGCAAACCCGACTGATAGAATTCAGTCTGCACCAAAGAAAGGACTATACGCGTCACACTAATTAGTTACTAGTGTCCAATCATATCAGAGAATCTTCCTTCAATTTGTGTCTGTAGAATATATTCTTCTAACTGCGCAAAATTTTTGACGAATGCTCGTTTATAACACAGGAGCGGGACAACTTAGATTCCACAAACTGTATTTTTTTTTACCTCAAATGTATTCTTATTTTACTACTGTGAGATAGATAATTCAGCGTCTTCCGAATAATTTCCTTTGTTGTAGACCTATGAAGGTGGTTTCGGCGGTCAACCAGGATTGGAGGCACACGGTGGTTACACTTTCTGTGCTGTCGCGGCATTGTGTTTTTTGGGTAGATCCGATCTAATTAATTTGCCTAGACTATTGCATTGGGCAAGTCGCCGTCAGATGGCAACTGAAGGTGGTTTCCAGGTAGATTTTTCTTATGTTCAATTAATTATTGGTATCAATAGTGAAGTAATGATGCTGTGAACCTCACCTAGTTTACCAACCGACGCCAAGCTTGGAAATAGGCGAAAAGCATGGGCTTCCCCTGGAAAATCAACCAAATCACTATAGGAAGTTCGAGGTACAGAAAAATTTAGAAAATAAGCCTATTGTTGTCTGGGATCATTGAGGCGGAACAATGCTGGTTGGTGGTAGAAGTCTTTTGGAAGGCGGTTGGCCGATGTGGCTTCATCCGATGAAAGTGGGAGTAAGCATAGGGACAAAGGTATATCCGGATGATTTTTAAGGTAGGCAATGTTCCTTAGATTGCAGAAGATGTGGATATAGAAGTGCTTTGGATTTATGAGAAGAATTGGATTGGATGTAGACTCTTCATATTCTTAACTGTATAATTAGTAATCTCTTGACGAAAGGTGAGACCGCAGCCTACTGGAAACGAAGTAGAGGAGTGGGGCTGATTTAGGAATCTTTACGATCAAGTTTAAAGTCTTTGAAGAAGTCGGCGATGGACCACAATTCAAGCCTAACACTCAGAAAATGAAGGATGAAGCTACGAAGGACACACTCACTGCAGTCATCAGAAAAGTGTCAGAGGCGTCGGTCAACATCACTGAGGAAGAACACTGGGAGTCTGTAAAAGCGTCATAAAAGGAATTTGTGTAGGTATCTTATTCCAGAAGAAAAGCAGAACAAATAATAGCTGTGTATAGGCACCTAAAAGCTGGGGGAGAGATTGTGAAGTACGAGACAAACAATAAAACGGGAAGCCGAGTACAATCTACAGTGAGCTGAACAAATAAGTGGTGAATAGTGCTAGGAAGGGAAGCAGAACAGACTTCAGGTAAAAAATATCTCAGGACATTATATTAGATAACCAGATCTGTATCCGGGACGAGATCAACTCAGATGAAACCAATGAGGGACAGTGAATAAAAGCGAATTACCACTAAAAACGTGGAGTAGGGGAAATGTCACGCTGATTACTTCAAAGGACTTTTGACTTAACCATCACCTACAGCTAGTGAACCCCAACTCTTCATCAAGAGCAGAAGTCCTGAGGTCTATGCAGTAACTGAAGACTGAACAAAAGCAGCATGACCACATGAAATCCCCTCAGAAGCACTGAAAACAGACATGTGACATTACTTCATGAGTTTCAGAAGGAAAAAAAGGTACTTGCAGACTTCCAGAAGGGTTACTGGACTCAAAACTCAGTCCGGAAATAGCTGGCTTCAGGAAAAGTAAATCATATGCGGATCAAATTGCGACACCAAGCAACATTATCGAATATCGAGCATAGAATGGCAGCCAACTGTCTACTTCAGTTTTATCGAATTTAAAAATGCTGTCGACAGCATCGACCGTGAAATAATTTGCAAACTGCTTCAACAACTACGGAGTGCAGCGCCGCCAACCATTACCAATCTCATCTCACAGTTATATGGTGATACCACATGTCAAGTTAACCACAGTGGTAAGCTCAGTGAAACACATGAACTAGAGACAATAATAAGGCAAGACTGTCTACTATCACCGATTATATTCCTGATTGTGGTAGACTGGGTCATGCAGAAGACTGTAAGTGGAGCAAGAAGACGAGTGTATGTTGAACTGACTAAAGGACCTTAGAAGGTTTGGATGACTTGTCTTGCATCTAAAAGAGTTGAAGATATCTACATGCGAAGACGAACAATTTGGCAGAAGAGGCAGCGAAGACGGTAATTCAAGTGGACGTGTAGAAGACAGAGGTGATGAAGATAATCAACCAGCATCAACCACCACCAACGGCAGAAATCTAAGGGGAGTCGTCTCCTTCACTTATCAGGGAGCATCATTTCAACTATAGGCGGCACTGATAAGGCTGTCAAAACCAAGATCATGAAGGCCAGATAGGCTGTTCGATACTCTGAAATCAGTCTACGGCTCTAAGCACAAGGAACAAGACCTAAATTTCCAGTTCAAAGTGAGAATAGTAATTGTAGTAACAACTAACTTAATAAAGGAGGAGTATACTAATTGAATAGACAAAACGAAAAAAATGGTAGAGCCTAAATATGAATGGGGATTATCATACTTTAGCATAAAGGGATTAAGTTCATGAAAGTTGGAGGGGTTGAATAAACTTTTTCTGTATACAGAGATCTGGCTTTTCTGTTTCGATAGCCAAGGCTTCAAAAATACAGCTGAGTCGGGTACGTAGTGATTTAGGTAAAATACTTTTTACCTTGGCTGAGGCTGCTGTAGAGATACAATGATCGGTATCAACCGAATGTCCAGTGATTGCGCTTCTTATTGCTTCACTTCTACCGATTCGTAACCAGGCAGGATATAATTTCTTAAAAACCATTGTACAGCTTGATAATAAATTCGTTGAAAAGAGTCTCTTCGCTGAATTGCCACTTGTTTTAATTTTCTACATGTTCATGTGCCAAGTTATAAGGCAATTTTGTTCTTTATGGAAGACGAAACGATATAGGTAGTAGTATCTTGGAAACCTACAGCTCAGTAATTATTGAATTCAAATACCTAATTCAAAGAGTTAAACACTCAGTATACTTGAGAGGTATTTTGATGCCTGCCTACACAGTACCCACTTTGAATAAAAGTTGTTAACTAACTGGCTTCAACCAATTATTGATATAAGAATAAAACTTGTCCGCTGCAGTGGTAGAGTATAATTTCATTATAGGTAAAATTTATTTTTGATAAAGTCTCACAGTGTAGTGTTATATAGTAGTAATATTTACTGATGACCACGTTTCGAGTACAATTTATACACTGCTTATAATCACATCAAGGTATTCACTCGCACAACTTTCTAATTTCGTTTATATAATTCCATCATTATTTTTCATCGCTTGACTTGATTGGTGGTAGTATTTTCTATATTTCCGGTATGAGTAATGAGTCACTGCATCGTATTGCATGTGTTGGCTGTAGACTCGATGAACAAGGATTCAATAATCAACCTCTCTCTCTCCACCTATTTATATTACTTCTTAGAATTTTAACCCTCTCCCATCCTATTGTGTAATTGTGTGTTAATGCATGCAGTGCTATGTAGTCCTGACCTTTCTCCTAAATTACTTATCTTCTCGGGGTCAACCACTCTTACCTTACCTAAATTATTATGTTCTGACAGACAATCTCAGTACTCGTGATCTACTATAGTTTGACCTATGTAGTTGACTTAACTCACAGTCATTGCAAGGTATCTTGTAAATTATATTATTTTGTCTATTTTGGTCCATTGGGCCCTCTAACCTACAGAGCCTGTCCTACCTGAGTGAGTTTGTAGCAGGAATTACAGTGGCGTTTAAACCTACACTGTGAGATATTATCAAAATGAATTTTACCCATAATGGAATTCAACGAATTATTATTCTTCTCTTCAAGTCTTGTGTAATCCAAGCATGTATGTAATCAACGCCCCTATGATTTAAATTTTTGTTTGGATTTTCTCTTCGAAGGGTAGAACAAACAAATTGGTGGATAGTTGTTATTCATTTTGGCAAGGTGCTCTTTTCCCAATGGTTGAAGAATTGTTATGGTTGTCAGGTGATCCTGCCCTCAGTGATACTGACACCTTATATAACCCAATTGCTTTGCAAGTAAGACTTGACAGTTTTATATATATATTCGCACTGACTAACTGGTTTCAACACAGAACTTTGCACCGATTTGCAACAGTTCAAGTCACCACAATCCCTCTGTGTAGCACAGAAAGCAAGAGAAGAAAGTAGAAGAAATGAAAAATGGAAACAGTAGACAGGGATAAGAGACAAAAGGAATAATAATAATAATGAAGAACCATATAGTTTCATTGGAAATTATAAGTCATAAGGAGTGGATGCATCTGCGCCATCGAGAACGATTACTTTGAGCCATACCAGAAATTGTCTCCAGCCATTGGTTTTTACCGTCCAGAGGACCCCAAGCAAGAAGTCTACACCTTCCTACGGGACTGGCTGGCTGGCTTAAACTAACTGTTGTGGATTTCATTGACTAATGAAACCATGTTTTGTTTTCACCGCCGCTAGCTTTTTTACAACCTGATCCATCCTATGTCAGTCAGCTAACATTGTCCGTCGGGGAAGGCGATGACTAGGCATACGTAACACATATCCTAACCATCTCAATCGATGTAACTTCACAACCTCGTCTATTGATTTCCCCTCCTTACCTGTCACTAGACCGACTTCTAACCCCATTATCGTTCACCTTATTATACCACTTCATACAGGAGATAGAACGGAGGCACCTATGATGAAAGACAGCTAGTCTTTTCATGTCTCCCACTCTCAATGGCCAGGTCTCACAGCCAACTGTAAAGGAGAATAGAGTGAACTACTGGGCATTACACATTTCCTTTGGTCGATAGCCTTCTGTATTCGAGCTGAGATTTCGTCAGAGATCAACCCGTTGGCGTTGGCTGATGCAACTTCCCAAATAAGTCTGTCTGTCTGTCTGTCTGGATTCAACATAGAACTTGGCACCGAAGTGCAGCAGTTCGAGTTGCCACGCTCCAAATAGCACACACACAAAGGTAGACAAGAAGATGAGTGAAGAGAATCAATAGAGTTTGACAAGTAGAAGAGTGAAACAGAATGGGTAATGGTAGAAAGGAATATGAAAGATTACAGAGACTGAATACATCTGCGCTGGCCATTGACAAAGATTTTGAGCCATGTCACCTATTGTCTCCAGCCATTGATTCCTAGAGTCCCGAGGGCCCCAACCCGGGAGTCTGCATCTCCCTACCTGACTCAGTTTGACTGTCAAGGATTTCATGGATTGATGAGGCCATGTTTTTGTTTGGCCACCACTGGCTCTTTTCCAACCTGCACCTATATCAGCTAGCAATGCCTGTCGGGGAAGGCGATGGTTAGCCAGGCATGCGCAACACGTGACCTAGCCATCTCAGTCTATGTAACTTTATAGCCTCGTCGATTGATTTTCCCAAATAAGTGAAGTGGTCAACACGTTCCACCAATCACTTTATTCCCTATTTCTAAACTGGAAGTCAGTGTAAAAATGTTAGTGTTACCGAATGTTAATTAAGCTGGATTTAATGATGGAGGAAATGGTGGTCACTTCGAATCCACAATTGTAAAATTTTCTGCTTGTTTTCTATTATTATTACTACTAATATTTTATTTGAACTCATAATATTACGAATTATTCTTGATTGATATAAAATCATCCTTTGTCAGTGTCAGGATCTTGACTCGATTTATTATTATTATTATTACTGTTATTGGGACAGGTCAGCAAAGCGATCTATTTTCGTAACTTCACTTTTAAACTGTACGGTAATTTGGGGGGGGTGTGGTGGGGTTATATTATTATTTTACTATTATTCTCTTGGGTTCCGAGTGGAAAATAGGGCTTTGACAACACATCTACACGTTGTTCTATTTTTTTTACTGCCCTCTTAAGTTGGTTAGCTGCACGACTGCTCATCATTTTTCATCTTCTCCTCGCCAAAATGATCTTCTCCATGTCACCTTCGCACAGACAACCCACTCGTCGCATGCTTCCCTGTCTGTCTGTGTGTTTTCGACATAGAACTTTGCACAAATGTGCGGAAATTCAAGTCGCCACATTCCGTGTAGCACGCGAAGAAAGAGAAGAAAGTACAAGAAAAGCATAATAGAGACAGTGACCAGAGGTGTGAGACAAAGGAGTAATAAAGAAAAACAAAACGGTTTCATTGAAGATCATAAGTCACAGGGAGTGGATGCATCTGCACCATGCATTGAGAACGATGAGTTTGAGCCATGTCACCAATTGTTTCCAACCATTGGTTTTTACTGTCCCTAGAACCCCAACAAGACAGCAGTCTACACCTTCCTACGTGGCTTAGACTAACTGTTGTGGATTTCATTGACTGGTGAGGCCAAGTTTTTGTTTGACCGCCGCTAGCTTTTTTCCAGCCTGACCCTATATCCGCTAACATTACTCGTCGAGGGAGGCGATGGCTTGGCATACGTAACACATGTCGTAACCATCTCAGTCTTTGTAGCTTCACGACTTCGTCGATGGATTTCCCCTCTTTACCTAGAACTCTACGCCTAACTTCAATGTTGCTCACCTTATTATGCCACTTTACACGGGAAATAGAACGCAGGCACCTATGATCAAAGACAGCCAGCCAGGCTTTTCATGTCTTCCACTCTCAGTGGCCAGGTCTCACAGCTGGCCATAAAGGAGGACGGAGCGGACTGATGAGCAGTACACCCGCCCTTTGGTCGATAGTCGAACATCTCGTCTACGCCAGAGTCGGCGTAAACTGGCAAATGCGAAACGAGCCCCCTGTATTCGTGCTGAGATTTCGTCTGAGATCAGCCCGTTGGCACTGGCTGATGGTACTTCCCAAATAAGTGAATCGGTCAACGTGCTCTACCACTTCACTTCGTATTTTTAAACGAGGCGTCGATGTAGTCCAGTCCTGTAACATCATCTTGCATTTGGCGGGAGCGAATTGCATGCCCAACATTTGTAGATTACGGCTCAAGGTGTTTAGAAGACTCTGCATTTCGTCAGCGTCTTCGCCTAGAAGGACTATATCGTCTGCATATTCTAAGTCAACGAGATTATTCCCAGGTAGCAAGTGAATTCCTGAGTCGCTGAAGTCACTTAGGGTTAAGTCCATTAACACATCTATGATCAAGTTGAATAGAAAAGGGGATAATGGGCATCCTTGACGGATACCACAAGTCGTCACCAGTTCAGATGACAGCTCGTCATAAGCACTCACCTGGCTGTATGAGTCGCTCGCTTCCCACTGGGATTCCACTCGAGCGATGGGTCTGCATTGCGCGCAATATCATTTGACAGCCTCCTCAAAGTATGTCCGATCAATCCATCTCCATTTTCTCCTACATATCCATTTGTTTAGCAATCGCCTCCTGGTTGGTATTTTGCTAGCCAAAGTTTCTTGTTACCAATTCTTTCTTTTGATAAAAGTCTGCAACTTGTTGGAAATCCTTTTTCGTTATGTACGCGCAGTTCAAGTTTCTCACACTTATATAAGAATTAACTGACTGACTGACTGATTTCACTTTTGTGTTGAATAGAACCCGAATCTTGTTGTTTATGCTGCCTGGCTGAGTTACAGTAGGAAATGCTCAAACTGGTTTCAGGTTGATGCAAGCGTATCTTGCCTTTCTGATTCTGTCTGGTTGACTGGCTTTGACATCTTTCTCCGTTCCGACTGCCTGTAGTTGAAACTGTGCTTCCTGGCTGGATAAGTGAAGGCAGGAAGTAACCTTTGTGAAATCTCTCCTGTTCATGGTGATTGATACTGGTTGTTGTTGCTGCTGTTGGTTGCTTATCTTCACAACTTCCGTCTCCTCTATTTTCGCCTAAAATCCTATCTTCATCAGCTGCTTCTTCATCCAATTTGTTGGTTTCTGCCTTCCTGCAAGTCTTCGAGTTTGTTTATTTGTAATTTGTTATCTCTGTGTAGCGATATTATAGATACATTATTCTCCAAGTCGTCATTTGCATAGATCTTCAGTATGTGTGCTACTTCTGCTGCCTTGTATTGTGTGTTTGTTTGTCTTTATCTTCTTTTCGTGTGTGCCTCCCTCCCCTTGTTTTACCGCAACTGTGAATCATCTGTTGTCTTTGACGTCAAATCTCTATCTCTCTGCTATTTGATATTTTTGTGGCAGCGATGAACGTGTTTTTGTATTCTATTGATAAATCTTATCACTGCATGTAAAGCATTCTGATGAAGAGTTCTATCCAAATTTAATGCAAGCAACAAAGGTTAATAAAACAGGATTTAGTGAATTCATCAAATTTCGGTAGGACTCGTCATCTGAATACTCCACATGCGGGGATATATATTCTTTTGAAATTACATTGGGAGATATAAGACTGATAAGTGAGTAAATAAACTACATTGAATTAGTCATGCAGAAAGACACGTGCGAATGTTTTCCAGGTCATGTTCAGATAGAAAAGGGGAGAGGGATTGTGAGAGATGAAAATTAAGATAAAATGCATTACGCTTTAGTCATAGCACTTAGATAAACAATTAGTCATTAGAGAATATATCAAGAATGGCAAACAGAGTAATATCAATAGTAATAGTTATGATAATAATGATAACAATAATAATAATGTTGAAGTGAGTCAAGATAATACTACTGAGAAAGGATAGTTTTAAATGAATCAAGAATAATAATAATAATAAGAGGTAGAATAATAAGTAAAACGTATTACTACGGTAAATTCAGAATGACGACCATGTATTTTTGTACAGAGAGACCTGGTTCATAAACTCGAATTACACAAGCTCCCTCTGGAATTGCAAGCATCTTCCTGTTTCTTTGTCTGCTGACAGTAGTGAATGACTTAACAGCGTCGATATTGTATCCGTAGTCCACAAGATGTTATTTTTTTTTTTTTTTTGATTTACAGCTTGATTCCACACTGTATTTTTGGCACAAGTATGGAATTTTCAGCATGGATATCGGTAGCCCAAATTTTGCAGGCCGACCATAGATATCAGGTGTGCGCCGGCGTGGGCTCGAACCCCGGACCATGTGCATGGTCGGCGAGAGTCCTAACCACTGTGCCACCGACGCACATTGATGTTTTTAGCACTTTGTATTCAGCTGTTTTCAACCAATTTGGCAAATGCTCCATCATGCGAGTAGACAATCGCCTTTCTGCACGACCTGTGTATTTGCTTCCACAAACACACTCAAATTGATATACGCAGTTTAAAGCGTCGATGATTGGCGACTGGTCATTCCCAGATTGTTGAAGTACCGGCTTAGTGGTGTTAAGGAAAACAAGTTTTGTAGCATAATCTAGTTTTGCAGATTTATCTAGTCTTCGTTTGACTACTTCTTGTACATCATCTCTTTTGAATGACGAATTGATGTAGACAGATTTCTTCGGGATTCATTTCTTTAGGGTATTTATTAATGAACTTCTCAGGATATCCATTCTTAGATGAAATATTCTACAGAGATTTTATTTCATGCTCAATTGTACTGTCATTAGGAATTTTCCATGCTCTGTTGAACAGTGTTCTGACTAAATTCTTTTTATAATAAATTGGAACAGAGCTGTTAAAATGTGTGTTTACTGCTCATATTGGGAAATAAATGTTTTTAATTCGAAATTTAATGAATTCATTAAATCCTGCTGTATTAATTATGTGTTGCTTATTAAGTTTACATGTACATTTAAGTGCTTGATGAAACCATAGTCTCTCATCTACGACTTTTTTAGGAAACAAATTTAGTTTTCTCAGTGCAAGATCGTATTTAACCTTTGAGTAATATGTAATATATAGTGGATAGTGGTTTTTTGAACTTCAGGGCTGTTTCTTATCGCGCCCACTACTACTGTTTGGTCATGTGAATTTTCACTTGAGAACAAATTTTCATATCGTAAATAAACAGAAGCATAGATTTGGAAAGATATTCTTTCATTGAACACTAGTAACTAACTAGTGTGATGTGCCTATCCGTTTGTTTTTGATGCAGACTAAAGTCTATGAGTCAGGTTTGCATTGTGGCCTCCATTCTAGATACCTGAAGGGGAAGCCTTTCGTGGACCTAGATTTCGTGCTAGTTGGCACTCACTAGTCAGCAAGGCGTATCTGCAACCTTGAAGGAATTCATGTCCCTTCTGAGATTTGAACCCAGCTAACACAAAACCTAGGTCAGACAAGGCTTCCTGCCTATTGCCTCCAACCATCTAACATTACCATTTCGAAGTTCACCGTGATGGCGAGCTACCTAGAATAGTGGCCATATTGCAAAAGCTGACTGATGGAATTCAGTCTGCACCAAAGAAAGGACTAGGCGCACCACATTAATTACCACTTTCTAATGAAAGTGCCCAATAGAGTGCTACATGAGGTCAATCGCGAGCCCGAATAGTTCAGTGGTAAAGTCTCGGACTGCAGAACTCACTAGGTGACGCAGTTTCGAATCTCAGAAGTGATATGAGTTTCTTCAAGGTTGCAGATACGCCTTGCTGACTGGTTGCTGAGTGTCAACTAGCACGAAACGTAAGTCAGGCAAGGTTTCCAGCTGGTTGCTTCCAACCACCTAACAGCGGGAATTCAAGAATATTTTACTTATGAAATACCTTATAATGCAGCATAGCTGTCGTTTTGAAGGAGACCAAATCAATCAATGAGACTGTGAAGCTACACTGATTGAGATGGCTAGGACAACTGTTGCGCGCAAACCAAGCCCTCGTGCCCCTTCCTCGAGGAGCCAATGCCAGCTGATAATATAGGATTGGTTTACAAAGGAGTTGGCGGTGGCCAAACCAAAACCTGGCGTCAAGTCCTTAAAATCTTTGGTAATTCGTTTGACCCACTTTGTTAGGGTCTATGACATCAGCTTATAGGCTTTGGAACGTTAACAACCAATCACTAGAGAACATTATTAATTTAGCATATCAAAGAAAATGGTGATATTTTTGTGTTTATTTATTTTTCTTTGTTGTCTTTTATTTAGGAATATATCCTACTCTGTTGTCAGGATGTATCTTACACACGTCCAAGTATAAGTGTGCACCATCATGCAGACGATTCTTCTTCATCAAGTGAAACAACATCTATAAGCAGAAATTCAAGTTCAGAAGAGAATATCTCTACTTTTGACACTGGTGGTGGTGGTGGACTAATTGATAAGCCTGGTAAACATCCTGATCCTTATCATACATGTTATGCATTAAGTGGATTAAGTCTAGCACAACATTCTCCTCGACAACATAACCATGGACCATCACCAAGAGATAAAAGCAAATCTGACAATCTCTCTTATCCATCTTCAATTGTCGACCTGTTGGGTGCAGAGTTTGGAAATGAATTGGTTGATTTAAATCCTTATCATAATATTATCCATGATAGGCTAGCATTTACTCTGACGTATTTCAATGAGTTAGACAATGGTCAATCCGTGGAGTGTGCAGAACACTTGGCTTTAAAAGCTGCTGAAGCGATTCTCACCTACACAATGTAGCATCAGACTAACTGAACAGTGTTAGTTATGTCTAGATGTGTTGGCTAATATACACACGGGATCTGATGAGTATATACATATATACATGTACAGCGCCATAATAAAATAACAGAAAGTGGTGTTATTGTGGTTGTTCGTCTTCTTCTTCTATTTTTTATTTAACAAAAGTTTATTTTTTATTCCCTGGAAAGATTTGACAATGTTATATTATATTATTGTTATTTTTTATTTTACATTAATGATAATGTCATGGCTAACTTTTTCATCATACATTTTGTTTGCATATTGTTTCGCTGACAAAATCTCATCACGGATACAGAAGGCTAGTTTCGCGTATGTCAGTTTATGATGTCTTTGGCTTAGTAGACGTGATATCCGGGTGGCTATCAACCAGAAGACGAGTGTACTGATCAGCAGTTCGATCAGTTCTCCTTTATGGTTGGCTGTGAGCGAGACCTGGAAGATATGAAAAAAGCCTGGCTAACTGGCTTTTTTTTATCATAGATGTCTGCGTTGTTCTATCTTCCCTGTTAAGTAGTATATTAGAGTGAGCAATACTGAGGTTAGGAGTCGGTCGAGTGCTAGGTAAAGAGGAAGGGGAATTCAATCAACGAGATTGTAAAGTTACATCGACTGAGATGGTTAGGACATGTGTTACGCATGTATCGGTAGCCATCGCCTTCCTCGACGGTCAATGTTAGCCAATGACATAGGATGGATCAGGTTGGAAAAGAGCTAGTGGTGGTCAAACCAAAACATGGCATCATCAGTCAATAAAATTCACAACAGTTAGTTTGAACTAGCCATGTTGGAGTATGTAGACTTCCTGGTTAGAATCCTGGGGATGGCAAAAACCAGTGGCTGGAGACAATCAGATATATCTGTCAAAATCGTTCTCAATGGCTGGCGCAGATGCGTCAACTCTTTGCGGTTTATAATATCCAATAAAACTTGATTTTCCTTCTATGTTACTATTCTTTTCCCCTCACTCACACTTCTGTTCACCGTCTCTCTTTTTAATTTCTTTTTACTCTATTTTCTTGTCTAGTGTGCTGTATGGAGAAAGTGTGGCAACTGGAACTGGTATATATCTGTGCAAAGTTCTCCGTTGACACCAGGCAGTCAATCAGATGTACAAAATAGGAAATGACGTCTAACCGGGGATAGTGTTGTATCCGCCTTTGCAGACAGTGAGGCTTGCTAAAATGTAATGAATACAAAGTTTATCAAGACAGTATGCATAATGCGTTAATTTGAGAATGATAACATAATTCAAAGAAAATGACTTGGTGAAAAAGCGCTTTAAATCGACACTGTTTTGTGCTAATATAACTTCAATAGGATTTAAGGAAATTGAAAAAGAAAAATACGAGTGGAGAGATTTGACCAGAGGAAATTGTGTACTTATATTGATGCAATTCGATTTGGTGTCGTAGTCATCAAAACACTTCTATGAGAAAATGAAACTAAGAAAGCTTACTGTATGGTAAAGACTGGTTCATTGAGGCTTCAAGTTACAGAAAATAATAGTTCCACCCCTAAGATACAATCTAACAGTTTAACAAAGTGAGTGTCACATAATTTTGACAGATAAACAAAATGAGTCTAACAAATAATATCTACTTTAGTACTCGAAAAACTATACACCACTGCATCATATGAAAACATATTATTATTATTATTCCATTGAGTTCCAAGTAGAACATAGGGCTTCAACAACACATCTTCACTTTGTCCTATTTTCTGCCGTCCTTTTCTACTTGGACCACGGTTGCCCACAATCCCTCATCTCCTACTCACATGATCTCTTCCATGTCACCCTCGCATTGACGACCCACTCGACGCGTGCTTTCCATTGGGATTCCACTCGAACAATGGCCTACATTGCACGCGATGTCATTCGGTGGTCTCCTCAATGTATGTCCAACCAATCCACCTTCATTTCCTTCTACATATTTGTTCAGTGATCGGCTCTTGGTTGATTTGTTCCCATAGATTCTAGTTGCTTATTCTTCCTGGCCATTGGAAAAGAGTTAATATTGGTTAAAATAAAACTGAGTTTCAATAGATAGAGTCGTTAGCTGTGTAGAGAGGTGTAGACTGCTTGATTGCGGTCCTTCGGCTGTTAAGAATCAAATAACTGGAGACTATTGATGATGTGACTGAAAATCGTTGTTGCCAATGGCACAAATGCATTCGCTCTTTAGGATCTCCTATATCCATTAGTCCCACGTGTTTTTCAGCTACTCTTATTGCTTCTTAGAGTTCTGTCAAGTTTGCTTCTTCTTCTCTTTCCTCTACTACATGTTGAGTGTGACGACTTAAACTGTGACAGTTTTGTGCAAAGTTCCGCTTTGAAAGTTAGTCGTCAGTCGGCCTTATATATAATAGTCACATTCTATCATCATTGCTCCTTGATCTTTTAATGCCGAATCTTTTTTCTGATTGTTATTGAATACACATCTCACTGCCAGTACTAACTAAGTCTGTAGATTCCTGTATAAGCCAATTTAATTTTTTGCATTTCTTATATCAATAAAAACCTGTCATTAATGAAGTAATTCCTATTTTGTGGTCGTGTGATACAGACAATGTGTGTTCCAACGGAATATTATTCGCACATATTCCCACAGTTCAATACTGCATTAGCAACAAGATACTGTATGTACATGTATTTGAACATTCTATTTCATGTCGTTTAATTTAGTAAACCAAAATCACACTCTCAGTGATTGGTTAAAGAATATAAAGTATATACTTTGTCTCCCTAATCTTGCCTTCTGTTGTTACATTTGGTGTCTCTGTCTGTCAAGAAATGAAAATCCCGTCGCCTGCTGTTTTTGGAAAAAAGGAGACATATGGATCTTATAGCAGGACTTTGAGGCTGTTCACGAGTTGAATGGCTTTCAAGATCTGTTAGCGAAAAGGCTGTTACACATAAGCACTGTTGAGAAGTCGGGCGAAGGCAGCATATGATAGTGTGAGGCGAATACGCGCCAAGGTCACACAAACTGCTTTCAAAGTGGGAAGGACCACACTGTCTGTCTGGTTTCACCATAGGACTCTGTACCGGTGTGCATCAGGTCAAGTTGCCACACTTCACTCAGCACACAAAGCCAAAGCAGAAAGTAAAAACAAATGCAAAATAGAGACAGTAAACAGAGATATGAGGCAAAAAGAATAGCACTATGATGGAAGAACAATATAGTTTCATTGGAAATTATAAGTCACAAGGAGTGGATGCATCTGCGCTAGCCATTGAGAACAACTATTTTGAGCCATCCATATAACCGATTGTCTCCAGCCATCGTTGGTTTTTACCGTCCCGAGGACCCGAAAAAGGAAGTCTACACTCTCCTACATGGCTGGCTTAAACTAACTGTTGTGGATTTCATTGACTGATGATGTATTGTTTTCGTTTGACCACCACTGGCTCTTTTCCAACCTAACCCTATGTCAGCTAACATTGCCTGTGCACGAAGGCTATGGATGGCCAGGCTAGGCAGGCGTAACACATGTCCTGAACATCTCAATCGATGTAACTTCACAGCCTCGTCTATTGATTTCCCCTCTTTACCTAGCAGGACCATACACAGTCACCGCGAGATGGTGTCATATATATACGATCAGAAGTGCAAACAAAGAGAAGCAGGTGAACGTCTGCGAGCTTTGGAACTGTATACAGCAAGACAAGCAAACAAAGACGCAAGCACCAAGAAGATCGAACTGACTTCAGTCGAGTATGGTAGTGTGATAAAGACAATGTGTTCCAGCGGAATATTATTCACACATACACCCACAGTTCATTACTGCATGAACAACATTCTATTTCATGTCGTTTAATGTGAACCGAAATCACATCCTGAGTGATTGGTTAAAGAAAATAAAAAACAGTGGGGTTAGACAGGGTTGCCCAATCTCTCTATTTCTGTTTAACTTTGCCATCGATGACATTCTGGAGTCAGCTCTGAAGGATGTGTGTGAAGGTGGTGTAGATCTGCTACCTGGAGATAGACTTTTCGACCTCGAGTATGCAGACGATATCGTCTTACTGTGCGATAGCATGCAGGCTATAATGAAGGCTAGGGTGGCACACACCAACTTCAGCCACCTATAGCGCCGTCGTGACGTTAACCAGGCTGTCAAAGGTCGGATATCCAATGCTTCGGTGCGGGCCGTCTTGCTCTACGCCTGTGAAACGTGGCCTCTTCGAGCTGAGGATGTGCGGCGACTCTGCGGGTTCGATTACCGCTGTCTCCGCAGGATTGTTTGCGTTCGATAGCGTCATCGCATAGGTAATTCTGAGATTCCACGGCGTGTGTTTGAACACAGTGGAGATCACCATTCATTGAGTGTCGTCATCTGGAAACACCTGCTCCGGTGGCTTGGACATGTGCTGCGAATGTCACCCCAGAGGCTTCCGTACAGGTTTCTGTTCGCTAGCCCTGTGACGGGATGGAAACGATTGAGGGGTGGTCAGTCCATAACGTGGTTCCGTGAGATGAAGGGTGTTTGTGCTAGATTAGCATTGGTTGGTGCGTCACGACTGCCTGGTTGGGGCCCGCGAGATAGCTCAAATCGATGGCGCGGAACGTAATCGGATATGGCCAAGAATCGCAGTCATCAATGGCTAACGTGTTGTAATTTCCTTCTTTCTTCCCTTCTTGATGACAGTTAACGAATACCGTTTGAACTTGTTAAGTATGACTGTTTTCCTTTCAGATGTAGTTCTTTTTCCGTGCTCTACTTATATTTTTGCTTTCAATCTATGTTTTATTATTATTATTATTATTATTGTGTGGCGCATCCTTCTTGGTGCCATATTGTACCAAGTTTTTTTTATGCGTTTAAATAAGTAAAGATTATGAAAACTGTATTGATATAAATAGCTGTTTGATCACTTGAAGAAAATATACTTTGGCCTTAGTGTCTTGCCTTCTTCTGTTACACTATTATCATTCAATGTTCAATAAGAATTTAACACATGTGTACAAAAAAATATTCTGTTTTGTAGCCTATTTATCCAAGCATTAACTGAGAACCTACAACACATAAAGAATACAATACACCTACAAGACAGAAATCTACTGAATGCTTAAATTTATTCACAAGTCTATTATTCGTGCAAATTCTCTTAAAATGTCAACAATTCCTGGTTGTCATTTACGATGGCCAACTACTGTGGAGGAGATCAAAAGTAGAACATCATCGCTTGTAGATTATGCTCATTCAGTGTATAACAAAGTTGGTGAATCCAAAGATGCTTCTTCTTATAAATCAGTTGTATTGGTAATTTTCTGAATTGTTCAAATTTTTATTCACCTTTAGCCAATGTCATTATTTGAAGCTGTATATCAAACAGAAAGAAGTTGTCTAGACTTTCCACAGTATACTCATCCGTCAGCGGTTATACGTGATGCAAGTTGTGAAGCTGCGCGTAAATTAAGTGATGTTGAAGTGGAGTTAGAGTGAGTTTCATTTTGTTGTTGTTGTTTTTGTATTATATAATTTGATGTGCGTTTGTGGCGCCGACCACGCCTCATGTGGTCCGGAGATCGATCCCCGGACGACGAGGCACTCCTCTACCCCGCTATACGAGTAATAAGACTGGTAAAGAGGGAAGGATGGCGGCGGGGGGCATGAGGCTGGCTGGCAATCCTATCCTGTATAAAATAAACACCACTGGAACAGAAACTTCAGGCCTCTAGCTTGATGCCATACGTTCCATTGGGAATGTTAAGGAATTAGAAAAATTCTAGGTCTAGCTAAACGTTCCATTACTCTACTTGACTCCAATCTACTAGTTAGACTGACTGACCTATGTAACTGAATTAGAGTGGCATTTAAACCAACCGACCAACAAACTCTCTCAGAGATACATTTAGTCGGTTTAAGGATCCGATAAATCCAATTAAGAAAAATAATATAATTAACCAAATATCATGTAATGGCTGTGAATGGTGTCAATTTCATAAGTCAAAGTAGTAGGTCAGGGTCAACACAGTTACAGGAAGCTCCTGTGTCATTTGCCAACTTACGTCATCTCTAGCTAAGTAGACGTGATATCCTGCTGGCTATCGTTCAGAGGAGGACGTGTGTACTGCACAGCATCAGTGCACTCCGTTCACCTTTATGGCTATGAGACATGGTCGTCAAAAGTGGAAGACATCAAATGACTAGTTATCTTTGATGATGATGATGATAGGTGCCTGTGTCGTATCTCCCGTGTTAGGCAGCATAATAACACTGTTTATGTTAACATTATTTGAATTTTGTATTTTTAATATATTTGCTGTGCGTTGAAGTTTCTCTAGCAGTTTGCTAGGTTTATTGGTGTGAGGTTGCTAGCTCCAAGCCTAATCATCCTCTCTCTTCACCCTGGCTTCGGACGGGCTACTAGAAAACTAGCAAACCAGTTAATTCTGGGAACAAATCAACCAAGAGTCGGTCACTCAACAAATATGTAGGAGAAAATGGAGATGGATTGAGCGGGTATACTTTGAGGAGACCGTCAAATGATATCGCGCGCAATGCAGGCCATTGCTCGAGTGTAATTCCAATGGGAAGCGACGAGTGGGTCATCAGCGCGAGGGTGACATGGAAGAGGAAGAGATTGTGTGGGGAAGAGATGAGAGAGTTTGGGCAATCGTGGACCGAGCTGAAGAAAATGGCAGAAAATAGAAGAAAGTGGAGATGTGTTGTTGAACCCTTAGGTTCCACCTGGAACCCTACAGAATAATAATGATTTATGTTAACAATATAGTACAAGTTGTAGTATTTACATTCATATATATATATATATATATATATATATATATATATATATATATATATAAGAGAGAGAGAGAGAGAGAGAGAGAGAATTTTGTAGTCTATTAAACCCATTCAGCTACAGTATTCTTAATAAGCTAAATATTTGAGCATAAATTGGCACTTTTGTAATTGTATAATTATAAAAGTTATTCGAGTGTTTTTTTTAGTGCATCAGCGGTTCATTGTGTGTTGGTGGCGCAGAGGTAGAATGCTCGCCAGCCACTCAGGTGACCCGGGGTTCGATCACCGGGTGACGCATTCACAAACCTCTCTTAGCGAATAATAAACCCGGTAAAGAGGGAAGGTTGGATATGAGACTAGCAATCCCACCCCATAAAAATGAGACCATTGCTACCGAAAATTCAAAACTCTAGCCTGGAACCGCTCTATGTTTCACTGGGAACGCAAAGGGATAAAATAAAAAGAATAATTAAAGTGGTTCAGTGGTAAAATGCTGAGGCACATATTCCCTGTCGACTCACTCCTTAACCGATAGTAAACTTGGGGGTGAGTGCTGTCTGCTAGCCAAAATCGGTAGACAACAATTTATGTCAATGTATTTATGTCCTAAATTTTGGTCATGAGAAAAAAAGACAAGAACAAAGACTAACTCAACAACCAATCACAGCAGACTTAGTTAGCGTGGGTGGATACGATTAGCAGATACATATCAACGGACTGTCTAAGAAACGGCAACAAAGAGACGACAGAATAACCTTCAGCAGGAAAACAACCAATCAGAAGACGTTGCTTCTCTGCTAACAAAATAACGAATAATAATGTACATAGAAATGTATAAATATCTGTTGATTTTCTCAATAAACGCTGTGTTGTTTGGCTCTTCTATCTTCTGTTGTAACAAAACGAGTAAAATGTGACGCTAGATATCCTAACCCCGTAGAGAAACAAAAGCACCACTAATACACTGAAACTTCATAGGCAAAGCTTGAAGCGTGATATTCCACTTGTAACTCAGTGTGACAGTTGTTCACTACTCCTTGTTTGTTTTCACTGATGGTTCTCTAACTGATGGTAGCTTGTGATCAAACGTGAACAAACAAATCAAATCCCTAACAAACTAACTCTTAACTATTATACGAAAAAGGCACAAACAGCGAAGAAGGAAATTTTCTTTTCGACGATTCATTTTCATGAGTTGTACAACAATCGTAATTTATATTTAAGAAATAAATCTTTAGACCAATCAGATACTGGTAAACTTTGTCCTCGAAAAATGTATTACATAATGTAAGGCAAGCAACAAGTTGACAGAAGGAAGCATCAAAGATAGGACTTCAGGTGAATATAGAGAAAACAGATGTGGTGACGAAGATTCCTGGCCAACAGCAATACCAACAACAGACAACAATCAGCATAAATGTCAGGAACCTGAAAGGAATACCTATCTACCTACCGATCTGGGAAGCATCGTTTCAACTACAGGCCCACGGAACTGACGAGGATATCAAAGCAAAGATTGAAAAAGTAAGACAAGCTTTCATTACTCTCAAGTCTGTGTGGAGGTCAACAGCACTACTCAGCATCAAAAATAATATTCGGATTTTCAACTCCAATATGAAGTCAGTGCCACTTACTATACGGATCAGAGACTTGGCGCGTCATAAAGAGCATCTCAAACAAACTACAAACCATCATTAACAGTTGTCTTCGCTCAGTACTGAAGATCAGATGAACAGCCAGAAAATAGGCAGGAAGAAATGAAGATGGATTGGCCATACTCTGAGGAAACCATCAAGTGACATCACTAGACAGGCCGTCACTCGAGTGGAACCCGAAAGGGAAGCGGCGAGTTGGTCGTCAGTGCAAGGGTGACTTGGAGGAGGTGATGTGAAGAGGAGATGAAAGCGTGTGGGCAGACTTAGAGCCAGGTGAAAACGTTGGCAGAGAACCGAATGCAATGGAGACATGCGCGGCTGAAGCCCTATGTTCCTCTAGGAATTAAAGGAAACAATTGCAGCGAAGGAAATTCTCATATGAGAATGCAGAACTTTTCAAATCAACCGTTTTAAATTGCTACCTCGATTATATCAACAAAAAACCCAGCCTCCGTAACGTCCTTTCCCGCCTAGGTTCATAGACAAAAACCTCAAACCTAAGAAGACTTCCGAACAAGTCCAATCCGTTCCAAAGAAAATGCTTCTGCTTAATCTAGAATTCAGAGGTGATATTGAAGCAGAAATCCTTCGCAAACGCCTCTCAAAATCGCTGAGCAAAACAAACTTCGCCGCTAGCCTACGACTGACGTTTTCCTGCACGAAACTGTTCAGCCAGAACGCGAAAGACAAGCTGTCGCATTGGGCCACCTCAATGTGCATATACCAGTTTACTTACTCTTGCGGAGCTGAGTACATCGGCTGCACCATGTGCCAACTTGAAAAACGCCCTCGTGAACACTATCCAGCCTGGCTAGTAAAAGGAGAACCAAAAAGTGTCTATAGTTCAGTGACAGAACATCCGGTCAATTCAGGACATTCAGAGTCATTCGAAAAATCCTTCAAAATCATGTACAAGATTCAATCAACCCTATCAAAGGGAGTAAAATTAAGGCATCTGGGCATAGCCGAGGCGCTAGCTGTACAAAAGCTCAAACCCACGCTTTGTATACAAAACAAATACGTCCAACCCCTGTCCCTGCCATGGCCATCATAAACAGGTAATTTTTAGTAATCACCATCCCATCGCCTTTCTTATCTAAACTTCCTGTCTATTCATGTTATTTTAAGTTTTTCTTAATCCTTGTTTACACTACCATATTTTCATACCCGAACTTATTGTTTATTTTGCCATTTTACTACTTCTACATATTTAATCCCTGATTGCATAAACAATTATTCATCACATTAGTTTATATCCAAACATCCTGTCTATTTTTGTTATTCCTACATTTCAAACCCCTAATTGCACAATGTCAATCTTCTTAGTTATTATGATGCTACTTTGTTTGTTTTATCCATTCCCCTGTTTATTATGGTATTCTAATTCCTAATTGTAATTTTTATTAATTTGACCCTTGACCGGATATTATTCTGGAACTTTCCCATCCATTTGATATAAATACACGAATGTACAGCCTAGATGATGACTTCGTCGAAAAGAACATTTTCTTCGCTGCAATTGTCTTCTTATTAACTCCTATGACCCATTGTGTATATTCCGTGAATTAAAGCAAATACTAATGATGATAATCATAATAATGTAAAGTGTAAGAAGGGATGGCTAATTGTAAGTTAGAAAACAGGCAGAAGTTGGCATGACCTAATAAGTGTGAGATAATGACTAATCAATAAGCTTGCGGAGAATGGACAGGAACTAGTGGAGAGGCTATTAAGTGTTTTTATATAAAATCTGTATGAAAAAGCAATGTTATTAATAAACAGTAATAGAGTGGTAATAAAATATGGATGATGGGAGTAATAATGATAATAAAATAATAGTAATAATAATAATAATAGTGAAGTTACAGAATAAAAAGGAAGCAATATTATAGTAAGAACTTTACTCTGGCGACGGTAGCGTGAGAGGATGTATGTATCTCTTTTGAATATTATATATTGTTATTATATGTTATATTATTATTCTTTTATTAGAATGCGAAAGGATATATTTGAAAAGTTTGTTTCAATCCAGTCAAGTATGAATGAATCATTGAGTGATGAATATCGTCGTTATGTGAATAGAAAAGTACAATTAGGTCGTAGAAATGGTTTGTCAATGTTAACTATATCTCTATAAAAGTGATCTTTGATCATAGGTCTTCATTTGGATAGCGACAGCAGAAAGATAATAGAAACTTTGAATAAAGAAGAAAGTCAACTGTGTATTGATTTCAGTCGGGCTTTAAATGAAGAGAACACTGTGCTGGAGTTTACTGATGAAGAGTTGGGTATGTTCTGCTTTTCTAATTTTGTCTTTCTAATGATTTATATTCGGTTATTTAGTAAGCGAAAATAACTTCAGTCAAGTTATGTTTATTCATCATGTATTAGGGTATCATCTCATTGGCTTAAGCTCTTTCTGTTTTCAGCTCTGTGTGGATGACAGGTTCAAGTCCCAATCCTCCATCCAGTTCAACCTCCTAAACAACAACTGGTTGGTCAGCTGTCGCACGATAACTTTGTTTGTTTTACTTAATTTCTTCCCCTTCTGAGTGGAACATAAGACTTAAAGCTTCGACTTTGAGAGTTTCACAGTAGCGGTGGGTGGAGGGGGAGGTTGCTAGTCTCACTCCTAACCTTCCCTCTCTTCAGGTCTACTACTGGCCAAGCGGTGATTAAGAGTGTGTTGGTTGGGAATCGAACCCTAGTCACATGCTTGGTTGGCGTGCACTGTACCACTGAACTGCCGATGCATATTTATTATTATTGTTCCCTTGAGTTCCTAGTGGAACATAGGGCTTCAACTGCACGTCTCCACTTGCTTCTGTCTTCCTTCTGCTGTACTTTTCACCTGCATCCACCCTTGTTAGTCCATACTGTTTCAACTCCTCTCTCTTCACACGATCTCCTCCATGTCACCCTCGCACTGACGACCCACTCGCCGCTTCCTTTTCGGCCTGGTTCCACTCGAGGGCCTGACGCGCGAGGTCACCCAGCGGTCTCCTCAGCGAGTGTCCGATTCATCTCCACTTTCTCCTGCGTATTTATTGTTTGGCGATTGATTGGTTTTTGTTTTGTTTGTTTGTTCTCAGCCATAGTTTCTTGTTGGTGATTCTTTCCGGCCATCTGATCTTCAGTATAGATCCAGCGAAGACAGTTAGTTGTTGATAAAGGTCTGCAACAGCCTGTTGAAAATATTCTTTGTGACCCACGTGCCAAGTTTCTGATCCGTATAGAAGAACTGACTGACTTGACATTTGTACTGAAAATCCGACCGAATTTTGTTGTTGGTGCTGAGTGACGAAGATTTCCAGATTGGTTTCAGGTTGATGAATGTGTTTCTCGCCTTCCCGATTTTCGCTCGATTTGACATCCTCGTCCGTTCCGACTTCCTGTAGTTGAGACAATGCTCAATGCTAGATAAGTGAATGAAGTAACCTCTTTCAAATCCCTCCCGTTGATGGTGATTGACGCTGGGTGTTGCTGCTGCTGTTGTTGTTGGTTGGTTATTTTCATAACCTCCGTCTTGCCTATGTTCAGATGGAGTCCTGTCTTTGCTGCTTCTTTGTCCAGTTTGTCGGTTTTCGCTTGTAAGTCTTCGATTGTGTGTGACATCAAACATAAATCATCCACGCGCGAAATCCAGGTCTTCTAGGTTCTTCACGTCGGTCTGTCCAGGATATCCCTGTCTTCTCATTTCTCATACCTTAGTATTTATTTTCAGGTGACCAGATGACCTAGTGGATAACATTTGCTTGTCGCTGGTTTATTGGTGGAATTGGTCTCTGGCTCCATGGGAGGTTTAAGTTCAATCTACCGCTGACTCACTGCTAAACCGCGTCTAGTTTACTAGATGATGGCGAACCTGGGGATTGGAGGGAAGGCTGAGCGTGAGGCTGGGATGGATACTGTCCCAATACAACGGTTCATCCCAAATCCATTGTCAGTTATTCTTTTGCCCGTTTAGTTCCTGAGGATTTAATTAATTTTGATGTCGATTTCATCATGTATAAGTTGAAGAAATATAAAGCACTGGGTGTGAAGACAAATATTCGCCGATGATATTGCCTAGCAGTGGCACTACCTGTCACGAATTCGGAGAAGGTAGAATTCATGTGATGGTCAACGAATTTCGTCCCAGTGGCTGGATGGACCATGGGATTGCCCGGCAACCTGGGAGTTCTAAGTTGGTTCCCTGGTGGTGGGGTCATTAGTGTATACTGTTGAAGAGTCGCAAATTAGAACAGGATACCTTTCCAGTACTCCCTGGTTTTCAGTGACTGCCTAACTGACGTCAGTTCGTAGTCAAACTTGGAATCAATGAAATCCCCATAGATGAACACGTGGAAATTGACATGAAGCTATGACTTGAACATGTTATGGAAAAAGACAGTCGAAGCATCTGCACAAGAAGTCTACATGTCAACCTGAGACCGAGCACTTCGGTCCAGTCAATCGATGGATAAATCTAAATTGAATTGAATTTTTAATATGACCCGTTGCACAATAGTTGGCTGTCGTGGTCCAAGTGGTCTAGTGGATAACGCTTTGGCGCTTGAAACTATGGTCACTGGGTTCGAGACTCGGCAGGAACACCACCACTGACTCACTGGGGAACTCAGGTATATCCAGATGATAAGTCCCAAATAGGACGAAACATACAACCTGGATTCCACTGCTAGTCACCATCCACCAATTAACTTCTTAGAATACTCTTTGTTTACACTTATTATATAAATTCTGGCAATACTATGCGGCTACTAAATCTGCGATAAACGGTTCAAATTTACAGTCTACTAGTTAAAATAACCTGCATAGATTAATATTCCATCTAATTCAATTTAGATTTTTCCGTCGATTTACTGGACCGAAGTGCTCGGCTCTTAGTACAGATGCTTCGACGATGTCTGGTCATATGACGTCAAGTCAGTTGGTGGGGTGGGGACCAGCAGTGGAATTCAAGAAAACTAGCAGTTTTGTCCTGTTTTGAACTCTTCATCTGGATGTACCTGCATTCCTCAGTGAGAAAGATAGTATTCCCATCGAGGCAGGCATTACTTCTGTTTTGTATTTCATTTTCATACAATAAATTAGGACTAAACTGAAATGTTACTCACCAACCATTTACACCAGCTTAAGCACTCAACTTTTAGTCAGTGGGCCACGTGTTCGAACCCCTGTTTCCACCTACTTCAGCCTGGGCGAATCGGTGATATCATCATGGGCCTTTTTACGACGCGTAGAATAGAACGTGAAAGGTCTTCTCCGGGTGTTGTCTTCAAACAAACTACTTATAATTCCATACAGTTAGCAACGAGTCACACCTATGGCGTGGGGTTCGAACTCATTAGAAGTCGAGTGCCCTTAGACCAATAAGCTACAGCTGCACTAACAAATGGGGAAGTCTACCCCCATCCACATGGCATTTCTTTGTTTTTGTAAAATTGTTGTAATTTAACTTTAACCTGTGTATACTTCTTTTGTTTTTTTCTCTTTATTATAGCTGGATGTCCTACGGATTTTATTAACAGTTTAAAAAAGGCAGGTTTACTCTTTCAAATAAATATCTTGTTTTTCTATAGTTTGGTTTGTAAGGATTAGTTTTGTTTTGATGAGTTGGTCACGGATTGATATCAGTTAGAGAACCAGCCACAGGGACACCTGTTTTATCCTAGTTTGGGAATTGTCGGCGGTACGGAGTTTCCTGGAGTTCTAGTGAGAAGTTTTGACCAGTGAGATCCGTCCAGTAAAAATGTGTGACGATGGATGTTTGGCATGCGATTCGCTCCCGCCAAATGCAAGATGATGTTACAGGACTGGACTACATCGACGCCTAGTTTAAAAATAGGAAGTGAAGTGGTAGAGCACGTTGACCGCTTCACTTATTTGGGAAGTACCATCAGCCAGTTCCAACGGGTTGATCTCTGACGAAATCTCAGCACGAATACAGGGGGCTCGTTTCGCATTTGCCAGTTTACGCCGACTCTGGCGTAGACGAGATGTTCGACTATCGACCAAAGGGCGGGTGTACTGCTCATCAGTCCGCTCCGTCCTCCTTTATGGCCAGCTGTGAGACCTGGCCACTGAGAGTGGAAGACATGAAAAGACTAGCTGTCTTTGATCATAGATGCCTGCGCTCTATTTCCCGTGTAAAGTGGCATAATAAGGTGAGCAACATTGAAGTTAGGCGTCGAGTGCTAGGTAAACAGGGGAAATCAATCGACGAAGTCGTGAAGCTACAAAGACTGAGATGGTTAGGACATGTGTTACGTATGCCAAGTCATCGCCTCCCTCGACAATGGGTAATGTTAGCGGATATAGGGTCAGGCTGGAAAAAAGCTACCGGTGGTCAAACAAAAACTTGGCACCAGTCAATCAAATCCACAACAGTTGGTCTCAGCCACGTAGGAAGGTGTAGACTTCCAGGCTGGGGTCCTCGGGACGGTAAAACTCTATGGTTGGAAACAATTGGTGACATGGCTCGAAACCGTTCTCAATGCATGGCGCAGATGCATCCACTCCTTGTGACTTATGATCTCCAATGAAACTGTTTTGTTTTTCTGTATTACTCCTTTGTCTCACACCTCTGCTCACTGTTTCTATTATGCTTTTCTTGTACTTTCTTCTCTTTCTTTGCGTGCTACACGGAATGTGGCGACTTGAACTTCCGCACATTTGTGCAAAGTTCTATGTCGAAAACAGATAGACAGACAGACAGGTACGGAGTTTCCTGGAGTTCTAGTGAGAAGTTGTGACCAGTGAGATCCGTCCAGTAAAATATGTGACGATGGATCCCCCACCGATGACATTGGTTGGTGGTCATGCTAAATGCATCACGAATTGGTAGAAGATAGAATTTATGGACTGGTCATTGAATCGGGTCCCAGTGGCTGGCTGAATGGTATACGAGCCAGCTAGCCTTGTAACCGAAAGGTCCTGGGTTTGAACCCTTGCAGTGGATGCGTTCTGCCGATGATTCCCAAACTAGGATGAAACAGCTGGCTGTCCAATGGTTCTCTAACTGGTATCGATTCATGATCAACTCGTAAGAAAAATATTTTGTTGTTGGCATGATTCTTTGTTCTCCTGTTTATTGTTTTGTTTCACAGTTTCAAAAACTTTATTCCAATCATATAACTAGTTAAAATCATCAATTTTTACGTTGTCAAATAAAAGGCACCTTAAAATAAGGTGCACCTTGTGAGAATGTGTGTCTGCTATTTATTTATTCCTTCGTGTTCCAAGTGACACATAAAAGGCTTCAAGTTTGAGCTTCGGAATTTCACTTGGAGTTGTGCTTATTTTGTTTTTTACGGGATGGTTTTACTAGCCTCACACCCAACCTTCTCTGTTTCCTAGAATTATTGCCGGCTAAGGAGGTTAAGGAGTGTGTCGACCCCGGGATCGAAACCCAGATCACGTGCCTGGCGGCTGAGTGTTCTACCGCTGAACTACCGACGCAGCTCAGTATTTTACTTATCTTTCTCAATTGATGGCAAAGTTAAACCATAGCGTCTCAAGTTATGCCAACGCACGAGTGACCTTGAGTTGACCAATCATAAAAATGAGAGATTTTTACACAAAATTGACATATATTTACAAAAAAATTGCATAAAAACACATTAAACAGGGCATTTTTCTCTGACATGGCTTAAAAGTACGTCTCAGTGATAATGGGGTGTGTCAGTTTTTAAATTAAACCAATTTGTGTATATGTATTCATCCAGATGACTAAGAACAAGTTGGTTTTGAGAGCTGTTCATTGCTCCTATCCCCGAGAAACTCTCTATTGAATTCTTATGAGTGCTCATCGTGGGATCGACGAAATCATTTGAATGATTAACTCGATTGTGTATATATCCCAAATCCGATAAGCGGTTATATCAGGGATAACGAGCCTTTGAATAATACGCAGAAGAGTGTCGTCAAAGAAAGTTTCTATTTCGTATAGAAAGTTCCTAGAAAACAGTGAACTGAGTGTTACCACTTACCAGAACGAACACTCGTTCGTTTCCTAAACTCCGTACATCTAAATATGTGTATATATTCATGAATAACTTGTGAATACGGTGGCAGGTTCATTGAAGCACCGCAACTACATCTGCGACTACGTCCTATCAATCCATTATCCAGCAAGTATTTCAAAATATGGTCCGAAAGTGAAATTTGCATCTCGCTTCATGAACAGCGTTCATTTTTGCGTTAGGTTAATCTCAGGTGTCTTTGGCCAACGACTAGCATGCGCTCTAGGTCACTGGAGCGTTCGCACCCCTTGGACGCTACTGTTTAACTTCGCCCAATTGACTACTACTATTGTGGTGAGAGCTGGATGCATGCCGAAATTGTAGACAGCAAGTTAGGTCAATGTTACATCCCGAATCAGGGTCATGAGAAAAACAATAACAGAGTCTAACCTTGAGGAACTCACCAACCAATCACAGCAGGCTTAACATGTGCAAATACCATTCTCAGACATATGGCTTAACCTTCTGAGAAACGGTAACAAGCAGTACAGAATAACCTTCAGTAAGAAAACAACCAATCAAAAGCCGTTGCTTCTCTGCTAACAATAACGCTAATAATGATTTTCATAAAAATCTATAAATATCTGTTGATTTTCTCAATAGACGATCTGTTGTCTGGCCCTTGTCTTCTGTTGTTACACTACTATTATTGTGTCTGCTTTTTCATTTTTTTCCGCTAGCTTCCTTCGGGAAAACGTGAAATTTCCCTGAAATATCCTCATTATTATCCAGCAATACAAATGGCTTGTAATCCAGAGACAAGAAGAGTTTTACAGACTATGTTTAATTCAAGGTGAGTTATTCCTTCTTCTTCTTGTTGTTGTTCTAGTAAACAACTTGCGTTTTTTGATTCACTTTGTTAATCTGACTGATCGTCAACAAGTACTACTGTGGGTGTTGATGTGTATGTTATCTGACTACTTATTACGCATCTATCAGTCAATGAGTAGTATGTGGCGGCATGTATTCATTCTTGTTGTCTTGATTGTTATTTGTAGTGTCGAGTAGATCTGATTAATTTTGGATCTCAAAGGAAACTGTGTTGTAAAATTTCACTTCCTGGAACTGTGTAAAGCGTAAATCGTGAATTTAATTTAGCCATGTACATAATTCAGTGTCCTTTGTCAGTGTGTAACTTAACTGTACATTGTGTTTGAAGCATACATTTACTAATGTGTGGTTTTTATTCTATCACAGATGTGATATATGCTATAATAGCTCTGTTGTACAGTATATGTATTGAATATAAACGTACTAGAGATGGGCTGTATACAGGAAGTTCCCTGGAGTTCTAATGAGAAGTTGTAACCACTGTGGTTGATCAAGTTGGGTAAGAAGAACAGTGACTCACTGATGACAATGTCTGGCGGTTGCGCTATGTACATCGCGAATAGGCAGAAGGTAGGATCTATGGATTGGCTTTCAGTGACTAAATGGTCTTCGAGCTCACCTTGTAATCAAAAGGTGCTCGATTCGAACCTTGGTAGGTTCGGACTGGTGAATATTCCCAAATTGAGGTGGAGCGGGTATTCAGTACTCCTTGTTTTGTATTAAAATCTAGTTGTTTTCATTCTTGTGGTTGAACTTAGTGAGTTCACAGTTGTTGTGTAAAATAATGAAATTTAATATCTCAGACGAATGGGGATTTCAAAGTCATCCAGGATTAGGAAAGGAAGAGAGAGGTTTATTGCTACAATACAAAGCCCTTGAGTGTAAGTGGAATCGGGAACGATGAGTTGGGCGTCATTCCGAGGGTTGTTTTGTAGGCCATCATATAAATCGGAATTGAGAACTTTTGGGGGCGATCGTAGAACTAGCTAAAAACGACATTAGAAGAACGGAGTGGATTGGAGATGTGGACTGCTTGAACCATATTATACTGACTTTCACCCTGCTTCATTTATTCCCGAGTGTCATTGCGCTTCATTGTGAAGTAGACATTCACATCACATAGTGGTGGTCACCCGTTCGAATCCTACTACATCTATCTATGTCTTCTTAGTTGTTTAACGTCAACCTAGACAGAATAGTTTTCACTCATTCTCCGAAGTATATTAACATACATTAGCAGAATTCATTGCATTTGCATTCCAATTCAATTCTGGACTCGTCAGCTGGTGGATATATCTGCCATCCCACCTACACAACTGATTGATGTTTTTACCACTGTGATTCAAACCTTTAAAACGCCATAACCATCAAACAAAAATAACTCGACGTTTATCCGTAAACATCATCGAAGTGACAGTACTAAGGCACCGAAATGTCAGCAACTCCAACATAATCGATCTACGGAGAATGCAAAAATTAGTCTAAAAACAAATTTTCAAGAGTTGGTTTGTAAGGATCCGATTTATGTCAAGTTTGATCACGGATCGATTTCATTTAGAGCACCATTGAAAACCAATAGGGGGTACTGCACACCTGTTTTATCCTGGTTTGGAGGGACTATTCAGCAGTACATCTCGCTTGCGGGGGTTCGGACCTAAGCCTTTTACTAGCCGAGCTGCCAGGACATTCAACCACTGGGATACGATCCAATGGCTAACCCATGAACTCCGACTTCTACAACTTTGTGATTTAACGCGACTAGCAGCCAATGTTATCAGTGAGTGATTGTTCTCACATCCAACCGGACAGACCCCGCTGGTCACAACTTTTCTCTAAAAAGAAATAATCAATTAGTATGCATTTATCTGTTGAGTAATATACTATTTACTTTGGTGTTAGGTTAATGAGTTAGTAAATCTAGAAAGTAGCTCTATGTGTTCCTCGTATACTACATTGTTCAAGTTATTTTATTTGTATTCCAGTAAATGATAGTCTCCTTATTGAAAATTAAACCTACATTTCTGTTTTTCGAATTTGTATAGACCATTGTGTGATTAGGCTCTATTTACCGCCATAAGGATCATTTTTGAGTAATTTTACTTGAGCAGATTTACCAAAGTATTTGTAAATCTATTATTATTATTTTTCCAAGTATTGGTTTCGTAGGGATTTTGTTTGATTGTTTGGAGGATTTCACCATGAGCTGACATCAGTCAGAGAACCACTGGAAAACCTGAGAGTACTGGACAGCTCTTTCGTCCTCGTTTGGGACTCTTCATCAGCACGCACCCACCGGGGTTCGAGCCCAAGACCTTCTGGTTACAAGGCGAGCTCGTAGACCATTGAGGCACTGAAACCTGATCCATTGGTCCTTGAATTCCAACTTCTGCCTTGTAACCAGAAGGTCCCAGTGGGTGCGTACTGATGAAGAGTTCCAAACTAGGACGAAACAGCTGTCCAGTACTCTCAGGTTTTCCAGTGGTTCTCTAACTGATATCAGCTCATGGTGAAATCCTCCATATTATTTTTCCCTTGGGTTCCTAGTGGAACATAGGGCTTCAACTGAAGCAAGTGGCGACGTGCAGTTGAAGCCCTATGTTCCACTAGGAACCCAAGGGAACAATAATAATAATAATAATAGATTTACAAACACTTTGGTTTTTGATTTTAAAAAGTTTCATTACTTCATTTGTTTGATAATGATAACTAGATATAGAATTTAGGACACACAGCAAACACAAATCCGTAACATGATGACATATTCGTTCTGAATTCCACTGTTAGTTCCCAACTGTAAGTGATGATAAAGTATTGAATTCAATTTCGATTTTCCCGTCGATTTATGATTGGACTAAAGTGCTCGGTCTCTCAGGTTAACATGTTGTTAGCTCCTAGTGCAGATGCTTCAACGATGTCTGGTCATGTAACTTGAAGTAAGTGAGTGGATGGTGACTAGCAATAGAATCCAGGAAAACCAGCATTTATTCCTATATCGGACTCGCCAGCTGGTGGATGTACCTCCATTACCCAATGAGAGTGATGCTGTTCCTAACTAAGTGCTTATCCTTGATTCCACTGCAAATCACCATCCACCAGTCGACTTCATGTCACATGATCAGACATCATCGAGGCATCTATACAAAGAGCAAACATGTCAACCTGAGAGATGGAGCACTTCGGTCCAATCATCAATCGACGGAAAAATCTAGATTGAATTAAATGATTAATAAAACCCGTTGCACAAGAACGAGGTGGCTGTCATGGCCCAAGTAGTCTAGTGGATAACGCTTTGGCGTTTGAAACTATGGGAACACTATAACTGACTCACTGAAGAATGCAGGCGCATCCTCTAGCTGAAGAGTCCTAAATAGGACGAAATCCGCATCCTGGACTCTACTACTAGTCATCATCCACGAATTGATGGTAAATTATATCCATAAAGTATATATCAGTTTCAATAAACAAGTCTTTCTTGTTTGCATAGAAGTAAATGTGTGATAGTTATGTCTAAGCAGCAGGCTTCAAAGCACACATGACCCATTCCACCATTAATGCTTCACTCTTACTTATATCCTGATGGAGCTTATCAAAACCATTATGTCTGTTTTATTTTGTTTTCTCAATAACACTAAATTGGTACAATACACGGGTTACAAGAGATACGCTACACATCAACAATAAGATAACAATGTATATAAAATAAATTAGGGGGAGAACGAATGCTAGACGTTGTCATCCAGAAAGGTAGCAACCATATTTGTTAAGGTCATTCAACATTCATTCAATCACTACTTCATGATACTTCCAGAAAGAGAAGAAAACGGAGGGAAACTACAGCATGTTCACCATTGATCGCTATTCTTGACCCGACATCTGATAACGTTTCAAGGCATCGATTTGAACTATCTTTTATACCCCAATCAGAAGGACTCACGATGTACCAAATGATGCTAAACTAAAAATAAATGTCCTTCATCCCATGATAGCATTTTTATAGACTGTCCACTGCCTATGCTTGTAGTTTGTAACAGTAAGCGCACAATTACAGTCTCTCACGCGTCGTTGGAACTGTATACCCATAATTCCTAGCGTCCACGAAACAGGTTCATACGTTATTTGATTCGTTCAGATTCTGCATCCCATGTTCACACCATAGATGTGGAATGAGGATTTCTCAGCTTCCCTAGGTAGACGACCATGCCCACCACCAGTCAGCTTATATAAGCAGAAGACGTTCTCATTCACTCGTCCCTCAAAGTCCCTCCACCCTCAGTGCCGTAACGGGTCGTTGAGGGGTCAATGCACCTAAGGAGGTATGCCTTAATATAACTTTAAGCGTGTTTTACCACTGAATGGTTCTGTTATTTTTTTTTGTATTTATTGATATCACTACTCATATATGTATATGATGTTGTGCTCGTGTTACTTACCCTCAGCTCATAATGAATGACATCATTTTCATTGAAACAATGTTGTCAACTAATTTATTGTAATAATACAAGTGCATGTTTCGTTAGACATCTGCCATAATCAATCAATTCAATTAAATGAAGCTCTCTTTCACATTTGAGCTTCACTCATCATATACTTTTGGGTAATTAGAGTTCTATGTGCGTTACTCTTTGTGCTTTTGTTGTTATATAATTGTTGTGTTGTTTTTTTTTCATAAACTGTGTTTTCTGTGTACAATCCCCCCTTTTTTTTACACATGTTTTTTTTGTTCTATGTGTATATGTGTATACTGAACAGTCGACATTTGTTACGGGTTACATATTTGAGCGTTTGTGCTGATTAATTGACTGATTGTCTGAGTTTCATTCAACATAGAATTTTGCACAGAAGTACAACAGTTCAAGTTGCCACACTTCATGAAGAATACGAAGGAAGATATAAGAGAGGAATGTTTTCTGTGCATAAAGAAGGTCACAAAGACTGAATGTACCATCTGCACCAGCCGTTGAGAGTGATTTCGAACCATGCTACTAACAGTCTTCAGTTACTGGTTCTTTGGACCCCTAAGAATTTCAAGCGGGCAGTCTACACCTCTGTCTGTCTGTCTGTTTTCGACATAGAACTTTGCACAAATGTGCGGAAGTTCAAGTCACCACATTCCGTGTAGCACGCGAAGTAAGAGAAGAAAGTACAAGAAAAGCATAATAGAAACAGTGAGCAGAGGTGTGAGACAAAGGAGTAATACAGAAAAACAAAACAATTTCATTGAAGATCATAAGTCACAGGGAGTGGATGCATCTGCGCCACTGAGAACGATTTTGAGCCATGTCACCAATAGTTTCCAACCATAGATTTTTGCCGTCCCGAGGACCCCAACCAGGAAGTCTACACCTTCCTACGTGGCTTAAATAAACTGTTGTGGATTTGATTGACTGGTGCCAAGTTTTTGTTTGACCGCCGCTAGCTTTTTTCCAGTCTGACCCTATATCCGCTAACATAGCTCGTCGAGGGAGGCGATGACTTGGCATACGTAACACATGTCCTAACCATCTCAGTCGATGTAGCTTCACGACTTCGTCGATTGATTTCCCCTGTTTACCTAGAACTCTACGCCTAACCTTCATGTTGCTCACCTTATTATGCCACTTTACACGGGAAATAGAACGCAGGCACCTATGATCAAAGGCAGCTAGTCTTTTCATGTCTTCCACTCTCAGTGGCCAGGTCTCACAGCTGGCCATAAAGGAGGACGGAGCGGACTGATGAGCAGTACACCCGCCCTTTGGTCGATAGTCGAACATCTCGTCTACTAAGCCAGAGTCGGCGTAAACTAACAAATGCGAAACGAGCCCCTTGTATTCGTGCTGAGATTTCGTCAGAGATCAGCCCGTTGGCACTGGCTGATGGTACTTCCCAAATAAGTGAAGCGGTCAACGTGCTCTACCACTTCACTTCGTATTTTTAAACTAGGCGTCGATGTAGTCCAGTCCTGTAACATCATCTTGCATTTGGCGGGAGCGAATCGCATGCCAAACATTCGTAGATTGCTGTTCAAGGTGTTTAGAAGACTCTGCATTTTGTCAGCGTCTTCGCCTAGAAGGACTATATTGTCTGCATATTCCAAGTCAACGAGATTATTCCCAGGTAGCAAGTCAACACCTCGCTGTGTGGTTGGTTCACACCAACAGCCAAAGATTTCATGGAGTGATTCAAAGTATTATGGTGGTTGGAGGCAATCAGCAGGAAGCCGTAGACCTAGATTTCGTGTTAGTTGGCACTTGTCAGTCGGGTGCATCTTCAACCTTGAAGGAACGCATCTCCCTTCTGAGATTCGAACTCGCATCACCCAGTGCTGAAGTCAGAGACATTACCACTAGTAGATACTAGCAGATTGGTCACATTGCAAACCTGACTGATAGAATTCAGTCTGCGTCAAACTAAGGACCAGACGCATCACACTAGTTACTAGTGTCTAATCAAAGTATCCAATGCAGTCCTACAGGAGGTCAATCACGAGCTCGAGTAACTCGGTGGTGACGTCTCTGACTACAGAACTCACTGGGTGACGCGGGTTCGAATCTTAGAAGTGAGATGAGTTTCTTCAAGGTTTCAGATACGCCATGCTGACTGGTGAGTGCCAACTAGCACGAAACCTAGGTCAGACAAGGCTTCCTGTGACCGATTGTCTCCAACCATCTAATATCATCAAATCAATGTATACCATGATGGTGAGCTACCCAGAATGGTGGCTACATTGCCACCTTTACTGCTAGAATTCAGTCTGCACCTAAGAAAGGACTAGAAACATCACACTAGTTACCAGTGTCCAATCAAAGTGATTCAAAGTTTTGGTGTGACCATCACTCCACTTGCTCTTATTCAACCTGATCAATCCTGTGTCAGCTAACATTGACATATCCTAGCCATTTCATCGATTGAATTTCCCTCTTTACTCAACACTCAACGCCTAAAATCAATATTACTCACCCTATGAAAACCTTCAACACGGAAGATAGAGCGCAGACATCTATGATCAAAGACAGCTAGCTAGCCAGGTGTTTCATATCTTCTACTTTCAATGACTATGTATGACAACCATGACGGAGGGAAGATCAAGCTGTGTAGCATGGCTTTTCATCAGTACGACTCATGAACCCAGTAGGGTGTTGTGAATCTAGAACTTTCAGGTTACGATGCAAGTCCATAGACCATTCAGCCGATGGGGTAAGTTTCATGTTGGATGTCAGACTGCCTTTGCATTGTATGTTGACTAGTTCTGTTGAAAGTTTGTTTCTCTGTTTTGACGGAATATGTTAGATGTTTTGTTGAAGTCGTATGGATGAATGAATGAATGATTAAATGTGTTTTCCATCATACAACTACACAAACTTTTCTGCTTTGAACTTTCTTCTCCTTCTCATACTTTATAGATGTGTGAAAGAGAATACACCAATTTTAAAACGTTTAATGGAATTACGTAAAGAAGTAAGTGAAATTATGTCTGTCTTTGATTTTCTTTCTCCCTGTTCTTCACACACACAAAAAAAAGTTAGGATGATTGGTTAAAAAGATGTCATCTGAAGTTATGGTAACCAGTGGTGTCCTTCAGGGGAGGGATACTCACTATCCTGATTTCTGTTTAATTTCATCATATATGTGCACTAATAGAATTGACCTTAACTGACTAACCTCACCAGATACTAGCTTGCTAGGCTACTAGCTTACTAGTTTTCTACCCGGTCCCAAGCCGGGGTAAAGAGAGAGGGTTGAGGCGTGGTGCTAGCAACTCCACCCCTGTAAAACAACCAAATCGCTACAGAAACTTCAACGAATAAATATACTAAAAATTCTAAAAACATAAACAATAGCCTTACTTTTCGCTGGAATCGGGGAAGTGAAATGACGCAGGCTGGTGAAAGCCTTCGGGAAGCCAGTCAGCCGATGTGCCTTCTTTCGATGAAAGCAAAAGTAAGGATGGGTACCTGGAATGTTCGTACAATGTACGAAACTGGAAAGGCTGCCCAGATAGCCGCTGAAATGAGAAGGTACAGAATAGAAGTGTTGGGAATCTGCGAAAGCAGATGGAACGGAACTGGAAGGTGCCAACTACCTACTGGAGAGACAGTAATCTTTTCCGGCCACCCAGAGGACAACCATGAGCACACCGAGGGAGTGGCCATCATGATGTCACCAACAGCAGCAAAAGCTCTCATGCAGTGGGAACCAATCTCCTCCAGGATAATGACAGCCAGGTTCAACTCAAAAGGAAGGAAAGTTACAGTCATTCAATGCTATGCGCCTACAAACGTCTCAGAACAAGAGAAGAAGGAGGCGTTCTACAGACAACTACAAGCAATAATGGACAACGTCCCAAATGGCGATATCAAAATCCTGATGGGCGACATGAATGCGAAGCTGGGAGGAGACAACACAGGAAGAGAACTCACCATGGGTCGTGAGGCCCTCGGCGAAATGAACGACAATGGTGAACTCTTCTCAGACTTCTGCGCCTTCAATGATTTGGTGATTGGTGGTAGTGTGTTCAAACACAAGGATATACACAAGACGACATGGATTTCACCAGATGGAAACACCAAGAACCAAATAGACTTCATCTCAATTTCAAGAAAGTGGAGACGGAGCCTACTGGACACAAGGTCAAGGAGAGGAGCAGATGTGGGTTCAGACCACTATCTAGTACAAGGGACTTTCAAGGTGAAACTAAAAGCCTCGAGGATAGCTGGGGATAGGCCACAATGCAAGTTCAACACTCAGAAACTGAAGGACACAACCACAAAAGACACTTTCACTGCAACTGTCAGAGCAAAGCAGGAAACACTACGCGACATCACTGAAGAATCATGCGTGGAAGAACATTGGAAGTCTCTGAAGGCGATTCTCAACGAAACGTGTTCAACGGTTCTAGGAAGAAAGAAGAGACAAGACAAGGAATGGCTCTCAACGGACACTTGGAAATTAATAGAAGAGAGGAGAATGGTGAAAGAGAAAATGATTCAATGCAAGGACGGACAGGAGAAGGAGACGCTGAGCTCAACTTACACAGCACTGGACAAAGAAGTGAAGAAGAGTGCTAGGAAGGACAAAAGACGATTCTACGACAACCTGGCCACTGAAGCTGAGAAGGCAGCAGGCAAAAGGGACCTGAGGACACTATATCAGATAACCAAATCTCTATCCGGGAAGAGATCAACACAAGCGAAACCTATAAAAGACAGCCAAGGGAACCCAATTACCAAGGAAGAAAGAAAGATTAAACAATGGGCGGATCACTTCAAAGGACTCTTGAACCGACCATCACCTGCAACCCGTCCAGAAATACCAACAACAGCGCGCACACAACTGCAAGTTGACACCAATCCTCCAACGAGAGCTGAAGTCTTGAACGCAATCAAGCTTCTGAAAGCTGGAAAAGCAGCCGGACCAGATGGAATACCCCCTGAAGCACTGAAAGCAGACCCAGAGACTACAGCAGACATGCTGACTCCATTATTGCAAAAGGTCTGGAAGGAGGGAAAGGTGCCTACTGACTGGAGGAAAGGTTACCTCGTGAAACTACCAAAGAAGGGCGACTTAGAACTCTGCAAGAACTGGCGAGGAATCATGCTCCTGTCGACGCCAAGTAAAATCCTGAGTCGCATCATCCTGGAGAGAATAAAGGACGCACTGGATGCAGAACTCCGACCAGAACAAGCTGGATTCAGGAAAAGGCAAATCATGTTCCAACCAAATTGCAACTCTAAGCATCATCTTCACAGAACAAAGCATGGAATGGCAATCAAACCTCTACCTCAACTTTATAGACTTTGGGAAGGCCTTCGACAGCGTTGACCGTGAAGTAATTTGGAAACTACTCGAGTACTACGGCGTACCCTAAATATTCATCAACCTTATTCAACAGCTGTACGACAACGGCACATGCCAAGTGATCCACAGCGGAAAACTCAGCGAGGCGTTTGGAGTAAACACAGGAGTCAGACGAGGGTGCTTACTATCACCAATGATATTCCTAATTGTGGTGGACTGGATTATGCGTCAGACAGTGGGAAACGAGAAGACAGGAGTATCCTGGACTGACGTGAAGAACCTAGAAGACCTGGATTTCGCGCGTGGATGATTTATGTTTGATGTCACACACAATCGAAGACTTACAAGCGAAAACCGACAAACCGGTCGAAGAGGCAGCGGCGAAGACATGACTCCAAGTGAACATAGACAAGACGGAGGTTATGAAAATAACCAACCAACAACAACAGCAGCAGCAACATCCAGCGTCAATCACCATCAACGGGAGGGATTTGAAAGAGGTTACTTCATTCACTTATCTAGGAGCATTGTCTCAACTACAGGAGGAACGGACGAGGATGTCAAATCGAGCGAGAATCGGGAAGGCGAGAAACACATTCATCAACCTGAAATCAATCTGGAAATCTTCGTCACTCAGCACCAACAACAAAATTCGGTCGGATTTTCAGTACAAATGTCAAGTCAGTCAGTTTTTTTATACGGATCAGAAACTTGGCGAGTGGGTCACAAAGAATATTTCCAACAGCCTGTTGCAGATCTTCATCAACAACAACTGTCTTCGGTCTATACTGAAGATCAGATGGCCGGAAAGAATCACCAACAAGAAACTATGGCTGAGAACAAACAAACAAAACAAGAACCAATCAATCGCCAACCAATAAATATGCAGGAGAAAGTGGAGATGGATTGGACACTCGCTGAGTGAGGAGGCCGCTGGGTGACATCGCGCGCGCGTTAGGCCATTGCTCGAGTGGAACCAGGCCGAAAAGGAAGCGGTGAGTGGGTCGTCAGTGCAAGGGTGACATGGAGGAGATCGTGTGAAGAAGAGTTGAAAGAATATGGACTAACATGGGTGGATGCAGGTGAAAAGTACAGCAGAAGGTAGACAGAAGCAAATGGAGACGTGCAGTTGAAGCCCTATGTTCCACTAGGAACCCAAGGGAGAAATAATAACTGACTTCACCAAATTAGAGTTTGCTGTTTGACTTGTTACCAGGGTATATAGTCTTGTTGATGATGTAGTCCTCCTAGGTGAAAACGTTGATAAAATTCAGAGTCTCTTGAACACCTTGAGCAGAAATCTTCAAGTGTTTGGCATGTCATTTGCTTCAGTCAGATATAAGATGATTCTACATGACTGGACTACATTGACTCCTAGCTCAAAGATCGAGAGTAAAGTGGTAGAGTGTGCTGACCACTTCACTTATTTGGGAAGTTGCATCAGCCCAGCCAACGCCAGAGGGTCGATCGCTGACGAAATCTCAGGACGAATACAGAAGGTTCGTTTGGTATTTGCCAACATACGCCATCTCTGGCTTAGTAGACGTGATGTCTGACTGGCTGTCGACGAAAAGACGTGTGTACTGCACAGCAACAGTTTGCACCCCCCTCCTTTATGACTTTGAGACGTGGCCATTGAAGTTGGAAGATACGAAAATGCTAGCTGTCTTTGACTGTACGTGTCTGCACTTTGTCTTCCGTGTTATGTAGTCAGTAATATTGATTTTAGGAGTTAACTGTAATATAAAGAGGGAGATAAATCGACGAGGTTGTAAGGTTACAACATTTGAAACGGTTAAGACATAGGTTACTCATGCCAAGCTATCAGCTTCCTCGATGAGAAATGTTAGCTGACATACGATTAGGTTGTAAAAGAGCTAGTGGTGGTCAAATCAAGACTTGGAATCAATCCATGAAATCTTCGACATTTATTTTTAGCCACATAGGGGGGGTGTAGACTTTCTTGTTGGAGTCCACGGGATTCTAAGACCCAATGGCTAGAAACTGTTGGTACTACAGCTGGAAATCGTTCTGAAGGGTTGAGATGCATTCAGTCTCTTTGATGTCGTATATCCACTGAAACGTCACATGTTATCCACTTTACTCTTCTCTGCTTTTGTGTAGTACTTAGAGTGTGTCAACTTGAAGTTATGCACTTCTTTGCAGTGTTCTCTGTTGGAAACTCAGTGAGGAGTGAATCAACCGGGAAACGAACTAAGGTCACTCGCGTAATTAATTGTTGTGAGCGTTCTATAACTGAACCATCGATACACAATCTTATCACATGCTTCAGCTTATCTCACTTATATTTTGAATTCTATACATTTGTTTCAATGTCTTCTTCCCGGTATAATGTTTATTTTGCCTGTTTTGTTTTGGTGAGGGTCTTCTCTTTTTTGTTTTTACTACAGCGTGCAACAATCTTAGGCTTTCCTACACATGCAGATTTTATGCTTGATCTACGTATGGCTAAAACAGCAGCTAATGTCGACAATTTTTTAAATAATATTGGTTCAAAGTTAGAAAAAGCTCGTCGCAAAGAAACACAACGCTTATTGGAATTGAAGAAGGAAGAGGTGAGTTAGTCGGTTTGTTGGTTATTTCACGTCCTTTCTTGGGTGCTGGTTCACTTCCCCGGCTGATGCACCCTTAAGCCTTGCTTAGCCAACCAGTAGTAATCCAGATGAAGGGGAAGATTCATCGTGAGGCTAGCCACCACCTCAATGCGTGAAAAAGCATCACTACCACCGAAACTTCACAGTTCTAAGCTTGGATCCTTGTGTTTCATTTAGAAAGCACAAGAGGTGGCTCTCGTCGCCCAAGTCGTCTAGTGGATAACGCTTTAGCGTTTGAAACTATGGGCACTGGGTTCGAGCCTCGGTGAGAACATCATCATCACTCACTGAGAAATGCAGGTACATCCAGTAGGCTGACGAGTCCCAAATAGGACGAAATACGCATCCTGGATTCCACTGCTAGCCACCATCCACCAATTGTATACGAAAGGAAGAATAATCAGTTTCAGAAGCCCACCCAACAAACTGAATGCGCCATTTAATGTATCACGTCACTGTTGTTGCATATAGTATAATAATTGCTTTTTTTGATAGCGTTATTAGAAGTCGGAGACTATCTGAAAAACAATGTGATGCATTCGCGCTATACATTTCGAACAATCTGATCCCTCACACATTTACTTGTCAAGTCAATATATATAGAAAGGTTAAATTAAACACAGTGAGAGAAAGAAGAATTATGAATAATTAACACAAACGTTTGGTAATCCAATCAAATAAGGATTACCAAGGTAGGTTAAGAGTAATAACAAACTGTTTTTCAATACACAAGGGGGGCTTAAGTCTATGAATAGCTATAACCTCAGCGTATTTCAGTAAACGCCCATGACCGTTTTTATAGATGACCTTAATGGATACTCTTGTTGAAAACGGATATCCTTTAAAAACCTTTTAAACAGGTGTAGAAGTCAACTAGCCTCTAAACCTACAATCCATACCGTCCCTAAGAAAAAGTTTTTTATCAAATTACCATATAACGGGGAAATAAACAGTAGGATTGTGAGACAAAGGTTGAATTCAATCATCCGTAGAACCTACTATGCAGCCGAGCTTGTAATTGTGGAAAAAGCTAAAAATATGCTTCACTGTAAACCTCAAAAGTGCACAAGCGATTATGTCACATCCCACACAATTTAACAATCTCCATGTGTGTGTGTGTGTGGACATACATACATAGGGAGGAGTAATCGCGCTTTGCACGTGAGGGTGTGAGAGCATATCCCAAAATGGTTAGAAAAACAGATGAATTGTGACAAGCTAATAGATGCAGGTGGCAGACTACCAAATTCGTCTATAGCTAAACATCTAATCGAGATGAACCATAAGACTGATGTTAACTCAGCCTTTAAGGTCATCTATAAAAACGGTCATGGGTGTTTACTGAAATACACTGAGGCTATAGCTATTCATAAACTTAAGCCCTCCTTGTGTATTGAAAAACAGTTTGTTATTACTCTTAACCTACCTTGGTAATCCTTATTTGATTGGATTACCAAACGTTTGTGTTAATTATTCATAATTCTTTTTTCTCTCACTGTGTTTAATTTAACCTTTCTATATATATTGACTTGACAAGTAAATGTGTGAGGGATCAGATTGTTCGAAATGTATAGCGCGAATGCATCACATTGTTTTTCAGATAGTCTCCGTCTTATAATATCGCTAGCAAAATTTAGAAAAGGGACTAATTGTTTTAAATAATAATTGCTTCAATCTTCTCAACAATTCAGAATTTCACCTATTCTAATAATAATTTTAGTGAAAATAAGATAAAAGCAGAGATATTTGCATAATTATGGGGTGAAGGTTTATTTGTCTGTTGAAAACAAAGAGAAAAATAAAACCTACTAATAGTGTAACAACAGAAGACAAGGGTCAGGCAATAGATCGTTTTATTACGGAAATCAACACGTATTTATATAAATTTCACATACACTATTATAGCCTAGCCAAGTAGACAAACGCAGTCTTCTGATTGGTTGTTTTCGAGTTCCTCGGAAAGTGGAGCCATCTATCCGCGAATCATATTTGCCCACGTTTGAGTTTGCTGTGATTGGTTGTTGAAACAGCCTTGTTCATATTTTCCCATATCAATGACCTAGACATTGACCTAGATTAGTGTCAACCAATTGGCTAGCAGGCTGCTCTCACCACAATAGTGCTTTCCTTTTTTTTGGCGCACAATGCATTCTTTCTCTCTCTCTCTCCTGTCTGTTAATGTGGGCTTCCTATCGTCAGCGTCACTGCAATCTTTAGATGTCCACTTTATTTTTCTATATCACATAGTGTCGTCATATGAAATTACTTGTGATTTCTGTATATGGTACAGTAGTACATAAAAATTGTCTGACAAATTTTTGAACACTATAATTTCCTGCAAACAATGGTATTTAGGGAATCAAAGGTTCCAATTGTTAGAGTTTCTTAAAGCTGAGGTTGGTGTTTCTGAGTATTTACTCCGAGACAAGCTTTATTTTATACATTGTATAGATATGTTAACGTTCTATGAGGTGAGCATACAAGCTTTTGTGAATCAAACTTCCCACGCTTTCGTCTCAGCATACTTTTGTTTACGTGGAACAGGGGGCCGGTCAATAACGACTTTTTTCGGGTAGTTGACTTTGTTTTACGTGTTTCTTAGTAATTCTGTAGTCATATCAGATGTTATGTTTGATTGTTGGATTGAAGGTGTTATATCAACTTTTCGCACATCTGAAATAGGGTTTGCTACTGGATCATTTAACACTGACAAGATTTTGATTGGACACTAGTAACTAGTGTGACGTTTCTAGTCCTTTCTTTGGTGCAGACTGAATTTTATCACTGAGCCTGAACAGCTCAGTCTGTCTGTTTGTCTGTTTTCGACATAGAACTTTGCACAAATGTGCGGAAGTTCAAGTCGCCACATTCCGTGTAGCACGCGAAGCAAGAGAAGAAAGTACAAGAAAAGCATAATAGAAACAGTGAGCAGAGGTGTGAGACAAAGGAGTAATAAAGAAAAACAAAACAGTTTCATTGAAGATCATAAGTCACAAGGAGTGGATGCATCTGCGCCACTGAGAACGATTTTGAGCCATGTCACCAATTGTTTCCAACCATAGATTTTTACCGTCCCGAGGACCCCAGCCTGGAAGTCTACACCTTCCTACGTGGCTTAGACCAACTGTTGTGGATTTCATTGACTGGTGCCAAGTTTTTGTTTGACCGCCGCTAGCTTTTTTCCAGCCTGACCCTATATCCGCTAACATAGCTCGTCGAGGGAGGCGATGGCTTGGCATACGTAACACATGTCCTAACCATCTCAGTCTTTGTAGCTTCACGACTTCGTCGATTGATTTCCCCTGTTTACCTAGAACTCTACGCCTAACCTCCATGTTGCTCACCTTATTATGCCACTTTACACGGGAAATAGAACGCAGGCACCTATGATCAAAGACAGCTAGTCTTTTCATGTCTTCCACTCTCAGTGGCCAGGTCTCACAACCATAAAGGAGGACGGAGCGGACTGATGAGCAGTACACCCGCCCTTTGGTCGATAGTCGAACATCTCGTCTACGCCAGAGTCGGCGTAAACTAACAAATGCGAAACGAGCCCCTTGTATTCGTGCTGAGATTTCGTCAGAGATCAGCCCGTTGGGGCTGATGGTACTTCCCAAATAAGTGAAGCGGTCAACGTGCTCTACCACTTCACTTCCTATTTTTAAACTAGGCGTCGATGTAGTCCAGTCCTGTAACATCATCTTGCATTTGGCGGGAGCGAATCGCATGCCAAACATTCGTAGATTGCGGCTCAAGGTGTTTAGAAGACTCTGCATTTCGTCAGCGTCTTCGCCTAGAAGGACTATATCGTCTGCATATTCCAAGTCAACGAGATTATTCCCTGGTAGCAAGTCAATTCCTGAGTCGCTGAAGTCACCTAGGGTTAAGTCCATTAACACATCTATGATGAAGTTGAATAGAAAAGGAGATAATGGGCATCCTTGACGGACACCACTGGTCGTCATCAGTTCAGATGACAGCTCGCCGTAAGCCCTCACCTGGCTGTATGAGTACGAGTAGAGTGCCTTAATCAGTGCAATATATTTTCTTGGAATTCCCTTTACAGCCAAGCATCTCCAGAGAACTTCCCGATCGACAGAGTCGAATGCTGCCTTTAGGTCAAGAAATATAATGACTGTTGGACGCCGGTAGGAATGCCTATGTTCTAGAATCTGTCGGAGGGTGAAGATATGATCAATACACCCTCTTCCTGGTCTAAAGCCTGCCTGGCTCTCTCGTGTTTGTGCTTCCCGAGCACCACTCAGTCTACGCATGATTATTGAGCCTAAGACTTTAGATACTATATTAGTCAAGCTAATCCCTCTGTGATTATCACAGGAAGACTTGTCTCCCTTCTTGTATATGGGGATAATCAGTGACTTACACCAACCCGATGGGACTTCTTCTGATTCCCAGACGCTGCCTAGTACCTCAGTTAATCCCGACAGTAAGCTGTCTCCACCGTACTTAAATACCTCTGGAGTCATTCCATCAGGTCCCGCTGCTTTGCCTAGTTTCAGATTGGTGACAGCTTTAGTAACCTCAGTTAGTGACGGAGGACCTGTGTCTATATCCCATTCAGGGAGGTGTTGGATGCTCGGAAGGTTGAGCGTGGCTGTGGGCAAATTAAACTGCTCCTCATAATGCTCTTTCCAACGATCCAGTCGTCTATCCTGGGAGCTAATTATAGTGCCATTTTTTTCCGAGATTGTCTCACTAATGATTTGTCTTCTCCCACCCGTTTCCCTGATGAGTCCAAAGAGTTGCCTGGTGTTGCCTATCCTCGAAGCTTTCTCCATCTCTTTGGCTTTTGTCGCCCACCACTGTTCACGGTCCTTGCGGAGACTTTTCGTAAGTTTCCTCTTGTGCAGCTTTCGCTCCTCATTGAATTCGGAGCTCGCCGGAATAAGTCTTCTAGCATCTATCAGTTCGGATGAGGCGGTGGAGATCCAGTGGTTTTTACTCACCTTTGGGTTTACCTTATTCACAGCTTTTACAGCTGTATCTATGGCTGCCTGGATATTTTTCCAAGCTTCTTCAGGGTGAGCACAGCTGTCGAACACAGATATGTGTTTAGCTAGTTCTTCCTCAAATACGGATTTAGTTTCCTGATCGAGCTGGGGACGTGATGGTTTTACCGCCAGCTGTTTCCTACGTCCGTTCAGTCGTAAGCACACCCGAGCGCGGACCAGTGCATGGTCGGTATCTACGCACGTGTTCCAGAAGGAGCGACAATCTCCTACCGACCCACGCCAACGATAGCTTATTGCTATGTGGTCTATTTGTGTCCAGCGTTGGTTTGATGAAGGGGGTCTCCAAGTCAAACAGTGTCTCTCCTTGTGTTTGAAGTTAGTGCTTACAAGAAACAAATGATTATCAGAGCAGAACTGTAGGAGACGGTCACCGTTGTCGGTTCGCTGGCACGGAGCTCCATAGGTGCCACCGACATCCTTCTCAGATTGACACAATTTCCCTACTTGAGCGTTAAAGTCACCAGCTAGAACGACTATGTCTGAGCGTTTAGCCTTTCGCACCAAACTAGACAGCTTTTGGTAGAACTCATCCTTCGTTTCATCTGAACTGCAGTCAGTGGGGGCGTAGGCGGAGATTACGAAAAGGCATCGGCGAGTAGTGCAGTCCTTTCTCCTTCTTACTGATCCGTTCAGGCGGACAGCACACATTCGGCTATCTACCGGGATCCAGTCAAGCAATGTCTTTTCTGCCCTAGTACTCAAAGCTATCCCTACGCCAGCTAATCCTCGTGAACTAGCTGTGGCATCTCCTGACACCCTCAAGGTGAATTTTGCAGATTCAACCTGTTGGCCAGGTGGGGTTAGGTGAATAACCACACTTGGGTCTTGTATGCGTGTTTCTGAAACACAGCATACATCAATGGCTCGTGATGCCAGGGTCTTGGCTAGTGATGCATGTTGTTGTTGGCTTCCATCGTTTTTAGTGGATGCAGAGTGGAGAGGAAGTGGAGAGCTATCAAGTCGGGGAGTTGCATCAGTGGAAGGAAGGCAAGATATTAGAGATGAAGATGAAAACAAAGATGAGTGAGTAATAGAGAGGTTTCGCGTGCGTTTCGGATTGTGAGGGCGATTGTTACTTCCCGGCTGCCCACACCGTGGAAGTTGGTTGCGTGACCGCACAGCCAAGGGGACAACTGCTTGAGGCCGGTCACATGCGGCCTGTTTTTGTTCGTTCTTTTTTGTTTGGTGTGCCTCAGTAGCATACTTATCACTCCTGCCCTGTGACACGGCAGCAGGAAGCGCGGTCGTTGTTAATCCGGGCCACGGCCGATCTGGCATGAAATTTTATGATTTTGTATTTATCATGATGTTGGATTGGGTAGCTGCTTTTTGTTTAACCGCTATCCAAACAACCTGCGTGGCATGGTAGGACCTCAAGAGACATAAGTCTCAGCTAGTATAGCTTGACTAGATCATTGCGGTGTTCAAGCTTGACCACCACGGCAAGGTAGCAGCTTTCGGTCGGGTAACGTCTCTGACTGCAGAACTCACTGAGTGACTCGGGCTCGAATCTCATAACGGACATGAGTTCCTTCAAGGTTGCAGATACGCCTTGCTGATGAGTGGCAACTAGCACGAAACCTAAGTCCAGGAAGGGCTTCCTGCCGATTGCCTTCAACCATCTAATACTGACAAGATTTATCAGTAGTATATAAAGAAACATTCATCGGCGCAAAAATATCTAATAGCGGAGAAATGGATTTGAAGTCAAAAACAGGAAATCAACTGGTATTGCAGCAAAACATTGAAGACACGAAAAAAAGACAAAGAAAAGCAATACGAAGGGCAGAAGTGGCACAACACCGAAGATCTGTGCAAATGTGACGATTTTAATATAAGGTGTACATAATTTCTCTATATGTCTATGTCAAATTGCTAACGAACATTCTGTTACCAAGACTATTTTCTTCTCTTGTTACAATATACTATACATGTGCGTCAGTGACACAGCGGTTAGGACGCTCGCTGACCATACACATGGTCCGGGGTTCGATCGCCGACCGACGCACATCCGATATCAATGGTTGGCCTGCAAAATTTGGGCTACCGATATCACATGCTGAAAATTCCATACTTGTATCAAAAATACTGTGTGAAGTCAAGCCAGAATAAAATTATACATAATAATAATGTTACGGTACCATTGAAAACCAGGGATCACTGAACAGCTGTCTCGTCTTAGTTTGGGACCCTTCAGTACTATGCATTCATGATCCGATAGGGGAGCGCAACCAGGACATTCAGCCTACAAGGCGAGCTCGTAGGTCATTCACCCATTGAGACCTGATTCAATGGCCCATGAATCCCACCTTCTACCAGTTCGTTATTTAACCATGACTATCAGGTAGTATCATCAAAGAGTATTTTTCCTCACGTTTGACTTGATGGATTCCAGTGGTTGAGACTTCTTACTAGAACTCCTGTCAACTTTTTGCTGAAGTCAGTCACTGACGAGCATCAGACTAATTTTCAAGAGTTGGTTTGTAGGAATTTCATTATTTCAACCACCCAATGATATTATCCATATACGAGAAAAAGTATAAAAAAGGTTTCCGGAAACTATCTATTCATAATACAAATCTCTGCCCAGATATTGCACTGAAAAAGTGCTAATAAGCTTAATACCTAAATGATTTTAAGACATGTAGCTGTACATTGGTGAATATTTACCAAAGAGTTGAAGAACCTTCTCTACTATTTCCATTCAGAGGTGATACTGAGGTAGGAATCCTCCGAAAATTGCTTTTGAAATCTCTAAGTAGGATATACTCCAATGGCAGCCTCCAAACAGCATTTTCTTACATGAAACTATTCAGGCAACACATGTCAAAGACAAACTGTCGTAGTTTTCTTTACATTAACATGCATATACCAGTTCATTTACTCTTATGGAGCTGAGTAATTTGGCTTTATCATGCATCCGCTTGTAAAAAGCAGTCGTGGACACAACTCAAAGTGAGAATGGAAGTGTGTGTACTCAAGACACTCAGTTGTATTTGCGAAATCCTCCCAAGTCCTATAAAGAAAAACTCTCTAAAAGGGAGTAAGATCAAGACATATGGTGATCGAGAAATTCAAATCGTCGTTGATAAAAGAAGAATTTTTTGAATGCTTTCTTGAAAACCCTGTAAAATGTGTGTGTTATCAATCTGTCAAGCGTGAAGTTAAATCGTTCTGACACTGAGGCACTCTCACTCGGATTGACATTCCATTTTCTGGGAGAACTTGTGAGTATAGTAGGCACAGAGGTCCAATTCGAGTATCTATCCAACGAGGCAACCGTTTAACATCACATCAGTGACTACACAATACATTGGTTCAAAACGACACTCATCTGTATTTGCACTCAGTACATTTCTATACCGATTCCACAGTCTGGATGCATATCGAAAGAACACCTAGCAGCAATAAAACCTCTGACAAGCAATGACGACTGGTTAAAGGTTTAGACATCGTAGTAATGAACAAGAGATGGATATATCAAGAAAATGGAGTCCATTCTTAATGGTGCATCGAATGTCAAGACTGACAGACACAGGAAAGATATGACTTACTCTACATTACAAAAGTACTTGGAGGACTTTTAAAGTTAGACAGTGATCTCTACTGCATTAGTGTTTGTTCTGTCTCTATTCCTGCGGGAAATCATATCATTTCATTGATGTGTAGGTGGAGACATGGTTCATCGGCTTAAGTGCTCGACTTTCACTCCCTTAGATCGAGAATTCGAATCCCAGCCAGCTCTGCTTCAGCCTCTTGGGCATCTGGATAGTCTCACCAACCTTTCTACACACTTAGAGTGTAGTTCGTAGCCGTTAACATGGAAAATCACTTCTGGGAATAGAGTTTATACAAACACTGGTGCAAGCCTCAGCTTTGAAGTTTCAGTAGCGGTTGGTTTTTCCTTTTTGAGGAGTGGAGTCCTTCTAGAAGTGCTTGGACGTTTGTTGCTTCCTGACTGCTGCTCAAACCGTAGAAGTCGATATTTTCTTGGGGTACTTGTAACATTAGTTTTACGTAACCGTGGAACTCAAGGGAGGCTGGTCGCACACACGACCTGTCCGAATTGATGTTTGGATTTATCTCCGTATTAAGATCTTACCGCCAGGTACGAACCTTCACAAAGTATGTCAGGATGTACACTTTTCGGCGTAGAACTTCTTTAATCTTCCTCTTCAAGGTGAAGAGACAGCATAGCTCGCGTGCTGGTCATCTGATGGAAACACTTTTTAGCCATGACGACAACTGCTTTTAGTCTAATTGCTATCCAAACAACCTTTCTAACATGGTAGTACCTCTAAGAACATTAGTTTCAGTCGATGTCTCTCGTTGAGTCATTACGATATGCAAGCTCGACTACCACGTCAAGGTGTAGAAGAGTTATCAGTTGGTATTGAGATTGATAACTTCATGCTCAACTTTCCGTCTCTACTTGTTTTGCTACCTACCTACCTACCTCCGACTGAGAATCGCACCTGGAATGTGTACCTCGTTGGCGAACACTCTACCTATCGAACCACCGACACACGATGTATGCAAACGTATATATATGCATTTCTTCTTAACAATTGCTTGAACATATCATTCTGGTTTCATTAGTCAATGTCACCTCTTCCTTTTCTCTTTGTTGTCGTTACTGTAGTGTGAACGTTTAGGCTATCCATTCAATAATCGTATTGATCCATGGGATATAAATTACTACATGAATAAAGTAAAAGAAAAAGATTATTCTCTTGATATACAAGCATTGAAAAAATATTTCCCTTTGACAACTATTAAATCAGGTATATTAAACTTATATCAACATTTGTTGGGCTTAAAATTTGAGCGTATTCCCGATCCGAATGTATGGCATTCAGAAGTTGAAATGGTTAGTTATTTTTCACAATTGAATTGATTTGAATTTGTTTCGCTTATTTTTATGATATTTTTTTATTTATTAAAAACAAAATTTAATTGACTCTATAACCAATTATCGCATTTATTTTTTGCATTACTATAAGGCTGTCCTAACATGAACCTTTCAGTAGATCGAGAAGTGGTTTTGAATCTGTGACGAAGTAGTTGAAAGTCAGGTCTTTGGATCAATGAGTTAGTGGTGACTAGTACTAGGATCCGGAGCATGCGCATTTCTTCCTATTTACGGCTTTTCATCTATGGATATATCCGTATATCCAGTTAGTGAATGGATGAGTGGGGGTACAGAGTCTTCTGTCATTCAATGGTCTCCTCAACGTATGGCCGATCAGTCCATCTCAATTTTCTCCTACATATATTTATTGAGCAGTCGGCTCTTGGTTTGTTTGTTTGTTGCTAGCCAGAGTTCCTTGCTGCTAATTCTCTCTGGCTGGTTGGCCGGTCATTTGATATTCAGTATGCAACAGGTGAAGGGGACAGCTGTTGATAAAATTTTGCAGTGGCTTTTGTTGCAAATCCTTTCTCGTGATGCATGCACAGTTCATGTGTTTCTCACACGTATAGAAGAACTGACTGACTGACTGATTAAACATTTGTGTTGAAAATCCGAAATCTTGTTCTTTACGCTTAGGTGGAGTGCAGGGTAGAAGATTTCCAAATTGGTTTCAGGTTGATAAAAGCATATCTTGCCTTTCCTATTCTGTCTGGCTGGCTTAGTTTTTTTTACATCTTCATCCGTTTCGATTGCCTGTGGTTGAAACCGTGCTTTCTGGCTGGATAAATGAAGGTAGGAAGTGACTTCTTTCAAATCTCTCCCGTTGATGGTGATTGGCTCTGGTTGATGTTGCTGTTGGTTGTGGTCAGTTGGTTGGTTGGTCATCTTCATCACTTCTGTTTCCGTCTTCCCCAATGTTCATCTAGATTCCTGTCTTCTCTGTCTGCTTCTTTAGGCAGCATATTTTGGTTTTCGCCTGCGAGTCCCTAGAGTCTGTGTGACATTCAATGACACAAATCGTCTACACGCGAAATCCAGATCTTCTAGTGTCTTCTTATCGGTCGGTCCAACGTATTCCTGTCTTCTCACTCCCAACACCACAGTCTTCCGCTTACTCCAGTCCATCAAAATTAAGAATATCATCGGCGATAATAGGTAGCCTTATATCATATAACATTACGTTATATTATATGATATTCAATATAGTTCTACTTGAAAGTTTTATACGCAGGATAAATATTCTCCAATTAAATACGCTGTTTATGAAAAGGTTGTCGAGAACAGAACTCTTCCTATTATTATTATTATTATTATTATTATTATTATTATTATTATTATTATTATTTTTAAGTGTCAGTTTGCAAGGATTTAGTTAATTAAAGCCCTGTTCACGAGCTGACATCAATTGGAGAACCATTGGAAAACCGCGGAGTGCCGGACCACTATTTCCGCCTACTAGTTTGGCACTCTTCAGCGGTACGCATCCACTGGGGGCCGAATCCAAGACCTTCCGATTATAAGCTATGCTTATGGACCATTCAGCCACTGAAACCCCTATCAAATCACTCATGATTTCCAGCTTCTGCCGATGCATGATATGTACCCAACGAGACCGCTAGCCAATGTCATTGGAGAATACCTGAGACTATTATTACTATTATTAATACATATGAGAGTCTTATGTAGCCCTATTCCTTCTTCTCTACTATGCCTAGAGAAGGTGAAGACCTCTCGCGTTCTTTGATGAATGCCCAAAAATCTCAGGTACTAAGCTATATTTTCATACGTATGTATTTGAGTTGTTACTTCATTTCTTGTGATACAGGATACTGTAAGAATTCTAGCTTTACAATTATTCAGCAAGTTTCTAGTTCAGCCATTGACCAGTTTGTTTAAGTTTCACAGTTCTATGCAAATTTACTCATTTTTATGTAAGAAGAGAGAGGGGTGCGGTGTGATAAGTTCATATACTTTCAGTCGACAGCTTTCTACCCTTGACTTTTCGCTAATGTTAAAACATGAAAAGCCTCTTGTTCTTCTTTGGATTATTAATAAAGCTACAATTCTGGTAAGAGAATTGAATAACTCACACCCAGTTGTCTGTCATATTTTCATATATTTCTATTCATCCCTTGTATCCCTCTAGTGCAACATAGGGCTTTGAGAGGATATCGCCATTTCACTCGGTTTTCCTTTGTTTTTTGACTTACTCAACGATTGTCTATGAGCTTTCATTCCCTCCGTTACATTATTTCCTCCATGTTATCCTCATACCACCGCCCAGCTCGTTCACTGCTTCGTATTCGAAGTGGCGCTTGGTGAAGCTCTCCATCCATACCTTGTATGTGTAATCCATCTCTGTTTTCATTTCGCTTAAGTGACTTGCCAGAATTCAAATGATTTGAACTGACTTAACTCTCTAACCTGAGTTAAACTGAGCACATCGCTGATCAGCTCGACTTCAAACAAATGAAATCGTCGTCTGGTATTTAGATCACCTCTATCTTGCTGCTGGCTAACAAGCACTACTGTGAAATGATGTGAGCGGTATCCAACTACTTATTAACAAACAATTAATCAGTAGTACATACCGTGACGCATTTAAAATAAACGTAAAATTAAAACATAAATCAATTACCCAATAGCTGATATTCATATGTTAAAGTTAACTATCAAGAATCTTGATAAACCTCAACTACCAATGAATATTTACTATCTTATTGGCGATAGTTATTCCCTTTAGTTAGCAGAAGACGCATCCAGTGATTAATACTATGATGAGAGCTGTCTGCTAGGCAAAATTGTAGACAACAGTTTACGTCAGTGCTTACTTCCCGAATGTGAGGATCATGAGAAAAGACAAGAACAAGCCTAACCTTAAGGAACTCAACCACCAATCACAGAAGACTTTGCGTGGTCGGATACGATTCATAGATATGGGGTCTAACTATATGAGAAACGGTCACAGGTAGTAAAAAATAACCTTCAGCAAGAAAACAAGCAATCAGAAAAAGTTACTTCTCTGCTAACAATAACACTAATAATATTTTTTTCGTAAAAAAGTGATTGACATCCATCAAACGCCAGGCCATCACTCGGGTGGAACCCGAGCCAATTAGTTGTGTGTCGATGGCACAGTGGTTAGGACTCTCGCCGACCATGCAAATGGTCGGGGGTTCGATCCCCTGTTGACGCACACTTGATATCTATGATCGGCCTGCAAAATTTGGGCTACCGATATCACATGCTGAAAATTGCATACTCGTATCAAAAATACGGTGTAGAATCAAGCTGAAATATAAAAAAAATATCTGTTGATTTTCTCAATAAACGCACTATTGCCTGGCCTTTGTCTTCTGTCGTTACAATACGACTTCAAGTGGGCTGAACATAGGGGAAGACAGAAGTAATGAAGATACTTACCGACAACGACCACTGCCAACAACAAGCATCAATCATCATTAATGGGAGAGATTTGGAAGAAGTCACATCCTACACTTATCTAAGCAGCATACTTTCAACACTACAAGTGGTGACACGGATGAGTGTGTCAAAGTCAACCAGGCAGGATCTAAAAATCAAGACACGGATATTCAGTGCTGATGTGTCAAGTCAGTGTCTGTGTGATTCTATATGATCCAAAGACTTGATGCACCAGCAGCCAATGGCAGGCTTTCATCAGCATCTGCCTTTTCTGGCTCTATACGGAAGGTCAAATGGCCAGAAATAATTACCAACAAAGAGCTTTGCTACCGATGCAACCAACAACCTATTACGCAGGGGCTGGCGATTATACGTGTGGAAATCAATCCAATCGCTACATAAACTTCAAAACACGACAAAAATATAGAGACGGAACCTATTCCTCTCTGGAATTGAAGAGACTAAATGACACAGTGAGCTGGTGAAAGCTTTCAATCAGCTGATGTGACTTCTTTCAATGAAAGTAGACATAAGTATCCGGTCGTAGGATGTCGTATGATGTTCAAAGCTAGGAAGACAGCTGTTCAGAAGGAGGTCGACACCAGGATACGAAATGCGTAGCAGAGTTGACCATCATAGATTATTATTTCCTACAGGAACATAGGGCTTCAGTCGTACATCTACATTGCGTTCAGTTCTCTGCCAACATTTTCACCTGGCTCCACGTCTGCGCACATGCTTTCATCTCCTCTTCGCATCACGTTCTCCTCCATATCATCCTTGCACTGACGACCAACTTGCCGCTTCCCATTCAAGTTTCACTCGAGCTATGGCCTGGCGTATGATTTCACTCACTTGATGGTTTGTTTTCTCAGAATATGGCCAATCCATCTCCATTTCTTCTTGCAGATTTGTTGCACAGTTGGTTCCTGATGGGTTGTTTCGTTCCCAGAGATCCTTGTTGGTGATCTTTTTTAGCCGGTTATCTGATCTTGAGTAGAATTGAGCGAAGACAGCTGTTGATGAAGATCTGTAGAAGTAGCAATAAAAAATTCTGGTAACAAACCAGTCAAAAATCTATTGCTCAATAAATATGTCGAAGAGAATGGAGATAGATCAGACATACGCTGAGAAGAACGTTAAGGGACATCATGCAACAGGCGTAACCTCAAGCAGAACTAAAATAGGAAACAACGAGTTGAGCATGGATCCGGGGATGATATCGAGGAAATCGTGTGAGGAGGAAATGAGAGCTAATGGGCAATTGTAGAGCCAGCTAAAAAAGAGGCCGAAGGAGAATACAGTGACGACGATCCGTTGAAGCTCTGTGTTCCAATCTGAACCCAAGAGAACAATAGTTATATAATAATGATAATAATATTGCTTTTTATTTTGTTATTGATTTTCAGTATTCAGTAATCGATACACAATCCAATAATCTACTGGGTTATTTCTATCTTGATTTACATCCACGAGATGGTAAATATGGCCATGCAGCTGTATTCAGTTTACAATCCGGCTGTTGTAGACCATTGACTACTCTTCATTGTGATAATCCTCCTAGAAATGATGCTGAAAGCAGTGGTGATGATCAACCAACACCAATACCATCATTTGAACGTCAAGTGGCAATAGCTGCAATGGTAGCTAATTTTACTGCACCGAATGAAGAAACTGGTGAAGCTTATCTATTACACGATGAAGTGAAAACATTCTTTCATGAATTTGGTCATCTGATGCATCATATATGTTCGTGTACACAAACTGCATTGTTTAGGTATGTTTATGCCTACCTTTTTATGAGTTTGACGACGGATTGGTTGATATCAGTTAGAGAACCATTGAAAACCAGCCAGGGAGTACTGGACAGCCAGTTGTTTCATCCCAGGAGTTTTGGAATCATTGACAGCATGCACCCACTAACTGTGGTTTGAACCCAGGACTTTCCGGTCACAAGGCAAGCTGGCTCGTATACCATTCAGCCAACCATTGAGACTCGATTCGATGGTCAACCCATGAATTCTAACTTCTACCAATTCGTGATACACTTAGCGCGACTGGCAGCGACCACTGTCATCGGTGGGAAATCCATCCTCACACACACTTGACTACTGATTGGACCTCACTGGTTACGACTTCTCACTAGAACTCCTGGAAACTCTGTCATATAGCAAGTCACTAGAGAGCATCAGATTAATTTTTTAAAGAGTTGGTTTGAAAGGATTAGATTTGTTTGTTATTACGAGTTTGACCACGGATTGATATCAGTTAGAGAGGCATTGAAAACCAGGTTCATTTCCACCTTATTATTATTATTATTACTATTGTTAAAATGTATGTTACGTAATACATTAGTTTTTGTGTAGTTATGTTCTCTAAGATGGGAACAGTTCACAATTACGAAGCTTTTATTTTCTTTACTAAACAGCATCTTCAGCGCATACTTCAATTTGAAGGGAGCTTTTAAAATCCCCCACGAGTTTATGCAAAGGTTTGAAAACAATTCTACGGAAAATTAAACGCGAAATGTTATGTAATGTGGATTACACATTCGTGATAATCACAAAAAATGATCCAGTTAGCGTTCATAACCTAATAAACATCACTGTCAATGGCATCAAATTTACAGGAGAAGAGGAATTCGAGTACTAAATTCCATTTTTAGACATCTTAACTGATTGACTGGCTGATTAGTTTCAAAGTAGAACTTTGCACCGATGTTCAGCAGTTCTTGTTGCTATAATCACTCCCTGTAGCACACAAAGCAAGAGAAGAAAGTAAACAGAATAATAATAAACAGAAATATGAGGCAAACAGAATAGTAATACAGAAGAACAACAACAGAGTTTTATTAGATATTATAAATCACAAAGAGTGGATGCATCTGCTCCAGCCATTGATAACGAGGACTTTGAGTCAAATCACCAATTGTCTCCAACCTTTATTGGTTCTTACCACTCCGAGGACCCCAACCAGACAGACAGACGGCCAAACTTTATCTCCCTACGTAGTCGGCTGACTGGCTTAAACTAACTGTTGTGGATTTTATGAACTGATGATGCTATGTTTTGGTTTGACCACCACTAGCCAACTCTTTTCCAACCTGATCCATCCTATGTCAGTGGGTAACACTGCCCGTCAACGAAGGTCATTGATGTCTAGGGATGCATGTATAATACATGTCCAAACCATCTCAATCGGTGTAACTTCACAGTCTCGTCGATTGATTTCCCCTCCTTACCTAACAGTCTACCGATGCCTAACTTCAATATTAGTCACCTTAGTATGCTACCTAACATGGGCGATAGAACGCAGACACCTATGATCAAAGACAGCTTGCCGGCTTTTTCATGTCTTCCACATTCAATGATCATGTCTCACAGCCAGTCATAAAGGAGGCCAGGGCGAACTGCTACTATGCAATACACCCTCCGTTTGGTCGACAGAAGCCTTAGTCAAGCGAATAGCTACAAGAAAATTGTGAACTAATGTATGTAGGAAATTAATTAACACAGAACATATACTCAATTAAAATGACTTAAATCCGTCATAATTGATTTCACCTCTTTTAAAGGTTAGACGAAATGAGAGGTACATAACATAGTGACATTTGATATAAAAGCAATTAAAAAGTTCTGGTGGATGGTGACTAGCAGTGGAATTTAAGATACGCCCTTTGTCCTATTTGAGACTCTTCGGCTGGTGGATGTACCTGCATTCCTCAGTGAGTGATGGTATTCTCACTCGGACTCGAACCTACCAGAAATCGTTTCAAACACTACAGCGCTATCCACTAGCCAAAAAATAACCGAATTCCCATTGAACAAAAGGTGGTTGTCGTAACCCAAGTGGTCTAGTGGGTTCGAATCTTAGGGAAAACACTATCACTCATTTGGGAATGCAAACACTTCCAGCCACCGAGTCCTGAATAGGATGAAATTCGCATTTTGGGTAACACTTCTAGTCACCATCTACCAAAAGTTTTTAATTGCTTTTATATCAAATGTCACAGTGTTATATACCCCTAATTTCGCCCTTCCTTAAAACCACCTGAAAGCATTCTAAGCAAATTGAAGCCATTGAGATGAGACAGGTTATTTATTATAGTGAAATTAAGTAAATTTGAAGCCCGAGTTTATGCAACCAATTAAATCACTTACTTATTAGCTAAACTTGCTGAGGTACCCTTGTTTAATAATGATCAATTGTCCTCATGGGCTAAAGCAACTTCGTTTCTTGCCTGAGTGTCAGAGATGATTAGAAATCAGTATTGGATATTCCGTCATCAGGTGGCACAGCGGTTAGGACTCTCGCCGACTATGCACATGGTCCGGGGTTCGAGGCCACGCCGACGCACACCTGATATCTATGGTCGGCCTGCGAAATTTTGGCTACCGATATCCACGCTGAAAATTCCATACTTGTACCAAAAATAAAGTATGGAATCAAGCTGTAACCAAAAAAAAAGTTACTTATCGCCATTGGGTTCCGTGAAAGTATTAGAGAGTTGATCACAGAGGTGGTCTCTCAACCTGAAAGTCGTGGGTTTGTTCCCTGGCTATGGGGACGTGAATTTGTATTATTGAAGTAAGTCGCAAGTACCCTCTGATGTCAATTCATGATCTCTAGCTTGAGTATTATCTGTCAGGAGTTTAATTATGCTGAGTTATAAATTAACCAACTTATTATTTGGTAACAAAAATTTTTCATGGCTAAAATAATGAATGGTGTATAATATCAACCTTCTTTCAAGATTCCAGTTATGTCTTGTGTAAAGGTATCTCAAGAAAACTGAAGCCTAATTGAAGCAGGGATTCCTGTTAACTTACGCCGAACAGCAATTAGGTGGACTGGGTAGTTGGAAGTCGATGACCAGTTCATTTGTAAAGTTGTGTTTTTTAAATTCGTTTAAGTTCCCAATAGAACAGATGGCTTCAAGCTGGAAGCTTGAAATTTCGATAGCAGTGGTGTTTATTTTTACGGGATAGGGTTGCTAGCCTCCACCTTCCCCTCTTTATCGGCTAATTGAGGTAAAGGAGTGCCTCGTAGAGCGGGGATCAAAACCTGAACCACATGAGGCGTGGGGTGGGGACGAGCATTCTACCTCTGTGCCACCGATGCACAATTTCTAAAGATAATATCGATGAATAAGATTCTCTGAATGTTATATAAACCTGATTTTTGGCTAATCTTAAAACCGGCTAAAATCAGTCTTGAAATGAAGTAGAATTTCAAGTTTAGTGCGGTTGAAACCCGAAATTATACTGTAGCCAGTTAAGTTACATATTATTCTCACGACCCCGGACCAGTATGTCTTTTTATTTGTATGAGCTCTTGGGGTCAGAGTTGATAGGCGATTAATATTTGATATTTGGTCTTGAGGTGAGTTACTTATCCATCTTCCCTCCTCGAAACTTGGTCGTTGGATTATCATTAGTCCGGGTAGAATCAGCCCATATTAGCTTTCAGCGATTTTATGGAACCCCAAAGATCAGTGTCCTAATCATTTCATGTGTTGATGAACTTAATCTGTTTTAAGAGTTAGTTTGTAAGGATTTCATTTGTTTCAAGTTTAATCACGGATTGTTTCGGTTGTTTCGTCCTAGTTTGGAACTCTTCAACAGCACTCACCTACTGGGTTTTGAACCGAGGACCTCCGGCTTATATTAGGAAGCTCGTAGGCTATTCAGCCACTGGGACGTGACTCAATATCCCCTGAATTCTAACATCAATCCGTGGTTTTAGCGCACAGCCATCAGCTAATTTCATCAGTGAGTATTTATCCTCACTACCGACCTGATGGACCTAAACTGGTCATGACTTGTCACTAGAGAACTCCAGTCTGAATCGCCTACGAGCTTGTCTTGTAAGCAGAGGGTCCTAGGTCGGAACTTAGGTTGGTTCGCACCAGTGAGGAGTCCCAAACTGGGACGAAACAGCTGTCCGATACTCCCTGCTTGTTTTTTTTGTAATGGTCCCCCAACTGACACTAATTCGTTATCAAACTTAATGTATTTCTGTAATGTTACCTACTATTTTTTTGTCTCTCGTGTTATTCAACATATAGTGGAACACACGTTGAAACTGATTTTGTAGAATGTCCATCACAAATGTTAGAGAATTGGGTTTGGTGTGAAGAAGGACTGAATGCATTACTTGGTACTGCTTCTGCTACTACTACGCCTACGCCGACTACGAACAATAGTCAAAAGATACCAAAAGATATGTTGAATAGCCTAATTAATTCTCGAATGGCAAATGCTGGTCTATTTTATTCTAGACAACTTTTATTAGCTACATTTGATCAAGCTATACATACTACAAAATGGAAAGTGAGTAATATTCATGTGTATTTATCTATCTGTCTGTCTGTCTGTTAACTTTTATACATTTATTGTCCAGTCATAGAGTAAATTTATATGATCAAAGCACACAGTTATATAGTACAGCTGATGACTGAGCACAGTTTATTGCTCATAATCACCCCATATCAAGTCACTCACATAACTTTTCAGCTTCGTTTAGTTTTGTGAGTACTGTTAGAGGTGTGACGGATGAGATTTCTAACCCTATAGTGAAAGTTACGGTGGCAGATGCCCATTTGAGCCACATTTGACGCCGTCCTAACGTCAGCCTGGCTGTCAGAAGTCGAGATTACAATACCTTCGATGCGCGCTTTCTTGCTCTCCACCTGTGCAAACTTGACTCTCTGAGCTGAGGATGTGCAGCGACTCGGTGTATTCCATCATTGCTTTCTCTATGGGCTTGCTTGTATCTGATAACGTCATTGTGTGAGTAATTCTGAGGTCTGGAAGCATGCGTGTGGACATGGTGGGAGTCCCCATTCATTGAGTGTGGTCATCTTAAAACACCGGCTTCGGTGGCTTTGATCTGTTTTATGAATGTCGTCCCAGAGATTTCCATACCGATCTCTGCTTGCTAGTCCTGGGATGCGATGGAGAAAGCGGAAAGGTGGTCAACTTATGAATAGAGACGCTGTGGGATACAAGGCAAGCTCATAAACCATTCAACCACTAGGACTCGATCCAGTGGATATTCCGTGAATTCCAACTCCTACGGGTTCGTAATCTTAGCGTGACTTCTTAGCCAATATCATCGGTGATTAACTGTCCTCACGCCCCTACCCCGGTGAACCCGGCTGGTCACGACTTCTCAGAAGAACTCCAAGCAACTTCATCCTGTAGTCAGTCACTAGCAAACATCAGAATAATATTCGGAAGTTGGTTTGTAGGGATTTGATTTATTTCAAGTCTGATCACTAGTTGATGTCAGCTAGTAACCAGAAGATCCTGTGTTCGAACCCCGGTGGGTGGGTACTGATGAAGAGTCGCAGACTGTGGTGACGAAACAGCTTTCCAGTACTTTCTGATGGTTTTCAATGTTTATTTAACTGAAAATAATCCGTGATCAATGTTGAAACAAATCAAATCCGTACAAACTAAATTTCATACCAGTTTTATCTTTGGTGGTGATGGCCGCCAACGGAATTCAAGATGTTGTGGCTTGTTGTTATCTTCTAAACTTCTGTTTTCTCCATCTCTCTTCATCTAGGATGATCCAATAACTACTTTCAAAGATTTAAGTGTTAAATGGACAGGAAATGAACCTACACAAGGTACATTCATGCCTGCATCATTTGGACATTTAGCTGGTGGATATGATGCTCGATATTACAGTTATTTGGTGAGTTTATTATTAATAACAATAATAATAATAATACCTAATCTTGAGTTTTTACAAATTGTACATATGTATGGTATCATGAATATGTCGAAATCATTGTGTTTTTGAATAATCCTATGGAGATTAAAACTTTGTTGACTCATAGTAAAGAGCCTTCAAAGCCTCAGGATGGTCGGGGGTGGGTGCCTTGCGCTGCGGGTTGACCACCCCTCCGTACGCCCTTCACGTGGCGGAGGTGTTTTTCACCAAAGTGAGAGGGCAAAAGTGGATGCCCGGCGCTCTTCACCGGGTTGACTGTCCATTGGATGACAGTCTAGGGGAAATGGCTAATCCCTGATTCCAAACCTCCAACGACTGGCGTATGAAGCTCACCGGAGCTCACTGGCAGACGTATGGACAAAGGGCTTATTGGATGCCCTGGATGTCTGGCCCAATTCAAAAAGGCGTATGAACCGGACTCCGGTCACCGGCTGGCTGCCAATGGATAGTGGACTCCCTACTCCACTCCTACTGCCTTGTAGGTCAGTCACACTTGGTTGTGTAAAGGCTAGAACTGCACTCACAAACAAAAGGCCGAGCGATGCTGGGGACACCACTCGTACCTAATTCCCATGAAACTTCATGAACTCTCTACAACATTAGCATCAGATCGCCGAGCCTGGGCAGCGATGATTCGAGATGTTCATGAAGCCGGCTCATCCTCCCGTAGGAGATAGCCGAAGTAAAGTAAAGTAAGTAAGTCTCTTTGACAGTGGCTGAGAGTTAGCGTCACATCATTAAGTTGTGTAGTAGATGAGGTTTCTGGCTTCTAGTCGATGAGTACTAGATTCGAATCCTATTGAGAACACGAGTGAGGAAGTCTGAAGTGGGACGAAACACCCGTCCTGAATTCCACCACTGACCGTCATCAGCTGAATTCAAGTAGGTGAATGAACATAGCGATGAGTAATATTGAAGTTAGACGTATAATGTGTTAGGTGATGAAGGAAAGTCATTCGATAAAAGATCGTGAAGTCGCAACGATCGAGGAGACGGCTAGCTAGGATACTTGTTACGAATGTCAAGGAATCATCTTCCCCGACAGGCAGTGTTAGATGATGGAGATAATATAATTGAGTTGGAAAGGAGGTAGGTTCAATCATATCAAAGTATGGCATCAATCCATGAAGTCTTAAATTGTTGGTTTGAGGTGTAAACTATCTAGCTGGATTCCTCGAGACTGTTGATGATGTCGTTGAAAATTGTTCTCAGTATTGCGAATACATTGATCCTTTATGAATTCCTAAATCCATTGTCATAGAGTGTGACACCTTGTAGTCTGTCTTAGAGTTCTATGCTGAAAATTCAGTCTTTCAAATCTTGGTTAAATAGTTGTATTTCATTCTTAAATGAGTACTATATACATTTTGCTCTAATTTTCGTGTATCTCTTCCTTTTTTTCCTCATAATATAACAACAGAGTGGGTGTTATTAAACATTTCAGGAATTATATCCCCTTTCAATTTAACTGAAGCTTTCTTTTAAAGAATCTGAGATGCTTTCAATCTTTGAAACTTATCGTTGTGATAGTAGTGAGACTATCTGACGGATGCTCTTCAGGCGAGAAGACTGTTGTTCATGTGTAAAAGTTAGTAATTAAAGGTAAAATGGACATACCTGCTCTGTGACAGAATTAAAACCAGTGAAATATCGAGTTATACTACTCCGGTACGCTACTATAGACTGAGCTCTACAAATTGATTATTAGAGGAAAAAGATCCTATTGGGCTTCACTATCCTCTGACTTTTGTGATCAATCATAATGGATGTGGAATAAATGGGAGATGGATACTTCGGTTCTTTTTGCCGCTAAAATATCACTGCTGACATTGTCTCTTTACGTATTCAATCATGCAGGAATGAAATGGTGTTCAGGCTGGTTTACGTCGTTTAACGTTGCGTGTGTCGTTGTTATGATCATGTCAGTTTATGATGTTTTAGTCTTGATATGATATGTGACCCGTTCTAAATACCATTTCAGTGGTGGGAGGAGTTTGACTGGTTCGGTAGAGAACTAGAACTGTCAGCGCGACAACGCGGCTGAACTATAATGAGCTTAGCCAGAACAAAAACCTAGCATAAAGCCAAAGGTCAGAAGCTTACTTAGTTTTCATATTTAGCACAAATACAGACCATGAGGGTGTGACCTGTAGATCCTTTTCAAAATAATAATCTTAGAGTTTGAAGCAACAGGGTCCAGAAAAGTTGCCACAGGGATAACCAAGCTTTCATACAGACATTACTTTCTAACTCTTTAATGTCGACTGTTCCTCTTATCATGTAGCAGAATTCTTTAAGTATGAGATTGTGCACCGACTGGGCTTAGACCATTGTGAAGGATTTGGGTTCTACACTACGAATGAGTACAATCTGGCCGTTGTTAAAGTACGAGAGCAGTCTCAGGATCAGACAATTGATATATCTACCTGGTTAGAAGAACAATGGTGAAAACCTACCATTTGCGGAATTAATAGTGAATGCCTTTAAGTCTGAATCCCGACCATATTTGCAACGAAACATTCAGTACCCGACAGACATATGACGTGGCAAGCTAAGATATTCCTTCGATTGGCTGGACTGTGCTTAATGTTACTCCAAAGCGGTGACTATAAAAAATAGCCTATATCTCGGGGTGTAAGGTTTGATACGACATCGAATTATTGTATTAGCCTAAGGGGATACGTAGAGAAATTAATGTTTTGTCAGGGAGACGCAAGTGTTCGCAGATAGCACACTGTTAGGCATTAAGTTCTGTCCCTTCTTCTTTTGATGATTACATGTAAATGTTCGGTTCTGAAACCTTGCCTTCAAAGTATTAGATCTGAAAAGAGTGCCAATCTATCCCAGCTACCTACTGAAAATTCAAAACTTGAAGCTCTATGAGGATATCTTCCATATATCCGGTTATAGGTGTTGACTGAATGAGCGAAATATCCACCTAATTATACTACTTTTTAATGCGTTTCTTCACTTTATCCCATCCAGTTGTGTGATTACATGCCAATATAGGCATAGATAGTAGATTATAATATTATTATGCCCTTGGTTTCGAGTGGGATATAGGGATTCAGTAGCACATCGACGTTTCTTCGTCACTCTCTTCTCTGTAGTGTTTTTTGGCTGGCTTCATGATCCCCACTGATATGACCTCCATGTTACCTTCGGACAACCAACCAACTCATTGGTTCCTTTTGGGGTCCCATGATGTTACTCAATGGTCTCCTCAGCGTATATGTCCAAACATCACTCAATTTCCTTCTGCATATATGTTGGACGATAAGTTCTTGTTCGGTTCGCTGGCATAGTTCCTTGTTGCTGAATTAATTTCCAGCCATCATCTACTCTTCAGTGTCTGGCGAAGCCAAATGTTACCGCCAAGTCTCTGAACCATATTCAACCACCGATCAGCTTGACATTAATGTTGTGAATATCCGAAACTTGTTCCTTACTCTTATTTTGGCAGTTTTACACATTTATTTCAGAGCAGTTAAAATTTGTCTCGCCTTTCCTATCCTTTCCTCATCTTACATCCTCATTCGTGCAGCCTGACTGTGAGGTTGAAGCTATACCTCCTAGGTAAGTGAACGAGATGTTTTCTTCCGTTGATAGCGATTGGTACTTGTTGTTGTCGGTTTGTTGGTTACCTTCATCAACTCTGCCTTCTATGTTCTTGGTTCTTCTACCAGCCGGTTGATTTTCACCAGTAGATCTTCAAATTTGTGTGACATTCAATATAAATCATTTTATTTATAATTATTAAAATCAATCAATTATTGATTTTTTTATCATTTTTCTTCTAGTGGAGTGAAGTGTTTAGCGCTGATATGTTTGAATCACGTTTCAAGTGTGCAGTAGACGGTGGATGTATGAGTCAATGTGTTGGACGTGATTATAGAGAGAAAATACTCTATCCAGGTGGTTCAAAAGACGCTATAGATATGTTAAAAGACTTTTTAGGTCGTGAACCTAATGATAAGGCTTTCTTTAAATTATTAAATGTTGAAGCATAATCTGTTTGATATTTTGAGTTTTATTTTGAATTTTTAATCTTTTGATTACTTTTTAAAGAAATTTTGACCGATGTAGCCTTATTTCTTTGCTTTCGTGTATTTTTCTTTATGACATAATTTTAGAGTAACGTTGACTTAGTTAACACTCATTCATGGCTGATCATGTCCTGTATGACAGTTTATTTGTGCTATGGAAATATAATCTGTGTTTTTAAATTCGTCGTATTTTGCATTTTTTCTATTTTTGTTCCTCTCCCCTGAAGTTAATTGTAGGTTAACTTTCATAGCTGTACACGAATTCCATTCTGTATAAATTTGAACAGAGATAGGAGAAACATTGGTTCAGAGAACAATATGGATCTACCGTATTGCTTTGGCTTTTTCCCGTCAGCTGCATATATCTTTCAAAACTTAATAATAATAACACTGATTATTCCGTGTATCGTCAATATGAGTCAGTCCTTCAATAAGCTAGGACTGATGTAGGAACATCCTGGTGTAAATTAAAACAATAAGGATAATAGGGTTTCCTCAAGATTAGTATATAGGGTGACACAGATGGGTAAAAAGCTGCCCAAATCTGAAATCAATATTTTAAGTCAATAGCTGCAGGGTAGGTGGAAGTGTTTATTCCTCAAATCTGGATTTAGTTTACGTTGCGGGTGTGAAGTGACCTCATTGGCTGACTCGTTTTAACCTTGGGCCAGTCGTCAGCGAATCAGAACAGCTTATTGTCCTCTGACCTAGTTGAGTTTTAATATGACTGGGGATGCATAAATATGATGTTTCTTTCTTATTAAAGGTCCGTTATCAAGTCACTTGTCTTCCCCCGTTACATGTATATATATTATAAGGGTGGAAAATGTACGAATTCTTTTGCGCTGGGGTGATGAAAAATCAGTGACAATTGCGTAATCAGAGATAATAAAATACGTTTGCGGTATGAATAAGTTTCGAACACACTTTATTGTTCATAATCATGCCAATTATAACTACAGAACTTCGATAATTGCTTTGTGTAATTTTCATCCCTCCTGGTTTCTTAAAGGAGTAGTAGAATGTTCCTGATGCTTAGGATAAGTGTTGATTAATTTCAATTACGCATGTATTCTCAGTTGATTCGATAACTTAAGCTGCAGTCTATCTCCCAATGAGAAGTTACTACTTAGTTTTCGTGCCCTACTACTTAGACATTCATCGGTGGTACAGCGGTAGAATGCTCCCAAATCACGTCCCATGTGGTCAGGGGATCGATCCTCGGCTGACGAGGCACTCCTTCACCTCGCTAAGCCAGTATTAGGACTGGCAAAGAGGGAAGGCTTGGTATGAGGCTAGCAACCCCATCCCGTAAAAATAAACACCTCTGTTACAGAAACTTCAAGCCTGTACCTTGAAGCCCTATGTTACACTGGGTCCGTAAAGCATTAAAAAAAACGAGAAGGAAAAGTTAAGTGAAAGGACTATGCTGAATACCATTTTATCCAGACCTGTGTACAAATCAAGTGCGATGACATAACATCGAACCTTGCGATAACAGGATAGAATTCCACGAAATTTTTCAAGAAAATATTCTGGGAAACTCCAAGTAATGTTACTGGGTCGTGTTTCCTGTGGGCATCCCTGTTTTCATCAGTGCCTCCAAGTTCAGCTGGTAATCGGATCGCATAAACTGAAAACATTTTGCCAGTGGTGTCTAGGGTTTTGGAGAACCATGTAGAACATCTTGTTAGTGACGAGAACCTTCAAGCAGTTTACAATGGCTTCAAAGGCGTAAGTCTTATACAAAGAATTTGTCACCAGAATAAATCCACTGCTCATCATGCTCTATTGTAGCTGTCCGCTAAGTGACTTACTTGTTCGTAATACAGACCAGTTGCTAGTTTTTGGTACAATCCTCTGTGCCTTGTAAACCTCATTTGTGGAGAAAATATCGTAATCTACCAGTGAGGAATTGTATTTCCGCATATCAGAGGGAGCTATTTCTGGATTCTTGACAAAAAGCTACCTTTCCATCCCGAGGGTTAAATCCGAAGTGCCATTATCAGTGTAAAAGATGAGCAAACGAAGCTCGTAAAGCAGAGTTCGCAAACTGCGATTATCTAGACCACATTGAAGCTATCTTAAGAGAGTTAGTGGATTTGGACTGCATGTTAATAAAAATCAGTCCCAAATAGGAGAAAGTGCTATTCTCCTTCTGGGTTATACGATGGTAAATAGAGGAATGCAACTGTTACCTGAGAAAATCCTGGCTGTCAAAACCGTTGGAGTATCGAATTCCAAACAAAAGCTGAGACGGTTTTGAAGAATAGCGGCCGGTTTTCCAAAAACTTCAACGATATGGCAAGACCCTTATGTAGGTTACTGAGTAACACGAAATTCACATAGGTGGCGCAGGCACAGCAGACGTTCGATCAAATTAAAGAGCTGTTAGATAGTCAACAGATGACATTGAAATCCCCAGTGCCTGTGAAGCGGTTCACAGTTTCTACAGACTCAAGTTATTATGGTATACCTGCTATTTTAAGATAAATGGACGGAGTTGTTGAATATGCTGGCCGTATTTTGACGACTGCAGAGCGACACTACTCTACGGTGGAATAGAAGTGTTAAGCCACTGTATGGGCACTAGAAAAATAGAGGCCGAACGTGGCTGGCCGTTGATTCCACATTGAGGCCGACCTCGAACCTCTGCGGTAGTTGAAAACAGCAAGGGATTCACGAGAGAAGTTGTCACGATGAATGTTACGCCTACATGAGTATGATCTTAGGATCATGTGTATTTCAGAAAAAGAAAATATAAAAGCTGAATATCTGTCGAGATCAGATAATGAGACCAAAATACCTGAGTTACCGTATGCAGTAAACGCTTAGGCTCTAGATTTTATACAACTCGTTTGCTGCCAGAAGTCGGATCGTACACTTAGGACAGCCATCCAGATAATAAGCGAAGGCAAAATAGCCGAAACAGGCGTGGAATACAGAGTTAAAGGCACTACTGGGTCACAAACCAAGCTAAATTCTTCTGGAGTCCTAACTTGGCAAGACAATCATGGTAGCTGTGTTATAGTGATGTCAAAGACCCTTCATCGTGAATTTATTCGAGAATTCCACCAACTAGGCCATATAGGTGTTACACGGATATACGATTTAGTGAGCCAAGTAATTACTTGCCAAATATGAGAGGCGATATTGCAAACGACGTACACGCTCGCCCTCAATGCTAGTTGATGGAAGGTTATCAGTACTTTCGACCAACGCTACAAACGATTCCTCTAACATCAGTAGGTGACTTGTGGTCAGTGGACATAATGGGTCCTTTCCATTAAGCATCCGTTGCAAATGAATAAGTTTCGGCGATGGCGGAACACGCCATGCGATATGCATATGGCGTGGTGGTTCCAGATCAGAGCGTCAAGAGTGTAACCGAGACTTCAATGCGATGTACATGAGACAATATGAGAATCACCCTTCCAGCTAATGCATGGGCAGAAACCACGCTTTCCGGTGCACCATAACACCCGGCCACAACAAATTAGATGCCACCTCTGATGGAAACCAACTGGGTGGAAAAACAAACAAATACATTTACGGAAATCCGTATTTATTTTTATTTTTGATTACAGCTTGATTCCAAACTGTATTTTTCGTACAAGTATGGAATTTTCAGCGTGGATATCGGTAGCCCAAGATTCGCAGGCCGACCATAGATATCAAGTTTGCGTCGGCAGGGAATCGCACCCAGGAACATGTGCATGGTCGTCGAGAGTCCTATCCACTTTGCCACCGACTAAAACCATTTAACTTTTGTGAAAATTCACAGAGAACTGCAGTAACAAGCTTCTGTTTAATTAAAATTAATTCTGAAGGATGGATACCAACTATTCCGAGTTTTGTTTTATCGCACTAATAATAAGGGTCAAAATTGTTGTTTAGCATCCACTTCAGTATGAAAATGCTGTGATAAAGAGTTTCTGAACCTGTTGTCGAAGTAAAGAAACGTTTTCAGGTGAATAAGGTTTTTACATCACTTATTTTTTTGACTGAATGTTTGTATTCATACATGCGTTCTCATTTACTTCATAAAAGACGTTTCGAGTAGATTTCTACCGCACTCTTGTTGAATTATGCCGTGAATACTTGGTCTTGTAACAGCTGACAATTTGTTTTCTCTCATAATTTCGCGGTTATGTTGTAAATACATTGTATCCAGAATGTGATGGAACTGTGAGAAATTTGTTAGACCACAGTATTTTTCAGAACCTCTGTAATTATATTTAAATATTGTTTGGGATATAAGCAGCTGAAAATAATTCACGAAATGAAAGTAGCCCATGTTAGATAACATCTGCAGGATAGCTTGCAAATTGCCTCGTTCATTCTTTTGTACTTATCATGGATATTTTAGAAAAATCGGAGTTTCTTATGGATTCATAACAATTCGAAGAAGACTTTTCAGGTGTTTATTGGTGATTTGTAGGCGCCAGGGAAATTTTTTGGCATTTGGCGCAATCTTAAAATTTTGAGGAAATTCATGTGTTTTTCAGGAATTAGGGGAATTTGGGTAAGCGCTGAAGGGTATTTGCTATCGTCTTGGAGGAAATGTATCACGTATTCGTCCCTGGCTTCTAAGTTGCGTCAAGAGCTACACCTTTCCTCCTAAATTTTTTACTGCGACATGAAAGAGTTACAGTTGGTATTACTTTAGAGGTTGACGGATATCTCGTTCAGCAACTTCTAATTAATTTATTCTCGCGTACCAACAACAAAGCAAAAGCCAATATTTGATCGTCCAAACCAAGAGATATATTTCGGGACCAAAACAAGCCTTCAGACAAACGCTTAGCTAGCTAGTGATCGTGCACGTTACACGACTGGGTACCAAATGGCGGGGATGCTTGACCGGAAGCCTTCAGCTAAACAAGTCGACTTAAACAGTGGTGGTCAGCATCCAATGTGTGATTGCTGTGGTCAACAATTTTGGGGAATTATTTACCGCTACATTACTGTACAACATTGTGTGGTTAATCAAAACAAAATCTCCTCCATAAAGAAGTTATACTCTACCACAGTGCCGAAGTTTTATACTTATATCAACAGGTACTTCTTGTGTTTAGAGGGTTCTGCGGAGCTGTTGAAAATGTGGAGCAGGTAATGACGCATGTTAAATGCTTTAATTTGCTACCTGCATTCAAATCACAAGATACATTCTTTGTCCAGTCTTTTCGTCTCCATGATGATTCCTCTGTCTCTCTGTATGAAAAGTGCGAATAGTGCAAAAATAGTGTGTGATGTTTTTGACTGCGAGCCATATATTTTTAGATATATGGCATAAAATTTCTATTATCATACAAAGTCATGTGGTTGCCTAAACTTTTCAAAGTTCCAAATGATCAGGAAATTACTGCAAAAAGTGGCAAATTACCTCATGTTATACACACTTTCAGAAGGAAACAGTTGAACGTGACAGCAGCAGATTTAATTTAAAAACTAGAAAATCATTATAGGCTTTCTCTGTCCTGAAAATTTACCTAATTAATGCTTAGAAAATTGGAAAGGTTTATGGGATCAGTTGACTTCTACCCTATGCATTGTGGCTGATCTGTTGACTTGCTTCTGATGCGTATGGTTTAAGAGGTGTATCTAGATCAATTAGACTTTGAAACGATATAGACTATGAGCTGCATGATGTTACTTTGGTTGATTATTTCCCTCTTTACCTTGGTCGTCTTTTTGACCTTATTTATTTTTGACTTATAAATAGTACTTACCTACGAGTCTTCAAATGTCAGTTTGCATGACAACCTTTCACTAATCAGCCAACTTTTCGAGGTGTAGAATATCGTGCTAAAGTTAAAATAGAGGTATTTAATCGATAATTTTCAGTTGAAGATATTTTTCCTTTAAAATCTAGCGGTAAAGTTCATATCATATATAAATCAATACACTAGTTATACAATGGACAATTCGAAAATATCAGCTCAGATTGAACCATGAAATCCTAAAAAATCTGTTTCTTAATTGCAGGAAAATGAGTATTCAAACCTCCTTGACTTAGTCTTTACATCAAACTACCCCCATAGCTGCTCAATCACCTATCAAAGTAATCTGATGAACTGAAGGTAAATGCATGTAAACAGTGAGTATTTCACTTTAATTTTAAATGATACTTCAAGATTCTTTATATATTCAACCTGTAGAAAGTGTAAATTGGTTGTTACACATTCTATATACACAATCTTCATTTTTAAAATGTAAAGATATCGTTAAGCATTATGAACAGTTTTCTTTAAATGATAATTATCATCTTTATTGCCTTGGTCTTATTCATCGTTCAAATGGTTGTATTCAGGAATCGTTGAATTGTTTTACAAAGTGTTCAGCAAGTAATAATAATTCACCTGATATACTTAAACAGATTGCAAGGTCATTGTAAGTTGTTTGTAATATGCACCTTTCCTTGATATCATTTCAAGTGATTATTATTTCTATATACCTCTGCGCTTTTACTTTGTTTTGTATGCTATTTACCAAACAAGGCATCTGTGATGCTTATATGAGATAAAGTGTCATTTAATTAGGTTATAGTCTGTAAATGTTTAAGACTATATAGTAGCTTTTGGTGGAATACTGTATTGACCACTTTCCAAACCTGAAATATCTTCAAGAAAGTTTTGCTTTCAGAAGTTAAGCAGATGTTAAATATTCTGTAGACACCCATTTAGACTTACTTCTCCGTCAGCAAAAGATTTTCACCCAAAATGTCAAGTTTAGTCTATCAATCTCAGATTGCTTCACCAATGTGCATGTTATTGAAACATAACACCAACTGAATAAGACCAAAATTGCTGGACTGAATCATGCAGATGATTTTAGGATAAATTCAGGGGTCATTTAAAACACTAAGGATGAGAAGTCGAGGAATTCAATGAGAATCACTCACAATTAATTAAAGTACTATGTGTGTGTGTCTATTACATCAGATCTTTATGTGTTTGGGGGATATTACCCACCTTTGACTGATTCTGGTTATATCTGATCTGCTTTCTAGCATAAATAAAGAGTCAGTGGTTCACTGGTGAAATGCTCTTCAACCATGCACATGGTTCAAGTCCAACTCACTCATAAACTAGGTCTCTCATATTACCTAATAGTAAGCCTGCACAAGAGGAATGGGTAGGCATGAGGCTACGAATCCCATCGATTAATATTAATATAAATGTTACTTTTTTTCAAAGCTTGAAATTATATGATCTACTCAGGACGTTTCACCCTCAAGTTGTGAAAATAAAGACTTCACTAGCATATTTTTCATATCAATTTATCTACCCTAGTTCCGTCACCAAAAATTGATTTCGATTACATTGGGAAAATGTGACAGTGTAAGATGTACACTGATGGTTGTATGACAATTAGGAAAGAAGTTAAGATATGTTATGCCAACTGACTTTTATACCTGTTGAGATGCAATGATATTTTTGATTGTAAAACTGTTACAACTCAAACTAAATTTTCAAATCATTGAAAATGCCAATCAGGGTATTGGTCAGAAAGGAACTAGAAGCTCAGCAAGAATACGTTTTCGGCGATTTCATCCTCAGAAACAACACCTCTGACCCCCAAGAGTCCATTCAAATAAAGATAAAAGGTGGACTGGTTCGAGCCCATGAGAACAATGTACAGTTTACAAGAGTTAATTTGTAGCGGTTCAATTAATTTCAAGTTCGAACACGGATTGGTTCCAGTTACAGAAAAACTGGAAACTAACAGGGAGCATAGCTGTTTATTCTTGGTTTGGAACTCTTCACCAGTCCACGCCTACCGAGGTTAAAATCCAGGACCTCCTAATTACTAAATAACATCAATCCGTAGTCATACTTGAAATGTATGATTTAGCTAGTTGCATAATTTCAGGTTTAATAATGGTTGTCACATCACATTATAAGAAACATTAAACGTAGGTCCTATGATTTAAATCCCTTCAAAATGGTTTTGGACGATTTTATGATTAGGCGAAATCGGTAGTTTATAAAATTGCGTGAATCTTATCCATTATTATCAATCAGGAACTGACAAATCTTCCTCAGTGAACCATTAAGAATAGGACAGTGTTCAAGTCTTATCCTCATCTATAACTTCATTTATTTTATAGTTGAAAAATGATTAACTTTTTAAATATTGATTTCTGTTACAGATTTTTACAAGGTCATCACAATGAAGCATTAAATACTTATAAAGATGCTCACAAACTTAATCAAAATGATTGGGTATGTTAGTGTAAAACTCGAAATGTGTTCATCAACAATTTTTATAGTGCTTGCTTTTTCAAGTTTAATTTTGAACTGACGTCCGTTAGAGTACCACTGAAGTTCACCATGGAGTACTGGGCATCTGTTGTCTCGCCGTTTGGGACTCTGCAGAAGTACGTATCCATGATCCCACTGCTAAGGGTGGGACCCGGAACCTTCACGTTACAAGGGAAGCTCATTAACTATTCAGCCTCTGGGACTGAAATCAGTGGTCTATCAGTTTTAACCTCTGCTATTTCTCGTTATATAGTGCCAACACCATTCAGTGTCACATCTATTCAATGTCCTCTGGTTTTGAATGGTGCTCTAACGCGAGTCTTTTCATAATCAAACCTGAAGTCAACCAAATCCCTGTGGGTTTAAGTAAAGGACAAACAAAATCAATTCGTGGCTCTATTTCATCTCATCTTGTGGATACAGAACACAAGATTGATGTCAACGAGGCGGCTTTCAAAGTCATTTAACGCACACCAACAAATCTTAACTTCGCTTTAAGATTTCGTCTTCTACTACTATATATTGCTGAGGCGGGTTGTTGGGATCCTAATCAAGAAGCCTAATTTTTACTTCCAAAAGAAGTTAGCTCAGACATTATCCTTACCCCGCTGGCCAATTCTTGTGGAATTTTCCTAATTTTAGTTGATATTCTATTTGCTACTATATCTTTATTATTATTATTATTATAATTTAAGCACCTTTAATGAACTCTAATTCCTCTGTGATCTTACTTTACAAATCGATATTATTTAAAAAACACGCCATTATTGTTATTGACTACTAATTTAGAATATTCTATGTATATAAATATACGTATATATAATTGTAGAGTCAGAAGAGGAGGAATTCATCGAAAAGGGGGATATTCTTTGCTCAATTATTTTGTATTTTTTAGATGTCTGGGTGAATGAATTTTCGAAATATTCTGTCTGTTTTTGTTTCTCTCTCGCTTTCTAGGAAATACAATTTGGACAAGGTTTATGTCACTTTTATATGAGGCAATATGATCAGGTAAGTTGTAAATCACACAGAATACTAGGCATATTTTTTTTCGCTTTACTTTAGGCAGAAGAATATTTTATCAGTTCTAGTATACTTACAAGAAATATTAAACCTTTAAAATGGTTAGCAGATGTTCAATTGAAAAAAGGTTCAATAGATTTAGCTATTGAAACATTGAAAAAAGCAACATTGTAAGTTGAGCATATTTCACTTTATGCATTTATGGTCATATTTATAACTCTATAGGATTATAAGTTATTCTTCCTATTTTGAATATACGAATTTGATTTTAACTGTTTAATGACTGTCAATTTAATGAAATGGAGTAAGCTAAGACTAACTGACATTTTAATTAATTATGTCAAATAGTTTACTTCATTCACTTATCTAGGGAGCATTGTCTCAACTACACGCAGTCGGAACGGACGAGGATGTCAAATCGAGCGAGAATCGGGAAGGCAAGAAACACATTCATCAATCAACCTGAAACAACCAATCTGGAAATCTTCGTCACTCAGCCAGCATCAACAACAAAATTCGGTCGGATTTTCAATACAAACGTCAAGTCAGTCAGTTCTCCTATACAGATCAGAAACTTGGCGGGTCACAAAGAATATTTGCAACAGGTTGCAGACCTTTATCAACAACTGTCTTCGCTGGCTCTATACTGAAGATCAGATGGCCGAGCCGGAAAGAATCACCAACAAGAAACTATGGGAACGAACAAACAAAACAAGAATCAATCACCCAACAAATATGCAGGAGAAAGTGGAGATTGATTAGACACTCGTTGAGGAGGCTGGTTGGTGACATTGCGCGCGCGTCAGGCCATTGCTCGAGTGGAACCCGAAAGGGAAGCAGCGAGTGGGACATCGGTGCAAGGGTGACATGGAGGAGATCGTGTGAAGAGGAGTTGAAAGAGTATGGACTAACATGGATGCAAGTGAAAAGTACAGCAGAAGACAGAAGCAAGTGGAGACGAGCAGTTGAAGCCCTATGTTCCACTAGGAACCCAAGGGAACAATAGTAATAATAAGTAATGTCAAATAGGAAATCCAGTGTTTCGAAATGTCTCCTTCGATGAGTTACTGCCTCACCTTCAACCTGCTGCATCCTACCAGTCATGGCTTCCCAATAAAACTGCAGGTCATTGCCTGAATAGGGCCCGTTGCTAGTGTACATCAGATCGATGATTAAGTATTGGTTTTTGTAGTGATTTTGTCTGATTGGTTCAAGGATTTCCTAATGAGCTGACGTCAGTTAGAGAATCATTGGAAAACCAGCTAGGAGTACTGGACTGCTCTTTCGCCAAACTGCTTTGTGACTCTTCATCTGTACGCACCCGCCGCCATGGTTCGAACCCAGGACCTTCTGGTTACAAGGCGGGCGAGCTAGCTCGTAGACCACTAAGCCACTGGGACTCGCCCGATCTGATGGCCCAGTACTTGAAAATCGATCTAATGTTCACTAGTGACTGTCTCTATTCAAGCAGTGATCTGGCGTCCCAATGGAAAACCGTGACCAGAAGGATGCAGCAAATCTAATGTTTCTTTCCAGGGCTTATCTGCTCCTACAGGGCCTAATACATAAGCCTTAACAGAGGGATATTGTTTAGATGCGTTAATGAGCACCCACTAGCAAGGTATTTCAAAAGGAGGAAGCAGAACAGTCAAAAGGCTTAATTCTTGAGCACATTATTGATTCTCGTCATGCGGCATCATCAGAGGCTACACCTAGTCATATATATATATATATATATATACATAAAATAGTAGAAAATGCCCATCGAGGTAAATGAACAAGAAGTTCAGTAAAGATATCTTCTCGGCGATTTCATTCTCACAGGCAGCTGTACAATCGCATTTAAATAGATTAGTTTACATTGATACAATTATTATTTATTTGATATAATTAGTCAGAAAAGGCTTTAGAAGTGAAAACTAAAAGTTGCAAATTACGTAATACTCAACGGAACAATGGTAGAAATTCGAGATAAGCTTAAAATTGCTCTTGAGAGAGAATAAAGGTGCTATTTGAGTGACAATCTAACAAGTGTGAAGAGGGTTTGAAAATTTACAAAAGGAGCATATGAGAGTGAGAATAGTGAGTTAATTAAATAAAGCAAAAGCAAACTAAAAGTAAAATTAAAAAGAAAAGAAAAATCAAATTTTTTTACAGGGAACGATTAGTGAAGAGGTTAAGACCAAGGTGGAATAAGAGACTTGACAAACTTTTTCCGTATACAGAGTTCAGGGTTGTATTGATGAATTGCCAGCGCCTCCCTGCCATACACAAAAGCCGAAACTTGATGCCCTTTGTGCCATTTTTCTTCACTTCGTAGATGATCAGGCCACGTATCTCCACCAGATTCGTCTTTCAAGATCATCTACAAAGTGAAGCCAAATGGTACAAAGGACGTCAGGCTTCGGCTTTTGTGTATGGCAGGGAGGCGCTGGCAATTCATCAATACAACCCTGAACTCTGTATACGGAAAAAGTTTGTCGAGTCTCTTATTCCACCTTGGTCTTAACCTCTTCACTAATCGTTCCCTGTAAAAAAAATTTGATTTTTCTTTTCTTTTTAATTTTACTTTTAGTTTGCTTTTGCTTTATTTAATTAACTCACTATTCTCACTCTCATATGCTCCTTTTGTAAATTTTCAAACCCTCTTCACACTTGTTAGATTGTCACTCAAATAGCACCTTTATTCTCTCTCAAGAGCAATTTTAAGCTTATCTCGAATTTCTACCATTGTTCCGTTGAGTATTACGTAATTTGCAACTTTTATAACTTATTTAATTTCACATAGTAACGAAGGTGATAATAATTTTTAACTTGATATGAAAGTTTGACAATACAAATACAGATTTCAATGGGCATCGAGACAAGATTACATAGGATTAGAAAACAGTTACACCGTATGCAAAATTAATATTTGACAACCGGAAAAATAATAAATAAAAGTTGACAATTATTTCCAAATTGATATGAATTACAAGAGGCACAGAAACAAAAGCATTACGCAGGATTAGAATAAAATTGTAAAATGGTTATTCTAAACGGATTACAAGTGTGAGCAGGAGGAGCATGAAAACAAACTTAAAATAACTGATTTTATAATTGAAAAAATGGGAGAGCAAAATGCACACACAGTGAACAAAACAAAAAAAACTGAAGGCTAAGAGAACATACCGAGCTAGGTCCATGGTAGTTGTAAAAGTTGGAATAGTTTCTTTTGAACACACAGCTCCGTCTTTTCGATTCATATGGCGACAGCTTCTGCAGTACAGAAAAGCCGGAAACATACTGCCTTTGGTAGATTTTTGTTTACTTTGTAAATGACTCTAAATGATGAGTCAGCTGAGATTCTGTGATAGGTATTGACGATTTGTTCAGTTATGGCGCTTCTGAATGAACCAATGCCTCCTCTTCGCAGCCCTGCTGGATGACGTTCTCTAACACGTTTTGAATGGACGCACATACAACGACCTATGTACCTAATTCCTCACGAACAGGTGATCTGGTATATGCCCATTGAAGTGGTCATATGCGGAAGTCTGTCCTTCCGGTTGCTCCAAAGTAGTGGGCGACTAGAGAATATCACTTATTAGAGTTACGAACTGCCACTGATTAGGAAGTTATCGAAAAACAAGGATCATTAGACAGTTGCTTCATTCGAGTGTAGGACTCCTTAGAAGTACACAACCATCATCCCATTAAGAGTTGAACGTAGAAACTTCAAAGTGCCAGGAGAACCCATTGAATATACAATCAGTGGGATGGAATTTGATGACCTTTAATTCGATGGACTTTAATATCTATTATTTGACGATTTTTCCTCGCACCCGACGTGTCAGACCTTACTGGTCACGATTTCTCACTGGAATGACAGGCAACTTCATTATGTAGTCATTCACTAGTAAGTATTAGGTTAATTTTTAAGTGTTGGCTTATAGGGATTTGACTGGTCAGTCAGTGGTCTTGTCTTGTAACCTGAAAGCCCTGTAGTCGATACCTGTTGAAGGACCAATCGACGAACTAACTTGGGACGAGTCAAATCCCATAAATCAACATTTGAATATAAGGATGCATTGAAGTTTTCTGTAGCATTCGGGGGGATATTTTCAGTAATGTTATTGGCTGGTTTGTTTTTAAAACCAACGACTTCTTCTTCTGGTCAAAAATGAGAGTATCTTTATTGACACCATAACTCTTTTTTGTCTCAGAGTAAATTTACTGCGAAATGTTCGTAAACAATCATTTTTTAGTCAAAAGCATTCACCATTTTTTATATTAACGTGTCAGTGTAGAATGCTTATTCATGATACGTTCAAAATGTTAATATTTATATAACTGCTTTTTTATTTGGTTATGTTCTCAGATATCCGGCTGTCGACGGAAGGGCGTGTATACTGCTCTGCAGTTTGCTCTGTCCTCCTTTATGACTGGCTGTGAGGCATGGCCATTGAAAGTGGGAGACATGAGAAGGCCGGCTAGCTGTCTTTGATCATAGGTGCCTGCCTTCCACCTCCCGTGTTACGTGATATAATAAGGTGAGCAACATTGAGGTTAGGCTTTGGTCCAGTGCTAGGTATGGAGGGGAAATCAATAGACGAGGTTGTAAAGTTACACCGATTCAGATGGTTAGGATGTATGTTACGCATGCATCTCTAGCCATTGCCTTTCTTCCTCAACGGGCAATATTGGCTACTAACCTAGGATGGATCCGGCTGTAAAAGAGTTAGTGGTGATCAAACGAAAACATGTCTTCATCAGCCAGTCGGCTCTAACAACAGTTAGTTTAAGCCAGCCAGCTATATAGGCAGGGAGATGTAGACTGTCTGTCTGTCTGTCTGCCTGGAGTTCTCAGGATAACAAAATCCAATGTTTAAGGACAATTGGTGATATACCTCAAAATTGTTCTTAGTGGCTGGCGCCAATGCATTCACTGTTTCTGATTTATAGTATAGAATAAAAGTCTGTTGTTCTTCCATATTACTGTTCTTTACGCCTCATATCTCTGTTTATCACCTCTCTCTCTCTCTCTTTTGAGTCTCTCCTTACTCCTCCTTCTCTTGCTTTGTGAGCTACAAGAAGGGAGTATAGGAACTCGAACTAGTGCACATCTGTGTAAAGGTCTATGTTGAAACCAGTCAGTCAGTCACGTTCTCTGAACTGATTGATTTAATTCCTAAGCTTTCGTTATCATTCTATACAATATGAAGTATGAATTTATTTGAATTTTTGATGAGTGATATTATTGTATCTCCTGACAAAATCTTTTATGCCTGGTTATTATTCTGCATCAAGTATAAATTGTTTTATTGGCTTGGAATTGTAACTTTCCTGTCGTGTGATTTATTTTTTTATTAGTTAGTCAATTTAATCGATAGTAGTCTGTTTGTTAATTGCTGATATTAGTCTGTGTACCAGACTTCCAAAAAGTCTCTAGCATTTTCGGCGTTTCCATTATCTGACATTTCTACACTTTCCCTAACTCCACAGTTGTCTACACATACATCGGTTTGAAAGACTTCAATATGTTTTTGGTTTTCACAGCTAATTTATGATCTTGGATTCTGACTGGAATGGGACGCCTACTTTGACCGTTGTAGTATTTACCAATACGGTTTATGCAGTTTATTTTGAAAAATGGTGTATTAGCGTTGTCTTCTATTGCTACTGAGTGAGTCTTGTCGTCTAAATAGTTGTGAATGAAGTAACTGTATTGGCTAATGTGCTATCTCTATTTCAAACGGCTTTAGTATTCCGACTAACTGTTTGATTTCAACGTAGAACTTTGCACAGATGTGCACTAGTTCGAATTCCTACCCTCCCACCCCCCTTGTAGCTCACAAAGCAAGAGAAGAGAGTAAGGAAAGACTCCAAATAGAGAGAGGTAATAAACAGAGATATGAGGCAAAAAGAACAGTAATATGGAAGAACAATAGAATTTTATTGTTTATTATAAATCAGAGAGAGTGAATTCATTGGCGTCAGCCACTGAGAATGATTTTGAGTCACATCATCAGTTGTCTCCAGCCACTGGATTCTGTCATCCTGAGGACCCCAAACGGAAAGCCAGCCAGTCTACACCTCCCCACCTACATGGCTAACTGATTCAAACTAACTGTTTTGGATTTTATTGACTGATGAAGCCATGTTTCGGTGAGATCACCACTAACTCTTTACTAAGCTGAACAATCCTATGTCAGTGGCTAACATCGCCCGTCGAGGAAGGTGATAGCTAGGCATATGTAACACATATCCTAACCGTCTCAATCTATGTAACTTTGCAACCTCGTCGACTGATTTCCCCTCCCTCCTCACCTTGAACTCGACCGATGTCTAACTTAAATATTGGTCACGTCACTATGCCGGCACTTAACACGAGAGATAGAACACAGGCACCTATGATCAAAGACTGCTAAACTGCCTTTTCATGCCTCTCACTTTCAATGGCCATGTCTTACAGCCAGTCATAAAGGAGGACAGATCAAACTTCAGAGCAGTACACCCATCCTTTGGTCGACAGCCGGCTGAATATCACTTCTACTAAGCCAGAAATGGAATAAGTTGTCATATGCCAAACAAGCTTTATGTATCCGTGCTGATATTTCGTCAGTGATCAACCCGATGGGATTAGCTGATACAACTTCCCAAATGATCGAAGTGGTCAACGCGCTCCACCGACTACTTCACTTCCTATATCTAAGCTAGGAGTTGGTCAATGTAATCCAGCCCTGTAGCATCATCATCTTACATTTAAATGACACAAGCGAATTACAGGCCAGACATTCGAAGACTGCTGCCCCTCAAGGTGTTCAGAAGACTCTGCATTTTGTCAACATCTTTACTTCAGCAATAGGTTATTCAGTAATGACGAGCATGCACTCGATGCCTGACCAGGTAGACTCCATCAGCTAACACATAATATCTGGTCACTGTGTCTCATTTTTCAATGAATCTCTAACTGATTTTGGTTTCTTGAGGAAATATACATATGTATTAAAATTATTCAAAGTGATTGTTAAAAAAAGACATAATCATTAGAAACCTTAATCCCTTACAGATTAGTTCCAGAAGATCCAGATCTACAAACAACCCTCGGTTCGCTATATCTTCGAATTAATCAAGAACAGTTGGCATTTGAATGTTTAAGTTCAGCTATCCTACTGCAACCAAATCATTTTGAAGCTAACCAGCTTGCCAGTTCAATTATCACCTTACACGGTGATTATAATGTTGCACTGAATAAATATCGTTCTATAATAAGACAAGCTTCAGAAAATTCAACTTTATGGAATAATATTGGTGTAGCTTTATTGGGTAAAAAGAAGTTAGTTGCGGTGAGCTATTTTACTTCTTACAGGAGTGTGTTTCTTTCTATTGTTTGTGTTAATTCACAGAATTCCCATTGATTGACTATTTTGTACTGAAATACTCGTGTTATTGATATAAGTATAAAACTTGGGCACTCTGGTAGAGTATAACTCCATTTAGGATAAGATTTTATTTTGATAAATCACACAGTGTTGTTACACAGTAATATTAACTGATGACCACGTTTTGAGCACAAACTATTGCTCATAATCATATCAAGTTACTCATACAACTTTCTTGCTTCATTTATATACATATGTGGAGTAGATTAGATATTGGAATAAAAATCGATATGAGGTAATGTACATTCAGTAATAATAATATTAATGTCATCAATAATATACGATCATATGGGAAATAAGACGAGTGTTTTTATAGTTATAATAAGTAACATGTTAAAATGTTGCGATGTGCTTGAATTGAAATAGAATTTTATGATTATTTATTATCCTCTTCTGATTTGACCGGCGGTAATAATATCTTCCATATTTCTGGTATTTGCATTGAGTCATTTCTGTTGCATGTGTTGGGTGTAGACTCGATAAATAAGGATTCCGTAATCAACCTCTCTCTCCACCTACTTATATTACTTCTTAGAATCGTAACCCTCTCCCACCCTATTGTGTGGCTGTATGTTGATGCATGCAGTGCAATGTAGTGCTGAGCTTTTTTCTAAATTACTTATCTTCACGAGTGGGGTCAACCATTCTTACCTTAGCTAAATTCTTATGTTCCGACAATCTGATTACCCCCGATCTACTAGTTTGACCTATATAGTTGACTTAACTCACAATCATTGCAAGGTATTTTGTAAATTATATTATTTTGTCTAATTGGGTCACCTGGGTCCTTTAACCTACAGAGCTTTTCTCTGAGTGAGTTTTTAGGTTTGAATGCCACCCAAATTCCTGCTTTATTAGGAATCCTACTTCGTAGGGTCTCAGATGTCTCCTCCTTATATGGTTTAACATTAGATGACTTATATTTTTTCTCTTATTTATGTTATCATTACTAGTTTCACAATTATTTTTAATTTGCTTTCGGTCCTTTTCGATCCTCCTAATGAATTTTACAGGATACTTGTTTAACACCAACGCCTCTTCTATCTGTTTTATTTCATCGCTTAGGTCTTTTCTTGTGCGAATCGAGCAATAGCACTAAGTAGCAATGCACCATTTGCACAGATCTGCCGTAGTGTGCTACTTCTGGCCTTCACAGTGTGTGTGTGTATTTCTCTGTGTTCCTTTCACGTTTCCCATGTATCTTCCCAACGCTTTGTCATTTGCTTTCCGTGACACTAAGTCTATCTCCCTGTTATTTGACGTTTTTATGCCGATGAACATCTCTTTATGTATATATAAATATACTATTGATAGATCTTATCAGTAGCACATGCCACACCCGGTCTCTGATGAGCCGTCTGCTGCTAGTACAGACGCTTTAATGATATCTGAAGGGAGTAACGTGACTTTACTTTTGGTTGATGATGTCTAGTGATGGAATCAAGGACACACACACCGTTTCATTTGAGATTTATCAGTTCACTATATCGGTATCTACAGTGAATGATGGTGTTCCAACTAGCAGTCAGTCCCTGCACCCATAGTTTCAAGCGTCGAAGCCAATGAGAACAGAATAGCGTGACATGCTTACGCCTTGAAGACCACTGCTAGTCATCACCATCCAAAATAATATCCTTTCCGTAGTTTTATTCTATTTTTAATTCGGAATGATGTAGGCGTTAGACAATTGTTTCGTCCTAGTTTGGGACTCTTCATAGGCACATATGTGCACAATTTCACCAAGAATCAAGCACAAGACTTCTAGATTACAAGGCCAGCCCGTTGATCGCATAGAAAATTGGACAGAATACATTGATACATGAATTCTCACTTCTATCATTTCTCGATTTTTATTTTTTTATTTCGTTTTGATTATAGCTTGATTCCACACCATATTTTCGGTACAAGTATGGAATTTTCAGCGTATGATATCGGTAGCCTAATTTTTACAGGCTGGCCATTAATATCAGGTGTGCATGGGGAGGGGATCGAACCCCGGGCCATGTACATACATGGTTGCTGAGAGTTCCAACCGCTGTACCACCGACGCAACCGATGTCATCGGCAAGTATTTGCCTTGGTACCTTTCTTTCTACTCCTTCTGTCAACCAGTAGTGATTGCTGTCCCGGTCGTCACAGTATTCCAAAATCCGGATGTCTGTTTTGCCCATAAGGAGCCAAACTGATTAGCAGTGTGCCCGGTCTGAGAACTCAGCTCAGATAGTCAAATCAGTTCCAATTACACCCTTTTTCTGTCTCGCTAATTAAGCGCACTGTTAAAACTTTAAGTCATATTCTCAATTTGTCAGTTAGTTTTCATGTCACTGTTTGTAAAGTATTAAACTGAAGAAAGGGTTCTACCGAAATTCGATAAATTCAGTAAATCCTACTTTGCTGACATTTCTTGCTTGTTCTAAATTCGTATAGAGGATTAAATGTTTCCAAGATCCTATTTTGTTGACATCATGGCCTTCATATTCCCCTAATTCTGCCTAATCTTATGCTAACTATGTGTTGCAATAGAACATAAAATCTACTGGAGTAATATCAGTCCAAATTACCTATAAAATATTAACATCTACTAATTCATGAACACTTGAAATCTGTAGAAAATTAAAACAAGTGGTTTAGCAGCGAAGAGACTCTTTTCAACAATGAATTTATTATCAAGCTGTACAATCGTATATATAAATATGGTTTTTAAGAAGTTATAGCCGGTGAGGGGACTGAGTCATAGGTGTGAATGCATAAAATAGGTATATCGGTCGTTCGACTCGAGTTTTGTCCAAGAGAGTGCAAGAACGCTATCCTGTATGGTTATGAAGAAGTGGAAGTGGAGCAATAAGAAGCGCGATCATTGAACAGAACATCTAGTCGATAATGATCACCCTATCTCTATAGCCTCCGCCTTTAAAGTCATCTACAGGGCAAACAGTAACTCACCCAAATCACTATATACCCAACTCATCTGTATTGCTGAAGCTTTGGCTATCGAAACAGAAAAACCAGATCTCTGTATACAGAAAACGTTGGTTCAACCCCTCCAATTTACGTGGTCTTGATCCTTGTATGCTAAAGCATGATAATCCCTAATCATATTTTGGCTATACCAGTTTTTTCGTCTTGTCTATTCAATTTGTATACTCTTCCTTTATTACGTCAATTACTATTCTCACTTTGAACTGTCCTCGGTATTATTTCACTTGTTCCATTTGTCAATCTAAATCAATTCTGTCTCACAATTTTAAATTCTATGTTATCAAATTTCACACAATATTATGTAACGTTTTTATTTCAACTGATTAAAAGTGCCCATTAAAATTTTTCAAAAGAATGGATACTGAACAAAGAGTACTCTTTTCGATAACTTCATCATTGGACTCTACAGTTATATATACATTATAGTGAATAAATGAATCAGTGTTATGAACAACATTAATGTTGTTTAAATAACATCGAATCAATAATATTGATAGATTACAGCTCAATAGCATCAACATAAAATAAGCTGAATGTCAGAAAAATTAAGAAAGATAACGTTGCAAATTCATGAATTTATAGTCTCTACTGAGGGCCAGAGCAGTATTAGGGGCTGGACTTGCTTCTTTTGAACACAGAGCACTGGTTGTTTGAGGCGAATTGCAATAGCCCCTGCTGTTTGGAGCATGCGGCGCTTCGATAATGATTTTGGCAATTTATTAGGCACCCGGTAGATGATTGTGGAGAAGGATTTTTCCACGCTGGCTTTGTGGCCGGCTTGCACCAGATGGTCCAATATCGAACTGTTAATGGTTTTAACTACACTTCTACTTAGCCATAGTGGGATATGTTCTCGAGCACTAAAAATCAAGTTCCTAGAGCAACCGCCAATATAACTCACTCCACAAGCGCAGTTGAATTGGTAGATACAATTAGAAGGAGCTAGTCTATGTACTTCATCTCTCAGTCGAGGAATCACCATCGCTCGTGTATAGAATAATACGTGTAGTTCACCAGCATTAAAAGTTCTTTGGACTGATTCTCTTAATTTATTCGCAATTATCTCGCTTGGTATATCGCCCTTGAATTGTAGTCGTATATAAAGAGGCTTCTTTTTTACAGATAGTTAGTCGTCCTTTTCCGCTTTCCTTGTCATGTGTTTCTTGATAAATTTTTCGGGATAGCTATTTTCAATCAAAGTATTATGTACAATCCTTAATTCATCTTCAATTACTTCTTCTGAGCATATAGCTCTAACTCTGTGGTTGAGGGTCTTCACTAAATTTCTTTTGTACTTGATAGGAACGAAGCTGTGAAAATGTGTATATTGTCCTGTCCAATTACTTTTCCTATGCAAATTTCTTTTTATACTACCATGCGGTTTTCTTGTAAGTAGTAAATCCAGGAAGGCAATTCTGTCTTGGGATTTCTCTTCGCATGTGAATTTCATAGCCGAATGTACTTCATTGAATTCAGTAATTATTTTACTCCTATCAGAACCATTTTCACAAATAATGAGGGTATCATCCATATATCGGCAATAAAGTGAGAGCTTACTGATAAGACGTTTGGAGGTTTTCTAGGTTTTCTAGCTTGCTTAGAAAGAAATAAGCCAGAATGGGACCCAATGGGGAGCCCATCGCCACCCCGTCCACTCCCTGTAAAGTGTGCCGTCAAATTTGAAGTTTACATTCATGGTACATCTTGATAACAATTCTTTTAGGATTTCAGTACAGATGCCAATGTTTATCGACACCTTGTCCATTTGCTCACCGATGTAATCAACTGTTTCTAGTGGAGGTACATTTGTGAATAACGATGTTATGTTCAGAGATATCATGGTTTTGTCCTTGATATTGATATCTTTTATTTTGTCTACGAATTCAAATACCTCTTTGACGGCATATTTCACTATCTTCTCATGTAAAGGTTTGAAAATATTTACTAACCATCTAGCTAGAGCATGGTAGGGCGGATTTTGCATATCAAGTATTGGTCTTGACGGTACCCCTGGTTTATGCACTTTGGGTAGGCCATACAATCTTGGCGTATACGTGCCCGTTGGTCTGATTTCCTCATATAAACTTTCAGAAAATATCTGCTCCTCCCTTAGTTTCTTCAAACGTCTGGTTAATTAATTCATTCCCTATTTTGTTATTGAAATCTTTCTTCTCCTCCTCAAGTTTTCGAAACTTCTGTGTGTCCTTCAATATATATGTCATTCATCTTTTTAATATCATCACTCCTATCAAGGAGGACTACTCCTGATCCTTTATCCGGCTTTGTGATTATCAAGCTCTCATCATTTACCAGTTCGATTTGCCTACTAATCCTATAGAAAACCATATATATATATATATATGTAAGATTGTACAGCTTGATAATAAATTCGACGAAAAGAGTCTCTTCGCTGAATCACTTGAAATCTAATCCATAATAATCTTTAAAAATATAAAATACGTCTACCACTTGTTATGGATTAAATGAATTTTTATTGAATTCTCCAAACATTTTTCAGGAAACTGTTTTAGCTGTAGGTTTTTTCAACTAGGATTTCTCAAGTTTGATCACAAACTGGATTCAGTAATAGAACCATTGAAAACCATTGTTCTCTGGAGAGTTGTTTCATCCTAGTTTGGGACTTTTCAGAAACACACACTCATGATGCCATCACACTGTACTGCTGTGTAGTTCGGAACAAGGATGAAACAACTGTCTTTTATTGCATGGTGGTTTTCAATGGTTCACTGTCGGAGTTTAGTTCGTGAACGAACTTGAAATCAATAAATTTCTTACAACAAATCAATAGTTGAGGCCTTTTTCCTTATTTATTCTCTCTTAATCTTATAGTCTATCACATGTTTTCAACGTGCTCTATATTTAACTCCATTCGATTGGAGAATATCAGCTAATTTAGGCTTAATATACATTCAAACATCGCAATGGATAAGTGGATTCCACCATTTGAATACATCGATACAGTTGTATAATTCAGTGAAACAAAATTCAATGTGTTCAATGAATCAAAAGATTTCATTTGATATTGGAATGTTATATTGTTTATTAGCCTATTGTTTTATTATGCTAAAAGAATATTCAAAAGCGCATGAAGCATTTATGTGTGCATATAAACAAAACAGGTAAGTGATATTTTTATGCGTTGATGGGTAAGAAATTCTATTTGACTTAATTTTTCAGCATAGAATAAATATACTCAGTTAAATGTGTACACTGACTGAGGACGTGTTTCGAGATCAGTTTTTCTCTCAAAGATACACTATTCCATTATTTCAATATATGTGTAAACCATGAGCACTATGGTAGTAAGTAATTCCATATTAGTTTGTTTATTAGATGTATCACACAGAGAGTGAAACAGTATTATTTACTGGATGACGTTTCGAACAAAATTTGTTTTTGTTCATAATCATATCATCAGTTATAATCACACGACTTCGAAACTTGAGTTTTATAGTTTTTTTGTTCTCTCCTGTTTGTCATCGTAGGAGTAGTAGAATTTTCCATATATCTGGGACAGGTGTTGAATCGTTTCTATTACATGTATTTGCCGTTGACTTGATAAACAAAGCTCCTGATATCAATCTCTCCCTCCATTTACCCTGTGACATTAGATTTTAAAACTGTCATCCTATCCCATCCTATTGTATGGTTGTGTGTAACTGCATGTGGTGCTATAGCTGAACTATTTTCTAGATTTCTTATCTTATTTGGGTCAACCAATCTAGATTTTGCTAAGTTTTTATGTTCAGCTAGTCTGACTGACCCTGTTCTACTAGTTTGACCTATGTATTTGACCTCACAATCATTCCAGCAGGGTATTAGATGAACTAAATTGTTTTGTTTAATTGGCTCCAGTGGCAGGATCCTTTAACCGACAAAGCTTGTTTCTAATTGAGTTTGTTGGCTTGAATGCCAGTCCCTTTTATGTCTGCCTGCATTGTTAAGATTTCTGTGTAAGGTTTCCGAGGTGCCTTGTTTGTATGGAAGTACTACTGATGATTTATATTCCCTATTGTTGGTGTTGTCATTATCCTGTGCATGTTTGACATGCATGTCTTCATTAATATTATTTTTATTATCAATATCACTGCTGCTATTAATTTTTATTTATGCATTTCCCCACATTCTTTCTGAATAATTTATCAGGGTAATTATTAATTTTCAAAGCTTCTCTTATATGTTTCACCTCCTGTCTTAGATTTTCCTTGGTACTACTTACTTTTTGTGCCCAATTGTCACTCAGACATTTCACCAATCCTATTTTTACCGATATAAGGTGGCATGATCGGTAATCCAAATATCGGTTTGAATGCGTGGGTTTCCTGTAAACACTAGTGTGCTTAACTTCCCATCTTCTTTCCTCTTTACGCTACAATCTAACATTGAGAGCTCCCCTTCCTGACTTTCCAATTCATAAGTGAACTAAACTGCCTCCACCTTCGAGTGGATGTGTTGGAAAAATCTGCTTATGTCCTGTCTTCAAAGTACAGTGAATGTTTCATCTACATACTTCCAGCATACTTTTGGAGTGAGGTTGGACGTTTCAATCACTAAGTTTTCCCACCTATCCATGAATATGCCTGCCACAATCAGGGATATTGGTGACCCCGTGGCAACTCTCTCAGTTTTTTTGTGTATGTTCTCCTGGAATTCCATTATTTTTTATACATTTGCAGAAACATCCCTCCCTTTTGACGTTAGGTCATTCCCACTGCACGTGTTAGGTGTAGATTCGTTGAATAAAGATTCTGTAATCAGACTCTGCCACTCCAGTAGCCTATATTACTCTCACAACTATAGGTAGCTATGTTCAACCCTATTATGTGTGTGTGTGTGATTGTTAGTGCATGCCTTGCGGTGTCGCTCTTTTGACGCTCAGCTAAGTTCTTGTGTGTTGATAGTCTGATTACCTCCGATCTACTAGTGTGACCTATGCAGTTTACCTCATAGTCATAGCAAGATATGTTATAAGTGGGATTATTTTGTCTAGTTGGATCAATGGGGTCCTTAAACCTACAGAGCTTATCCTACCTGAGTGATTTTATAGGTTTAGATAATATCCTAAGTCATACCCTTTTAGGAATCCTATACAAGGTTTCTCTTGTCCCTTCCTTACATGATGAAACTTTAAATGCTTTAAATTCTTCTTTATTTATGTTTGATTTTATCGTGAGCTTTTGTGATCTCCTCAATGAATTTTATGGGATAGTTATTTAACACCAATACTTCTTTTGTATGTTTCATTTCATCATTTAGGTTTTCTAATGTACCGTTTAGAGTTATTGCTCTGTTTGTTAGACATTTAACCAAGCCGTAAAGTCTAAATATTTACTAAAATGCGTTGATTTACCGTCTCCTATTGGTTTTGTTTAGCAATCTAGCATAGCCAGTTCTTCTTGTTCATTTTGTGACTCATATGTAAACTTAATCCCCTCTGCTATTGAATTTATATATACGTAAAGAAACTAGAGATATGTCTTGTTTTCAACATTCTGAAAGTGTCTATTATGTTGCTGCTGCTGAGTGGTTAATAGTAGTTTTCCCCATCGCCAAATTGTTATGTACTCGTCGCTAATTTATTATTATGGACTGGTCGAGAAACTAATAGTCCTGACGCAAGAAGGCGGAAATCAGAAGACCGCTAGGTTTGCGATGATACTTCTATTTTCCAAACACAAGGAGAATGCAAAAGTGGTATCACACCAAAGTAAGTAAGCCACACAAATTGTGAGAGCGAAAATATATATGAATGTTCAGACAAGGGTGTGAACAATCATTAGACAGTCTTAACATGAATGGCTAATTATAATGAAGTATCGATCCATATATGCATAGCGAAATATAGCAGACATGTCAACAACCACACATATAGTATGGATATATGTCACCAAGCAACGGACTGTCAACAAACACTCATATTATATTATATATAATATAAGGGGAAAATACATTGTTAAAGGAGACAGGTTCATCAAAGTGAAATGGTCACAGACTAAGCGAGCAAACAGAAAGAGAGATCACCATACACATATATATATGTATATATGGATGCATATCAGTGTCATCCAGAAATCTCCACCACAACTTAACGTTTCTACTGACAGTCTACACTGTCGTTTGATTGGTTGGTATGATTAGTTTGATACCACTCAATAATACTCACAGTAGTGCTTGCTAGTCAGATTGTTGAAGTGATCTTTACATCAGACGGCTGTTTCTTCCTTCTGAGGTCAGGCTTACCAGCTTTGCACTAACTTTGACTCGGCTGAAAGAGCTGGATCAGCTTAAATCATCCAAATCTTGTGAATTTGTAATACCTGCAATCAAGTTCGCAATTTGAAGTTTACGCGAGGTAACGATGATTATTCTGTTATTGAACCACAGAAGCTTGTATAAAATGTCAATACCTCATTCAAAAGTTAAATATCAATGCCACGTGTCAGATGACTCACAGCGGAAAGTTCAGCGAGGCGTTCGAAGTGAATACAGGAGTAAGACAAGACTGACTGCCTATTATCACCGATGATATTTATAACTGTGGTGGACTGGATTATGCGTCATACTGTGTGTTGGGAGTGAAAAGACAGGAATACGCTGCACTGACCGACAAGAAGACTCTAGAAGATCTGGATTTCGCGTATGGATGATTTATGTTTAACGTCACACTAAATCGAAGATATGCAAGAAGACGAAAACCAACAAACTGGCTGAAAAGTCTGGCAGGCAGCGAAGGCAGGACTTCAGATGAACATAGAGAAGACAGAGGTGATGAAGACAACTAACCAATCAACAGCAGTAACAACCAGCGCCAGTCACCATCAGCGGAAGAGATTTGAAAAAGGTTACTTCCTTCATTTATCGAGAAATCATCGTTTCAACTGCAGGTGGGATGGATGAAAATGTCAAGGCCGCCCATGCACATGGTCCGGGGTTCGAGCCCACGCCGACGCACACCTGATATCTATGGTCGGCCTGCGAGTTTTGGGCTACCGATATCCACGCTGAAAATTCCATACTTGTACCAAAAATACAGTGTGGAATCAAGCTGTAATCAAAAATAAATAAAAATAAAATAAATAAAATAAATAATCAGAAAGGCAAGATACGCCTTCATCAACCAGTTTGGAAATCTTCTGAACTGAACTCCGCCTCAGCATAAAGCACAGGTGTCAGATTTTCAACACAAATGTGAAGTCAGTCAGTCAGTCACTGCTTCTAAACGGGTCACAAACTTGCACTGCACAAGCATCACGAAAAGGATTTCCAAGAAGCCACTGCAGACTTTTATGAACAGTCGTCACTTTCGAAGGCTGGCTGGCTCCATACTGAACATCAAATGGCTGGTCATCTGGCGAGAAAGAATTAACAACCAAGAGCCGACTGCTCAATAAATATGCGGAAGAAAATGGGGATGAATGGGCATACGTTAAGGAGGCCGCTCGCAATGCATGCCACTACTCGAGTGGAATGCCAATGCGCAGTGGCGAGTGTATCGTCGTTGCGAGTATGACATGTAGGAGATCGTGGGAGTTGGAGGAGGAGATGAAAGATTGTTTGCAACTGTAGACCCAGGTGAAGAGGATGGTAGAAAACATAAGAAAGTGGAGATGTGTTGTTGAAGCGGTATGTTCCATTCGGTACCCGAAGGAACAATAATAATGCGGCATACTTTTATTCCTACGCAGTGCACCTTCCATGGTATAAAAATAAAACGACGACTAGAATTAATACTTCAGAGTGAATCAACTTAAAGCTGAGTATATAAATGCCTAGAATGCCTGCAGATGCTTCGGATCTTTTAAGTTTTGTATAAATGGGTATGCATTCAAAGGGACTTGGACACCATTTCGCGTTCCTTCTTATTAGTGCCACTAACACACGTATACTCTGAGTCAGTAATTCAGCCATACTAACCGGATAAATCTTAAATTCTTTTCCCTAAATAGCTCTAAATTTTTATTCTGTCAGAGCATATTCGTAAATAACTTCGCCACATTTGATTTGTGGTTTGTTATCTGCACTTGCGGCTTAGGTGTTGTAATCATTAGGTGAGCATATTGTGTTTAGTAGGGCTGGTACAGCGTAGCATATGAATAGTGTTCAAAGTGCCTAACAAGCATGTGCTGGACACTTTGAACACTAAAAACAAAAATATTATTATTAAATAATTATTATTACATTTTTAAAGCTTATTGTTTCCTGGGTTCTTTTATAATATTCTCCTTCAGTAAGAATCCATTGGTCCTTCTGAATTATATAATATTTCTTACAAAAGTGGACAAAAATTTAGCCAATCAAATTTTTGATGAATATGAAAAACTGGTTTCAACATCAGAAGTTTCCCTACCCTACTGGGTGAATAAGAATGATGTAAGTGAATAGTTATGGTTAGCCATTATTACTATTATTATCCCCTTGGATTCCTAGTGGAATGTAGGGATTTAACGACATATGACCATTTTACTCTCATTTATTCAGTCTGTTTTTACCTCGCTTCGCGATTGCCAATAAGGTTTTACCTCCTCTTCAAACTATCTTCTCCATGTCGCCCACTGAGCCAAGCTCACCTCGCTGTTTCTCATTGGAATCCTAATAGACGGCTGTCCTGTTGCTCCATGTCACCCAATGGCCTCCCCAGCTTAGCATATGTCAAACTCGTCTTCATTTTCTTCGGCATATTTGTTGGGAGGTAGGCTGTTGGTTGATTCGCTGCCGGGATTCTTTACGGCTGATCCTTCTTGTCCATCCAATCCGAAGTATGTCCGCAGCAAACTGTTGGGAATGCTTTCGGTCATGAGTACACCAACTCTCTAAACTATACAGAAGCATTGAGTGGTTTGATGCTCCTGTTGAAGCTATGGATCTTGTTCTTCACTCGTAGTGCAGTGGATTTCCACAGTGAATTTGTAGTAGTGAAGATCTGTCTTGCTTTTCTGATCCTAGCTTTGACATTCTCATCTATGCAGCCGGTAAGTGAAACGATTCTGCCCTGGTCAGGTATTTGGTAAAGGTAACTTTCTTTAGATTCCTTCCACTCACCGTGGTCGATGTTTGTTTTTGTCTGTTAGGTGTCTTCATCACCTCCGTTGTCACTTGTTCACCCAAAGTCCTACCTTCTGCTGCCTACTTCTTCTGGGAACTTGTTGGTTTTCGTCTGTAGATCTTCCAGTTTCTCTGACATTAAACATAGTTCACTTACGAATTTTAGATCTTCCAGAGTCTTCTTGTCAGCCCAGTGTATTCTTGCCTTCTCGCTCCTGACGTTCTACTGCATAATCAAGTCCATCACAACCAGGAATATTATTGACGATAATAAGCAGCCGTGTCATACTGCTACCCAGTAAAGCCGTTCCTACAGTCACAAACCGATTTTTGCCCACAAATATTTTTATGTCTTAGTGAATCAGAAGCTGTTAAGGGAAAATGGCCATTTTAAGTATCAACTTGAAGTCCCAATTCCGTTCACATTAAAGTTCTACCCATTTATCAATCATATTAGATATTTTGTCCGATAGGATACTTCATCAATATATTAAAGTGTTTTGCTCCAAAGACCTCATTCTGTAACCTTGGTAGCACTTTAGTCGAAAAAATTCGTGAATTCACGCGAATCAGGAGACCAAAGGAAGTCACCAGTTTTTACTTACCAGACTGCAGCAGTATCCTTTCCGACCATTTGATCTTCATTGTGGAACAAAAGGAGTGGCTGTTGATGAAAGTCTGTAGTGGATTGTTTGAAGTCCCTTTTGTCACTATCTAAATCTCTGAACTACACCTAAGTGAGGACCCAATGCCTAGTTCACAGTTCACATAGAAAGCGCTATCCTATAATGTGTCTCGTCTCTGCCTCCAACAATCAGAATGTAATTCAAGTATTGGTTTGTAGGGAATCGGTTGATTGGTTACGGGATTTCATCATGAGCTGACATTAGTTAGAGAACCATTGGAAAAAATCAATACTTGAATATCAATAAAATGCTAACTGGTGACTTGCCCTATTCAGGTTCTAGTGGGAAGTCGTGACCAGTGGGTCGCAGCAGGTCGGGTGTGAGGACAAATACTCACCGAAGACATTGGCTAGCGATTGCGCTGTGTCGTGAATTGACAGAAGTTAGAATTCATGCCCACGCCATTGGACCGGGTGAGTCCCAGTGGATTCATGGTGTACGAGCTAGCTCGCCTTGTAACTAGAAGGTCCTGAATTCGAACCCTGGCGGTGGGTGCGTACTGTTGAAGAGTCCCAAACTAGGACAAAACAGCTGTCCAATACCCCCTGTTGGTTTTTCCAATGGTTCTCTAACTGATGTCAGCTCGTGATGAAATCCTGTAGTGAATCAGAATATAACTTGCTGCCAACTACTACATTAATGTTCAGGTGACATCCTCCAACATCTCTGCATTTCTGTAACGATGCCAAGAATGACACGAAGGAAACCGACAACAGAGGCTGTACACTATACATGTTACTTACTGACATAATTGATTGGAAATCAGAAACATTGGGTAAAACGATAATACTAATTCATGAATTTACAGCCTCCACTGAAGGCCGTCCCGGGCAGTAGAAATGGCTGAACTTGCTTCTTATGCACATAAATCACTGGTTATTTCAGGCGAATCGTGATAGCCTCTGCTGTTTCCAGTATGCGGTACCTAGATGTTTTTGGCGATTTATTTGGTACCCGATAGATGATGATAGAGAGTGATTCTTCAATGCTGGCTTTGTCGCCGGTCCCTTTGGACCAGGTGGTCTAATATCGAACTGTTGATGACAATTTTTACCACACCCTTGCTTAGACACACTGGTAAATGTTCCCGAATAAGCACGAAAAACCAAGTTCCTGGAGCATCGACTAATATGACTCACTCCACCACAAGGACAGTTGGATTGGTAGATACAATTAGAAGTGGCTAGTCTAGGTTCCTCATCTTTCTAATGAGGAACCACCACCGGTCAGTCGTGTAGAAAATAAGACTTGTAGTTTGCCAGTATTAAAAGCTCTTTGAACTGAATTTATTAACTTCTTCGTAATTATTTCGCTAGGTGTATCACCCTTGAATTTCAGTTGTATGTATAAAGGCTTCTTGTTTAGGTCTTCTGAGCACATAGCTCTAACAATGTGGTTGACTGTCCTTACTAAATTTCTTTTCTACTAGAGAGGAACGAAACAATGAAAATGTGTGTGTATTGTCCTGTCCATGCGCTTTTCTTATGCAAATTTCTCTTTATACTACTACCATCTTGGAAAGTAATCCTATTTTACGATTCCTCTTTGCACATGAATTTCATAGTAGAATGTAACTCATTGAATTGAGTTATTATTGTGTTCCTATCTCGGAATCATTATCACAAAGGATAAAGGTGTCTCATCCATATGCTGGCAATAACGCTAAACTCCATAAAACAAAGACTACGTTGGACTTCATTATTAGTTGCATCGAATGAAATCACTATCCAAAAGTTTATTACAAGCCCCTACGTTGACGCTGAGTTCATGAACTCTGATGTCGAACATCCTTTCTATCCACAGCTTTCTCCTTGTTGTGTATCTCTTCGAGTAAAGGCAGAAGAAAGTTCAGGTTTATCAGGAAATGTATGACTAAAGAAATTGGAAAGGACTTCTCAATATCCGAAAACAAGAAGCCTTTATACATACAACTGAAATTCAAGGGTGATACACCTAGCGAAATAATTACGAAGAAGTTAGTAAATTCAGTTCAAAGAACTTTTAATACTGGCGAACTACAAGTCTTAATTTCTATATGACTGATGGTGATTCCTCAACTGAAAGATGAAGTCCCTAGACTAGCCACTTCTAATTGTATCTACCAATTGAACTGAGGTTGCGGAAGGAGTCATAATGGCCATCACTCCAGGAACTTGATTTTTCGTGCTTATTCGGGAACATGTACCAGTGTGTCTAAGTAAAGGTGTAATAAAACTTTTCATCAACAGTTCGATATTAGACCACCCGGTCCAAAGGGACCGACCACAAAGCCAGCATTGAAGAATACTTCTCCATCATCATCTATAGGGCACCAGATAAATTGCCAGAAACATCTAGGTACCGCATACTTGAAATAGCAGAGGCTATCGCGATTCGCCTGAAATAACCAGTGCTCCATGTTCAGAAGAAGTAAGTCCAACCATTCTTACTGCCCTGGCTGGCCTTCAGTGGAGACTGCAAATTGATTAATTCTGTATTATCATTTCTACTAATCTCTCAGATATTCAGCGTACTGTTATTTTGATGCTGCTGAACTGTAATCTATTCATATTACTCATTGATTCTGTGTTATTTAAACATTAATGTTGTTAATAGCACTAATTTATTCACTATAATGTATATATAACTGTAAAACCTGAAGATGATGAAGTTATCGGAAAGAATATTCTTTGTTCATTAACCATTTTTGAAGAAAAATTTTAATGGGCATTTTTAATCAGTTAATTAAAAATCATTTATCATCGCCATTACTGTACCTTGTTGGTTCAGTGGCAGTATAGTAACAGAAGACAAGGGCCAGGCAATAGATCGTTTTATTACGAAAATCAACACGTATTTATATATATTTCACATACATTATTATAGCTTATGCAAGTAGACAAGCGCAGTTTTCTGATTGGTTGTTTCGGGATTCCTCGAGAAATAGAGTTCTCTATCTGCGAATCATATTTGCCCACGTTAAGTCTGCTGTGATTGGTTGTTGAATCAGCCTTGTACATATTTTCTCACGGCCTGCTCTCACCACAGCAGGATCCTCTCCTACAACATGGAAGGTTCGGAGTTGGATCTCTGACCGACGTGCTCTTAAACCTCGCCTAGTTTAATAGCCTGTAGTAATCCCAAAAAGGAACTAAAAGTAGGCTGAAGGACATCAACCATGCCGCATAAAAAAGCAAAAGCACCGCTACTGGAATTTCTGAAATTTTCTAGGCGTATGTTCCGAATGGTATGAAAAGTATTGAAAAAGTGTTTGGCATTGTTTATTCATAAGTTACTACATTCTAGTCTCTTGAATTAAATTCGCTAACTTATTCAGTGATAATCACGTTTGACGCAAATTCATAATTACTTAGAATTAAATTAATAATCCCCATTGAGACATAAAAATAAAGAATTCAGCGAAAAATTCTCTTTCCGACGATTTCATTTTCACAGCTGTACAATATTATATATATATATATATATATATATATATATATATATATATATATATATGAATTACAATAGACAGTTACAATCAGTTTCCTTGTATGTGTGTTCTTGTTTGACAGTGAGCGGAAATATTAAAGTGCGTTAATATTAGTGTATAGGATCATGCATCACAATTGATTATTATCATGAATAAATAACTCCGATGCTCACTAGAGACTGGCTCTATTCAGACAGTAACTTGGGGTTCTAGTGGGAAGCCGTGACCAGTAGGGTGCAGCAGTTTAAAGATGAGCCAGTAACTCATCAAAGACATTACAAAGTGGTCGCGCTATATCATGAATTGGCAGAAGTCAGTATTCCTGGACTAGCTGGCCATTGGATCGGGCGAGTCCCAGTTGCCTAATGGTTCACGAGCCAACTCGTCTTGTAACCAGAAGGTTCTGGGTTCGAACCCTTTCGGTTAATGCATACTTATGAGGCAGAGTCCCGAACCAGGCGGATGAAACAGCTGACTGTCCAATATTTACTGCTCGTTTTCCAATGGTCGACTAACCGATGTCAGCTCATGATGAATTCCTCCTCCAACCAATTAAATAAATAGAGGTCAACCTAAGCTTCAATAGAGGGCATGTGTGAAATAGATGACCGTAAAATAAAGTACATTTGGAAATGTGAATATGTTATGATGATGGATAGTCGGATGGATGAGTGAAATGATGTCAAAATAGTAGACTAGATAAAATGTTACAATATGATAACATAAAGTAAAATGAAATAAAACAAGAATAGAACACCAAATAAAGAAAGATAACAAAGTTGTTATGTGAATTACATAGTGATATGTATCCATATATACATATATATATGTATGGTGGTCTCTCTTTCTGTTTGCTCGCTTAGTCTGTGACCATTTCACTTGTATGAACTTGTCTCCTTTAACAATGTATATTCTCCTTTTATTATATATAATGTGTGTTTGTTGACAGTCCGTTGCTTGGTGACATATATCCATATATGGTGGTTGTTGACATGTCTGCTATATTTTGCTATGTATATATGGATCGATACTTCATTATAATTAGCCATTCATGTTGAGACTGTCTAATGATTTGTTCACACCCTTTGTCTGAACATTCATATATATTTTCGCTCTCACAATTTGTGTGGCTTACTTACTTTGGGGGTGATACCACTTATTGATTCTCTTTGTGTTTGGAAAATAGAGGTATCATCGCAAACCTAGTGGTCTTCTGATTTCCGCCTTCTTGCGTCAGGACTATTAAATTCTCGACCAGTACATAACAATAATTTGGTGAAGGGGAAAACTACTATTAACCACTCAGCAGCAGCAACATAACACATAGTATAATCAAGACCATGGAGTAACGAAGGAGAACGTACAAACTGTTTTTGTACACAAAGTTCTTCCTTTATTTTAATTGAATTTTTGATTTTCCCGTCGATTGATTGGACCAAAGTGCTCGATCTCAGGTTGACATGTCAGCTTCTTGCCCAGATGCTTCGACGATGTCTGGGCATTTAGTATTTAATTGGCGGATGGTGACCAGCAGTGGAATCCAGGATGTGCATTTCGTTCTGTTTCGGACTCATCAACTGGATGTACCTACGTTTCTCAGTGAGTGATGATGTTCCCACCGAGGCTCGAACCCAGTGCCCTTGGTTTCAAACGCCACTAGACCACTAGGCCACGACAGCCACCTCTTGTGCAATCTTTTCATATTAATTTAACTGAATTTTTTATTTTCCCGTCGATTGATTGGACTGAAGTGCTCGGTGGTGGTGGTCTAGTGGATAACGCTTTGGCGTTTGAAACTATGGGCACTGAGTTCGAGCCTCGGTGGGAACATAATCACTCACTGAGAAATGCAGGTACATCTAGATAACGAGTCCCAAATAGGACGAAATGCGCATCCTGGACTCCACTGCTAGTCACCATCCGCCAATTAAGTTCTGGCTTTATGTTGTGTATTGCCAAGGCCTCTTCTATACAAAGCCAATGCACTCGTGTCGCTTTCGGCAGACTTTGTAGACTATATTAAACGATGTATCAGGTGCTGCGTGGTCAGTATCTACAATATGTTGCAATATGGATGAATTAATGCCTCTACATTCTCCTTTCCTCAGCCATACTTGGAGGTGCTGTCGAAAGTGGCGGCGGGATACGTTTCTCGAAGTACGTCCTATGTACCTAGCTCCACAAGAGCAGGTGAACATATAAATGCATATTGAATTAGACAATCCAGGTAACATTTCCTTGACATTTAGGTGCATAAGTGGACGGCTAGAGTAGGTTATTCGTAAAGTGGCAGGAAAGAACGTTTTTCTCAGTGATCTGGTCAGATAATTTTTAAGTGATCGATTTGCAATGTCATCCCTAAATTCTAAATGTAGGTGCAACACTCCCTATAGCTACCTTATCAATCTCTGTATTTCTCCCGCCTACTTTGCTGTTGGCCTCTACACACACTCAAGAGAACTAATTGTTATTGTCTGTTGTAATTCATGTACAAATACGATTGTACAACTATGAAAATGAAATCGTCGAAAAGGGAATTTTCTTTGCTGAGCTCCTTGTTTTTAATTTCTAAGAATTTAAACCTTGCTGTATGAAGGAAATAGAATTCCATGTAATCATTTTGCTTAAAACTATACCTATTGAACATTTAACTGTGTGCAATCATTTTGTTTAAATTCCTTAATTCTGTAAAAAATTACTCTGTCGTTTGTTTGTTTTTCTTATCAATTTCAGATGGAAAAGAAAGTTATTCAATTGAAAAACTATCTTGGAAGAAGTGAATTGAAATCTACTGAAACATCACCAACTACTGTTCAAACATCTTTATGATAGAGTTATTCGAAAAGGAATCTATTCCTGATTGTCAGTTGTATACTGTTAAAATGTCTGACAACAAACACCCTAATTACTTTTTCGTTCACTTCAATTATTATTAATCCTAATGTCTAATTTAATCAACTAACAATTTTGATCATTGCTGTACTATTAATTTTTACATATTTCAAGGTTAAATTAGCAGTAATTTTTTTAAAACATATAATATCTAATTCAAACGTCTTCAAGAACTATTGCTTAAGATAAGTCATGAACTTATATCAATTCGAGAGTCACTGAACACCAAAACAATCCTAGTTTACTACGTGCTAAGGAGCCCTATGAGGTCGAGCCCACAACCTTCCAGTTACAGAGCCAGCCCATGATGGCTTTCAATAGCCAATCCATAAAGTTTGACTTCTGTCAACCGGTAGCATATGACACCACCGCCAGTTAGTGTCACCATCAAGCATTTGTTCTCACACCCGAACTGGGTGAACCCCACTGTACACCACTTCTCACTAGAACTCCAGACAACTACATTTTTAGCTAGTCACTAATGAGTGTTGGCAGAAATGAGAATTTATGGGTCAATCAGACAACATGTGATCTGTTTATGCCGGATAACAAATATGGCACCCATGTACCTGCAAACACCAGAACCAGTTAACTGTGATTAATGTTTGCATCCACTGCTTTGGAGTTCTGTTATCGCTTGGTGGTTTGGAATGATTTACATTCTTTACCATGAAGAAATTACTCTAACTAATTGTCATCATTGAGTCGCGAGGTCTTGTTAGTGATTTCTGTATCCCTGTCTAACTTACAAAATAACTACACAGCATTCAAAAGTCACTAACATGTTGATCTGGTTCACAATACATACGTACATATGTTGTCAAAGCCTTCATAATTCAGGATTTCCAACAATTGAGTGATGTCTGTAAAACGCCAAATAGTTGAGCAAAGAATATCCTTTTCGATAATTCCCTCATCCTCTAGCTCTACAATTATATATATGTTTATATACACAGAATATTCTAGAATAATCATCATTAACAATATTAGTCTTTTTTAAATAATATCGATTTGTAAAGTAAGATCACAACGGGATTACAGTTCATCAAAGATGCTTAAATTATAATAATAATAGTAAAGATATAGTAGCAAATAGAATATCAAATAAAATCAGAAAGATTCCACAAAATTTAAGGATAATTCAAACCTAGATGGGCAGAGGGGTAAGGACGATGTCTTTTGAACACAAATTAGGCTTCTTAATGTGGATCGCAACGGCCAGCCTCAGCAATATGAAGTAGCAGACGAACTCTTAAAGCAAAGTTAAGATATGTCGGTATGCGGCAAATGACTTTGAAAGCCACCTTGTTGGCATTAATCTTGTGTTCTGTATCCACAAGATGAGATAGAATAGAGCTACGAATAGATGATGTGATGATCGTAAAAAGTTTCAGCAGGTTTGGTTGGTGGATATGTCCATCGTTGTGCAGTTTGTTTGAAACGAGTTAGTGTCAGGGAAGGTAAGCTAATGATTCTAATATTTCGTAGGAACAGTTTTGCCACATCCCATCTGTCCGTAGCCCAGATTCGTATAATTGTAGTTACTTGGCTTTAAAACAGCCTGTGAGTGGTGCAACTGCTGAAACTGAGAATAGTCCTGTATCAGAAGTTCAGTGATACCAGAACTGAAGGGATATCGCGTCTTGGAAAATGGAGAGGCTTGCTACCTAATTGGGAGGAGGTGTCGTCGTACATGTAGATGAAACTGTCGCATTAAAGAAAAAATACAACCGTTGATATGTACCCACATGATATGTCTTGTTTTTGACAGTCTGTTATATTTTGCTATGTATATATGGATCGATATTCCATTATAATTGACAAAATGTTTTTGTCTGTCCACTAACTACACAAACATGTCTGACCTTGCTGTCACATGACATTACAACCAATCATGTTAAGACTGTCAACCGGTTCGTTCATTTTTGAACATTCGCCCATATACTTGTGTGACATTGGTTTTCCTTTTTGTTTGAAAAATACAAGTATCACCATGAACCTGGTGGTTTTCTGATTTCCGCCTTCTTGCGTCAGGACTATTAATTACTCGACCAGTACATAACACCGTCGACCAAGACGACTGAATAATGTTTGGGTGGTTGGTTTATATGATATCTCTCTACAGAAAGGATTTGTCGAGGGGTGAGCAGAAGGAAAGTCAAGTACTTTAATACCTGTTATCATTCAGCTGGTGAAACAGGGATCTATAACACACGCAGATGAGTGGAAAGGGTATAACTCTTTGTCATCGTTTGGATATATTCAACAAAGAGTCAACCATTCTAATGACTTTGTGAATTCTATTATAGGGACTCACCAACTTCATCTAGGGCTCCTGGGGAAGGTTAAAAACCGGGTTTGAGCCTTTAATGGATAGCAGTAGGATGTTATTTGTAGTCATTCGGATGTATAGTATGCGGTGTAACTTTTGCTTTGATACTCCTATACTGCACTGGGAGATGTTTTTATCACATGTGCGAGAAAGGTATCCTCCGTAAGACTTCATACAGTTTCTATACATTTTTTCACAGGTATATGTGTTTCATACCCAAAAATTCCTCCTTCATGTGATTGGTGCGTCCAAGGTCATCCTCTGATTGGTAGTTAAAGTTTCACTTTGCCCACAGCTGTTTTGAGGGCTACGGGAAGGAATAAGTTTGAAGAGAATAGAGGGATGGGTTACGTCGTAGAGACTCAGTTTTCTTATTGTATATCCTGAAGTGGGAGATTTCTTGAAAGACAAGAATACTTGAGATATAGCAGGTTGACTATTGGTGCACGTGGTAAGCAACAAGACTGGACAATTCAATTCATATTCAGAAATCTGCTTGGATGGTAAAACATCGAGAGAACAGCAGTTAGGTAACAAGATCATGGTAGTACCTGAATTAAGCGTGCAATGTAATCAGTAGTTGTGGCAGACTATAGAAAATCTTGAAGCATAGATTGGTTAACTATATGTAGTCTCAAGAAAATACAATAAGGCAAGGTAGTAGCTTTATTCAGTATCACGTTTTATTTGAAGTCTATCGTCTGCAGCGGTTGACCTTGTTCCGAAACTTCCCAACAACTTTCATTTCCCGTTCGTACGAACTCTTCACTGTCAACCTAGGACACCCAACTCCTGGCCCCCTACTTGAGTTCCACCCAACGGTCTAGCTTGTAGTGCCAAAAAATGGTCTCAGCAGCGTATGTTCGGACTATCCCCATTCCTTCTCCATATTAGTCGGGTAGCAGGTTGTTTGCTAGCTCTCTCCACTGCTGTAGTTCCTCCTTGCCTATTCTTCCTCACAGACCATCTAAATATGCTTGACAGCTGATGTTATTAAAAGTGCAATCAGTTCCTCGATATTCCCTAATAATCTATGGCCAGACTCAATTCTTTCAGCCCTTCTTAAAATAATGGCAGTCCTGATCTCCCTCCTCTTCTGCTTCCAACATCCAATGTCGTTTTTACGAGCTAGTATAAACCAATTTGATTTCTTTGTGCTCGCTTCTTGATTGTAAGGTATAGGTTCCTGATCTTCCGTAAACTTCTGCTTGAAATATTTTCACCGTAACTTACAAATGGAGTTTATTCTTCTAAACGGGAGCACACACATCTTATCCCCACATTTATATCATTTTAAAAATTCGTTGTAAGGAATAATGGGCCAATTAATGCAAACCCTTCCTTTATATCTATGACTTATAAGTGGTTCACCAAAGTGCCACCCATGAGGTAACTAGTCTGACCCATTGAGTACAGTCAGATATAAATAGCACTGAGACACTGTGTAAGTCTTCAATAATGCAAATCGATGTGGAAAAGTGCGATCTGTTATGCTCAACTAGCCTTCACATTGTGCCAAACACAACGATATACCGCAAGCCCATTCCCATTTTTCGTTCTGTACTTGACCCGAACCCAATTACCCTCCTGAATTTAGATTCTCCCATTATGTTGTCAACCAGGATTCCGGAGACAAAAGGCTAATTGGACTCCTATTCCATAACTTTTAAGAGGCTGAGGATGTTGATGTTAACAGATAGTACGAAATATACTAACACAAAATCTAGAACCAACAACCCCTATATCATCTGTTCCGCGAAGACTAAAGCCAAAGCTAAACATCAGAAGTGTCAGCCACGACTCGTAAACCGTTAATGCCCAGCACTTGCTGCACTCGGGCTCACAATGTCCCTTGAAGTTTCTCAGAAACGCTCAGTAGTAACGGACGAAAAAACCAAAACACCAATTGTTGGCTCGAGGATTCTTTATTGTTACACCAACATATAAATTTGTATGACTAAGGTCTGTGAACAAATATTACAATAATAAATCACAATTTTACTTCTGACGGTTTACTGCTGACTTCTTTCTGAACAGCGACCGATGACACGATGACTGTCGTATTGATGCCTCCCCGAAAATTGGGGAAGTTGATTTTAAGCAAACAACCAAGAATTGATCGTTCAATCTTCAACTACATTGACACTCCCCGTCAAAAAAGGGATCCAACCCCTTTTTCCTTCACGACCAATACACGTTGACTTGGATGCCATTGCGAGAACCTGGGTCGCACGGACAGAGCTGAAATGGAAAACAAACAGAAAAGCCAACACACCACAAGCATACTCACAGCACAATCTCACACATCGCTGACGACCTGCGCCTCCAGACAGAGACCTCCTCTTGACATCTTGCAACACAATCGCCACTTGCTAGAATGACTCTTGCAGAATGCAACGTGACCATAGCACCAACTCATGATACTCTACGCACATCCTCTTATCTACTCACTACCAATTACCACTGAAATCGCTTGTCACTCATTCTGCCTCAATTCTAGTAAAGGTGATGTATGCGAGCCTCAGCCGTTTACACTCTTTCTCCCCGGCGTGTCGGACCGCAGCTAACAATTATCTCCGTGTGCATTTCATTCTCAGCAATAGCCTAGCCTCCCCGGCGTATACGACCCATTTGCTGTCCTTAACATCAATCAATTGATTCACGGATGTAGAAGACTCGAAACAACTTCAGAAGTAATCACGACGAAAATTTTAACAAAATTACGCAATAACAACAAAGCACGAATACAACAAGTAAACACAATGAATCCAAAATACACCAATTGATATGACACACCACACGTATATACAAACTGTACACAA